ATTTTTTTTTTTTTTTTTTTGGGTGCGAAGGGGTCGCGGCGCAGCCGCCGACCTTTAGATTATGGTCCCCTGTAGGCCTATAGCCTGGTACAGACCTAACTAACTAGTGTGTGCTTCCTAATAATATGTGTCCGTTCATCGTCGTTCTTGTTGCACACCCTCCCTGCGGGTGCTTCGAAAGCTCGTGAGAAATTGAGTCGAGTGGCGCGCCCGTAGCGCGCGTGTCGTGTGCGTTCCCTCTTAACCGTCTTCCCGCCGTCTCGTCCGTCTTCGTTACTCCGCCCGTGCCGCTCCTCTCACCCCGTCCGTCTCGCCGCTCGATCTATTCCTCCTCCTCCTCTCCCCTCTCGTCCACCTTCTCCTGCTCAACTTCCCGTTCCTCGTCCTCCTGAGCTTCCCCTGATCCCCCTTCCGGCCGTCCATCCTCCGACTCTTTCTCGCCTCTCGCCCCCCATCCCGTCTCCTTCGTAAACTCCAGAATTGCAACAATACCTTTCTCATCACTCAGCATGCGGGCGCGATCTCGCCAGATTTTGCCCGCTGCTTCTCGCATACGTTGTCGCGCGTCTTGCCAGCGCGGGCAATCGTAGAGGTAGTGATTGACGGTCTCGTCTGCCTCGCCGCATGCCTCGCAAGTCGGGCTCGGTAGGCAGCCAATACGATGCAGGTGTGCGCCGAGCTGCGCATGGCCCGACCGTATTTGGAAGAGCGTAGAGCTCGCCAGGCGCGAAAGGCCTGCGGTGGCGCGTATGTGCTTTCGCGAGGCCGCGTTCGGCGCCCAGTGGCGGTGCCGCTCGTACCTCGGGGACATGAGCCAATCTTGTTGCCACCGCTCGTCCAATCGGCGCGCGTATTCTTGGCGGGCTGCCGAGATGCTTGTCTTGAGGCGGGTGCGCAACACGTGCGGGAGTTCGGCGAGCGCGCTTTCGTGGCCCTCCGCGGCCAGCTTCGCTTGCTCGTCGATGATCTCGTTGAACTCGGCGTCGTCATGCCCAGAGACCCATCGTACACTGAGCGAGTAGCCCTCATCGCGTACCTGCAATAGACGCTCAGTTTGGTCACGGAAAATGTCGAGGAGACCATGCCCGGGTTGAGCACGCTGCTGATGTTCAGATGCTCGGATGACCGCCTGGTTGTCCAGGCTAATACTGCTGGGTTCCGATGCGAACTCCTGTTCCTCGGACGCCAGTAAGTGCGCGCCGAGGATGATTCCCACCGCTTCCGCTTCATACACCGTGTGCTGCGTTAGTGGTCCGAGGCGGTAACGCAGTATACGCGTCAAGTTGTGAATGCCATCGGTCCGGGTAAGCAGTGCCGCCGCTCCCGCGAAGCCCTTGTATCCCGACCCGTCCGTATACACTCGGATAACGGATTCCTTTTTTTTTTTTTTCGGGAACGTTTGAGCCACCCGCAACCTCGCAGTGGGAGGCCCGGGTGAACGTTAGGCGGTGGGGAGCGAGAGCCCCCCTGTATTGAAGGTTGAGTGTCCGGTAGGAGGCTGGCCGTGGGGGAAATGCGTTACGCACGAAGTGTGGGGCTACCCCGCTTCTGCGAGGCGACGTCTTCGTCGCCTTCCACCTCTCGGTGGTGGGCTACCCACTAAAACCCCCTTGCCCGTGGCAATCCAGTCTCCTGCCGGTAGTTTGTCTTGATCTAGTAGTCTCTGCCATGTGTTTCGTACTAGATCTTTCTTGATCGCGAGCTTGCCGTAGCTCTTATGCGTTGCGCTTTGGTCCTGCGCGAAACGCGCGTTGATTGCTTTCCACCATGTCGCACGTCGTTCTTCGACTGTTGATCTGCGCCTGGTCTCGCCGTTCGGTCCTGGTATAACTCTCTTGCATCGTGCATTCCAAATGCATCTCCATGCCGTGGCGACTAGGATGACGAAGCAACGCTCCGTCCCCAACTCCCGCTTTCCGTCGTCGTCTTCAAATCGTAGCAGCCCGGCGGCTAGCAGGACACCGAATTTGTCTCCTTTCGGCCAGTCGCCTTGGTTGTGGTGGGCCCATAGCTTTCGCGCTTCTTCCCAGAAGGTATCTTGACCCGATTCTTCGCATTCTGTCAGTATGTGTCTCATAGACTCGCAGTCGTCGCCGCATTCCCAACAGTACTTTCGGCTGTTGTATTCTGGGTCGTCCATTCTCCTCCAGTATTCTCCGACCTTGTAGCCGTCGTGGAGCAACTTCCACATGAATTCTTGGTCCTTCCTCGTAAGGTTCGGACTCCATGTTGTCCGCCATATTGCCTCGTCTGGGGGGAAGGGTCCGTTATTTTCGGCTGCTACGAATCGCGCACAGTCCAGGTTGACTAGTGTTGGCGTTCGGTCTTGGGTAGGGTGTTCCCGCCTGAGGATCTTGTAGAGGGAGCGCTGGGTTGCCTCCGCTAGTGGAACTCCCCGCGGGCGCCATTGGAGTGCGGACTGTTCGTCAAGTGTTTGTCGTGCTCGTTCCTGCGGCTTGAATCTCGCGGACTCGAGGAGGACGTCCATCGGGGGTGACGCTTCACGGCATGCTATCAGTGTGGGAGCTGACCGCTTGTTGATTTCTGCCGTCAGGAGGCGCCAGGCTTCGGCGCTGGTCCCGAGGATGAAGTCCGCGTCTTCGTTCGTTTCCCTGTCTAGGGTGAGGTCCCTGACCATGGACTCATCGGAGGTCGCTATTGTCAGTTGTCTATTATCCGGTGTGCGCCGAATCACCTTTATCATTGCTAGGATAAGGGGTAGTCGCGGGTCGTTTTCCACGTTCATAGTGAGTTGTTCTACTTCGACATCTTCCCTGAGGTTGAAGCTTACGGATTCCTCAGGACTTTGGTCGTATCGTATCGCTCCTAGTCGGATATGGACGAAGTTGTTCGAGATCTCAGCCTTGGCCGCTATTTCTGCATGTTCCTCTGGCCAGGGTGCTAGTCTGGCGCTCGCCGATCTGAAGGCATCATCGATCATTTCCGCGGCATCTTCGCGGGCAGCCTTGAGCGGGTTATCAGAGAGCCATTTGTCACTGAAGACCCGGAATGATTTGTGGAACTTCGCGTTGCTAAGAATCGTCTTATGTATTAGTAGGGGTGTGCCGTCGCGGATTCTTGCTTGGCTACGTGTTCGTAGGTCTCTGGGGGGATCCTTGTGTTCTGGATTCCAGCGGGAGTTCGTTATTATCTGCCACAATCCGACGACCACGAGGTGACAGTTGTGGGGGTTGTCGCAGTATGCGCGGTCTTGTACACATGGGTCGCATTGGCAGTCACGGGTGGGTCGGTGAGGATTGGAGTCGGGGAGGTTTGCACGTCTGGCAGCTGCCCGTTGCAGATCTTCGACCGTAATTGTTTTGTGTCGCTCGATCAGGCATTCGCTCAGATTCCAGCGCATCATGCGCCTCATGGTGTTGCGCTCTTCGAGCTCTAGGGGACTTAATCGGACGTGGTGCCATATTGTCAGTTGTTTGCGTATTTCTTGGGCGGGGGCTAGGACTGAGAGGCCGACTCTGTGTTTCCGTGCGATGTGCATCATCTCTTTCAGTTCGGGGGGCCAATGCTTCATCTTCTTGCCATCTGCGGTGGGGTCCCAGTCCTGGAGGAAAGGGTCCCAGCGTTGTTTCGCATTCACTTGTTTGCTCGTCTGGCCCGAGTCAGTGTTGATGAGTTTGGCGATTATGGCTACTGCGTACTTTGTCCAGCGCGGGCGGTCTTCGCTCGAGAGCCAGGACTTTAGTCTCATTAGGATGATCGCTTCTTCTCGCAGTGTGAGGTCGATGAGGCCCGCTCCTCCGTCCGTCTTCGGTCTAGAGAGAGTTGCTCTATTGATTGTGGGTCGACTCGTGCCCTTCCAGAAGAACTGCTCCTGGATTTTCATTACTCGCTCGATGATGGCTATTGGCATGCCCTGTGCTGATGCGAGGAATTGGGTCATGCCTGCCGTGAACCAGTCCGTGAACATCTTTCGCTGCCTAAGCTCGGGGTACCTGTCCCGCGTAAACCAGAATGCCATTCGTCCAGTCAGTTTCGTGAGGGTAGGTTCCCATACCGTTTCGTCTGAGAGGCCGTTGCCTATACGTCCTCCAAGGAGGCGCGACGGCTCACCTTCCGCGGCTATCCGGACATGGTCTGGTACTGGGTCCTGGGTATCTGAGATGCACCTTGTTCTGATGACATCTAGTCTGTGTTGTTTTCGTCCAATTGGAATGATCTCTGTCTTTTTTATGTTGAAGCGGGCACGTGCGGCTCTGCACCAACGGTCGAGTATGGCCGTAAGATCACTGAATTTGTCTGAGGCATGCAGGTATACTGTCGTGTCGTCGGCAAAAAGGTTCGTGATGAGGCGCTCGCCTCCTTGCGGGCACTCGATGCCAATTAGGTTGGACTGTCGGAGCATTTCTGCGAGTGGCTCGATTGCGAGCACGAAGAGGAGGCATGACAGCGGGTCCCCTTGTCTGACGCCTCTGTACACTCTGAAGGGTTCGCTCTGTACTCCATTTATGATGACTCTCGATGTCGCTTCGGCGTACAGTGACTCTATGGGTCGTATCCATTCCTCTGGGAGGCCGTATTCCCTTACGATTTGCCACAAGTAGTTTAGGTCGATCTTGTCATATGCCTTTTCTTGATCTAGTAGGATGATGGCACCATCGACATTGTAGGCCTCGGCGTAGGCTACAATCATTCTTGCGAGGGAGATGTTATTCAGGATTGATCTTTTCGGGATGAAGCCTGTTTGATCGTCAGGTACTAGATCGCCGATGACGTCTGCGAGCTGAAGGGCTCGGAACTTCGTGTATAGTTTGTAGTCTGTGTTCAGGAGGGTAATCGGCCGGTAGTTCTCTGGTAGGTCTTTGGGACCCTTCTTGTGTATTGGACATAGGACCCCTTCATTCAGTCCCGCGGCTTTGCAGTGGCCGTGGTGTTCTACGTCTTCGAAGACAGTTGTGAGCATGGCCATCGGGTCGAAAAGTGGCTCCATTTCCACGATGTCGTCTGCTCTCGCGATGTAGCGCTTATCGTTGGCTAGCTTTGTGAACTTCTTCCAGAACTCGTAGGGGAGGCCGTCGATGCCCGGCGCTGATTCGTTCTTGGTTAATTTTAGGGTGTGTTCAAAGTCTGTCACATTCGCGCCTGTCCGTAGGCCTGCTTTCTGGTCCTCTGTCAGTTTGTTCTTTACAAAGGGCTTGGCGTCATCAATGGCTTCTTGGTGAGCCTCCGGTGAGGACGGCTGATCTTGGGTTTGCAGGTTTTCGTGGAACATCGCCATTTCTTCGGCCATGTCCTCCGATCTGGTGAGGTGTGTGGCTTCTGCTGCTTGTTGCCTTTGACGCATCGCTTCAATGTTGTCCTCCGGGGGTTCTTGGGGCTGGCTGGGAGAAGCCGCCGCTCGTGCTTTTCTCGCCGCTTGTCTGGCTGCTCTGGGCCCTTCCATATCCGGGATTTTTCTCATTCGGATCATCTGCTCCTTCAGTTGGAAGGGCTTGTTCTGAGCCATCATGTACTTTCCCGGGCGCCCTCCTTTAACAAAGTCTGTGGTTTGGACTCTGATCTTGTGTCTTTCATTCTTCAGGCTTGTTAGAGTGCGGATGGTGTCGTCTAGGTCTGCGAGATCTTCGGCGTCGAGGTGACCCTCTTCGAGTAGGCGATGCCGTTCTTTCTCTAGTGCGGCTAGTCGCCTATCTAGTGACTGAGGTTTCATCACTTTGTCGTATTCCCGCATCATGGTTCTCACGTCCGACTTGAACTGGCTGAGGATGAGTTGCGGGTTGTTCTCTTCCGTGCGTGTTTCGATCTGCGCCATCGCCTCTGTGGCGTCGATGCCTAGTTGTGTCACCGCTTTGATGACCTTCTTGTTGTCAAGAAGGTTGAGGGGCATGGACCAGCGTCCTGGGCCTTGGTATGGCGCGTCGCATCCTTCAATTTCCATCACAAGCATTAAGTGGTCGGACTGTATACCTGCATTCCGGATTGCTATCGAGAGCATGTACGGCATAAGGGCTGAGCGTAGGTACCCTCTGTCTAGCCTTGCCCATGTTCCGTGGTTGCCTCTTGCGCGCCATGTGTAGTCTCTTTTGTCTGGGTAGTGCGTTATGAAGGTGTCTTGGACGTTAAAGCGGATCTTGAGGTCCCAAAGCGCGTCTACGACCGTGTGCGTGTCGTCGTCACCGGTTGACCGGTCCATCCCCCTTTCTACAACATTGAAGTCACCGGCCATGTAGTCTGGTTTGGGGAGGGTGGACCTCTGCTCGTAGGCTTCCCCGATGCTTCGGAAGAAGGCGGTTTTCTCGCTGTCTTTGTCGGCCGGGGCATATATGTTGAGTACCGTGAAGGACTTTCCGCCTTGCCATGGGATCGTCAGTGTGGCGGCGCGGCCGGGTACTATGACTTCGTGTTTGATGTCCGTGCATGCTACGCGTTCCATGTTCACGACGAATGCTACTCCCGCTGATCGTGTTTCCCGACCGGGCATCGGTGACGCGAACACCTTTAGCCTACGGTAGTTCTTTTCCAGCTCGTCAGCTTCTTCTTCGGTGAGGTGGGTTTCTTGCAGGAGCATGATGGCAATCTTGTCTTCCTTCATTCGCAGGTGAATATCTTGCCATTTGGTACTGTGTATTCCGTCCTTCCCTTTCCCGTTCATATTTTGCGAGACGATTGTCAGGTGTGGCTTGGTTTTACGCTTCTTTCCTTTTCGCGTCTGTATGTGCATGGGCGGTCGTTTGCTCTTCGCGTTCTCTTTCTGGGCCTTTCGTCGTACCTTTCGCGACGGCAGGGTGTTGACTTCTTGGTATGGCGTCGCGTGCGCTGTCGTGAGGCCGGCGTTTGCTGATGTCTCATTCTGAAGGTTGTTTTTTCTTCGCTTGCTGCGTCTGGCGCCTGTCTCGGCTGGTTCTGTTTCTCGCGCCGCCCGTTTTCGGGCGGCCTGCCCTCCGTTTGCTAGGAGGGGGCCTCTCGCGTTGCCGCTGAGGCTCAGAGCTTTGGAGGCTCCGATCGGGTCGCGCTTGTGCTCGCGCGCCCTTCTGCTGTCCCGATCTCCGGGTCTTTCACCGAGGTCCCCGCCCGCAGGTCCAGCGGGTTCCTCTCCTGGGCCGCGGAGGCGCTTACCGTTGCTGTTCTTGTCCGCTAAAATGGGGTTGTTAGTATGGTTGTGGGCTGCTGCATCGATTGTTAGTGTCCTCCTTTGGCTGAATAGGCCTCCGGAGTGAGGGACGGGTTTCACGCCGGCCCATGATCGAGGCAGAACCCGCAATCATACTCGTACCTGTCTCGCCTACTCTAAGCACCTAACTACCTACTTGTTTCGGTACTACTTCGTGCGAGGCTTTGGCGGTCGGGCCGCTGCCGGTGGTACATGCTCGGCGGAGAGGGTTGGGTCTGTTCGCGTTTGCTGGAGGCGCGGTCCGTCTCAGTAGGATGTGCGGGCCGTTTGATTGCCTGATTATTAGGATGTGGCTTCGAGGGGGTCTTCGTTGCTTTCGCATTCGGGCGGGTAAGAGAGTCACATCGTTGCTATTCACGTTGAAAGTACAGGGGTATATGTCGGGTAGGTGGGGGGTTAACGGGGTGGGCGGACCTGAGTGACGCAGTGACGTGAGGGATAGGGGGTTGAGTAGCGACTGGGCGGGTAAGGGAGCGTGTTCAGACGAGCGGGACGGGGGACAGGTAGCGACAAGTGATACATAGCGGGAGTATCGTGCTCGGGGGTACGGGTGAGGTGGGGTACGTATGGAAGCCAATACTCTAGTAGGCGTTGCCGCCACGGCCGCGGCCTCCTCGCGTGTTTCCCCTGCCACCGCGACCTGCTCCTCGGCCACGGCCACCTTGGCCTCCTCCGCGTGCATTGCCGAAGCCGGGGATCTCCGGGATGTTGAAGAGCGGCTGCTGGTGCATTGCCGGTTCGTCGTCCTCGTCGGTTACGATGGGGGGGACGCCATCCCACTCGGGGAGGTTGGGGAAGGGGCAGAGCGTGGCCGGGTGGTCGCTCGCGAGGCATCTGGAGCAGCGAAAGCGGTCGGCGTTGAGGATGCCGACTCCGAGGAAGGGGTGGGTAAGGCGGCCTTGCCTGTTGAGCTGGAGGCGCAGAGTGGCAAGGAACGTGTATACGTGGTCGATTTGGGTGTACGGTGTTTCTATGTACACGGCGTATACATTCGTTATGATGTTGCCCGGGCCACGGACTGGCATGAGGCGGAGGAAAATCCTGCGATGCTTGTATTAATAAAGCGGGTGTGTTCGTCGTAGGTGAGGTTGCTTACCCGGTCCGGTACATCGTGCACATGTAGTCCCTTTGTTCGGGGCCGTTACGCGCGATCGCCTCCTGCATGACTGGGGTCCCCATGATCGCGTTCGTGACGAAGTCCGCGATGTTGTCGCCGCCTCCGTTGGGGGTGAAGAAGGGGCCGAACAGGCCATCGATGATGCCGACGAATAGCCTGGTGTATGCGAGCGTGAGGTTCGCCGCAAAGCCGTGGAGCGGGGGGCGATTCGAGACGCTGATCGTCGTCCCTACGAGGTCGTGCCGTTCCTGCTCGATGAGATTGAAGGCGAAGTAGAAACCGCTGTAGTGGTCGTTCGCCTGGCGTAGCGGGATGACCTAGGGGGTCGGTTCGGTAGGTAAGTGATTGCAGGGGCGGGCGACTGTGCGAGCTTACCCTGATGGCGTCTCCGTCTTGGAGCCGGTCGTACATTTCGTTTAGCGCGGCCTCTAGGTTCGCGGCGTGGCTGTGTGCCATAGGCGCGCTGGTGGGTGGGGGAAGGCCCGGCGCCACGAGGAAGGCCGTGTTGTTCGGCTGTTCGGTTGCCCTGCGCTGGATCGCCCCCGTTTGTGACGGGTGCATCGCGCGGTAAACCGTGTATACCCCGTCCGCAAGGAAATACTGTAGCTGGTTGGGTCCCCATGCCCGCGACTGGACGATGTTGGGCGGCGGGGCGGGTGTCTGGACGGGAGGCGGGAAGTGCGGCTGCTGCTGCGGGTGTGGGTGGGGTACCGGGTGTACTGGCGGTGGTGGTGGTGGTTGCGGCGCGTCCTGGAGCATGGGCGCCTGTGCCGGGCCAGCGTCGGCCATTAAAACCTGGATCGGTGCTGGGTGTGGGATGAAAGGGGCGGCTGGCGGTGCCGGGATGAATTCGGCGCCGAGGGCGAACGGGTCGTTGCTCGCCGCGTAGCGTTCCCGGGATGTCGCCGCTTCATCCGCCATGTCTATGAGGTTCGCCCAGCGGCGTGAGGGGCCTGCTTCGTCGTAGCGCTGGCGGGTGGGCTTGGGTTCCGTCGTCTTCGGGAGTGGGGTCTGGAGGTGCGGCGGGAGGTCGCGCGAGTGGGTGGTTGTCATGTCGATGACTTCGACCGTATCCTGGGGTTCGCTGTGCGGGAGCGTTGCAGCCTTCCGCGCCGCCGACGCTGCCCTGGCGGTTTTCGACCTATGATCACGCCCGCCGAAGTGCAGTGGCTTTATCGAGTGGTCCGGCATCGGGAGGTCATCGTCCGCCGACGACGTGCGAAGCGACTTGGGCGTTCGTTCCTCCTGCCTCGCCTTGCCTTTGTTGAGAGGGCGGTTGGGGGTCACCGGGGCGGCCGTTGAATGGTCGCGCTTGGGCGGCCTGTTCGCGGAGGTGGCGACCAGGCTGGGCTCGGGTGCCGCCGTTACGGGCATCGGTGTGACGCTTTCCTCCTTCTTGGGCGTTTCCGCCTGAGTTGGTTCAGCCTGTGGGCACGTTGTTCGTCAGGGGGTTTGTTGGGGATGGATTACGGTGGCTGTTGCTTACCATCTTGGGCGTCTGGGTTCCCAAGGCGGGTGTCACGGACTCCTCTTTCTCGAGACCGTACCAGCCGTTGATCGGCCCGGCTAGTGTCGCCGGCGTCAGGGATTCCTCCTTCGCGTCGGGGGAGGCGCGGGGAGTTGAGGTCACGAGTGGCGGCGAAGGCGGGAGGGGTGTCTGCTGGCGTACGAGGGAGGGTGTTAGGCATTTCTTGGCTGATACGCGTCTGCACTCCGTACCTGGTCTGCCGCCGGCTTCTTGGATTTCTTGGTTGCTTTCGTTCTCCCCTTGCCGATGCTGAGGGACTCGATACGCGGGCGCGTGATCTCGCTACGGATTGGGCCCGAGGCCGGCGAGAGGGGAGGAAAGCTAGGGTCGCTTCGCAGGATCGATGGCGTCGCCGAGGTCGAACCCCACGCCGAGGCCGGGCGAGAGGGAGGGAGCGGGGTGGCCTGGGGTGTGGACACCGCGGTTTCGCTCGTAGGAGGCGACGGGGACGCGTTATTCGGGGTAGTGCTGGGAGCTGACATGCTGGGTTAAGTCGGGGATCTTTTTACGGAAGTAGGAGATGAGGCTGACCTTGGATTTACGCTGCGGGTTTTATATCCTTCGCCGTCGTTCGGATGGTGGTTCTTCGGTTGGCAGTGGCTCGTTGGTGGGATGTTCGCTGAGAGGGCGCGCTGGCGGTGGTAGTTCCTGGTGGTTGAATTATCTGCCGCTGAGACCGGTAGGCGGTGTCGTTTTACTTACGTTCTAAGAGTGTGCTGAACTCTGTCTTTGTGAGCGCTCTCGCGCTCGTTGACGACCTGCTGGGATGTTTGTCCGTGATGCGGATTCCTTGTCGCGCGAGGCGTTAGAGTTCAGTCTTAGTGCGCCTGTGCGTCGGTTGCGAATGCCCGGGGATCGGCTGGTGCGCGGTGTTGCGGGTGCATTGGTTCGTTTGAGGGTGGGAGGACGTGAAGGTTGAGGTTTGTCGGACGGGGCGCGCGCGGCTTTGTTTCGTGGGTCTATTTCACGTGTTTCTTGTTTCCGCTATTCCCATGCTTGCTCTTGACGTTTGCGTTTTTTCCCCCGTTTGTTGTTTTGCGTATGATACTACTACTGAGGCTTCTCATTATCATGCGTGGTGTGCGGGTACTGTCTATCATAGTTCTCGGGCAGTGTCTAGGTTTATTCTTCTCCTCGGGGAGTCTCAACCGTCCCTTGCTCATACCAAATCACCTTCGTCGTGTGTGGCGTTCCTGTCGCCCGGTCCTCCGTGCCGAGCGTTCGTGTTAGGACTTGCAGGATTGCTGCCTTGTCTCTGGCATATGCGTTCTCCTGTGCTCGCGCTCGCTCGTCCCGCACGTCTTGGTTGCTTCCAAAGATGCGGATTGACTTCGAGTAGGCGAATGCTCCTGCGGCGTGTACGTGGTGTTCGGTCGTGAGGGATGTCTGGGTGTCCTGCGGCGACGCGCTCACGTTGAGTGCTGTGTCTTCGGCAAGGAGAGTGATGCGGCTTGTGTGCGTGAGTGCGGATGGCGCGCGGGTGTCGTCTCGGTTGTGGTTGTGGCATTCCGTGGCGTTTGTCGCTTCTCCGGGCGAGGGCTCTCGTTCGCGGGTGGCCCCGCGGGGATTATGTTCCATCTCGCAGATGTACAGCACTAGCCCGGAGGTAGGACGTGGGTGCAGGATGCGTAACTCGCAGATGCTGCGCCACGGTTGCATGTTGTCGAGGCGGTGGTATGTGTCTGAGTCTACGAATGATTGCCTGAAGTCTTAGGCTTGCTGTTCGGTCGGCCGCTCGGGACTGCGGTGCGGGGTTTTTTTCGTCTCGAGCGCTCTTGGGCTGTTGGCATCTTAGAAGTTGATTTTTCCACGGCGGGTTCTCCTCGCATGGTCGCGCTTTGTCTGCCGGTGTTCGCACGTCTTACTAACTCCGTGTGCTTTGGGTTTCTTTTGCGGTTCTTGATCGCACTTGTCGTTTGTTGTTTCGTTGACATGTTCTCTTCACCTCAGTTGTTCGAGTGATGGGGCAAAATCTTGACGGGGTTGCCCTCCTCGTGGACGGCCCTGGAATTCTGTTCTTTCAGTTCGGTCCGGGCTTGCCGGGGCGTTTGGGTAGATGGTGCTTATCGGCGCCACGAGCTTTCATTCGAATCGGGTAGACACTAGTTGATATTCTGGAGTCCGTGTGCGATAGTACGTAGAGAGGGGGTATAAGTGGTCATGTACATGGGGAGCGGCAGTACACGGGTGTATGATACGCCTCAGCGGGACAAAGACGCCTCGTACGCGACCAAGTCCTGAAGGAAAGCTTCGTCCATGATCACCGAGTTGCCCTTGCGGTGTAGGCATGCGCAGGTTAGGTGCGTTGAAACGAACGCACACGGGTTGCGCCCTATGGCAGTGATGAGTCTGGTGTGAGCGCTTTCCGAGATGTGCTTGGGGGTGCTCACTGTTCGTGTCTAGTACTCGCGGGTACACCGGTGGCCACCCGGTTGGCTCGTCTTTGGGGACGATGCGCGCGTTCGGTACCTCCGCAAACTCGCTGACGTATTGCTGAGGGGGAGTGTAGTTGTCGAGCGTCTCGTCGAGGGCCGCGGTGATGGCACGGGTGTGGGTCGGGTTGACTGGGAGGTCCGCCGGGCTCGCGCCTGTGAGGCGGTGCCGGAGCGCGGCTAAGACGAGGGTGTCTGCCGATGTGAAGAGGGCATGTGGGAAGCACCGCTTGAAGGTGCATGGCTTTTCGTCGCTGTGTCCGTCATAGGGCGTCTTGAGGAGGAAGAGGCGACGAGGGAAGGAGAATTGGGTGGGGCCGCAGGAGAGGCTGACGATGGCGCAGATGTAGATGGCGTAGAGGGTGTCGTGGGTGAGCTCCTCGGACACCTCTACTTGGATTTTGATTATAGGCGCCGGGGAGAGGTCGAGGCGGGTGCCCGGAGAGATTGCTGTGGACGAGATGTACGGAGCGTAGGCGCCGATAGCAAAGAGGCGGCGGTAGTTTCTGATGAGGGTGGTGACTGGGACTTTCGGGAAGACGAGGTGCAGGCCCCTCAGGATAATGGAGGCGAAGCAGTCATACAGAAAGAGTGGGTGCGCGCAGGCAAAGGAGCAGACGAGTGTTATGATAGAGAACGGTGATGGATAGGCGTCCATTGCTGTGGTGATACTGGGTCTTGCGCTGGTTGGTTTCAGCTGTATAAGAGGGTTGCCGTTGGTCGTGCTTTACGTATTGGGGCGGCCGCCGTTGGTCATACCCTGATCGTAGTGCTGACAGAGGTGGTGAGCGCAGCGGTAGCTGACTGCCTGGATTTCCTGGTTCTGTAGTGCCGCAGTATCAGTTTCTGATGTAGTGCAGTATGGGGGAGGACTAGACCGGTGGGCATACTGCATAGTTCTTTGTTCTAGACATTTTCCTTCCTCATTATTTGTGTGGATCATTTGTTGGTCGGATGGTTGGTCAGGCATAGTGTATAGATACATAGGTCTGAGGCGGCACAGGTGTGTACATGATTTATATGTTGCATAGGGACGTGTACGAGTTCGCATATCTTCGGGCGGCATGGGTGTGTGGTCGTGGGATGCTGCGGCTCGGGGCTTTTAACCGGTGCTTGTGGTTCACGTGATCACTTTCCTCGCGGTTGTCCGCCTGCTTTCGCCCTGGTAGAGTCTCTATTCTATTACTGTACGGGTGCCGGCGACCCTTGGCTTGTGCTCGCCTGGCTTGTGCTCGCCTTTTTTGTTGCTGTTCGGCCTACGGCCTACATCAGCTTGAGGGGAGTGGAGTGGGGAGGCGCTGGCCGAGCGGGTTTGTTTGTTGGGAGACGGCGCGCGCCAGCGCGTTTGCTCTCATTGCGGGTTACTCTTCGCTGTTCTCCCTCCTCCCTCTCTCCCTCTACCTATGTGCCTTTTCCCTTTTTCCACCCCTCACGTCGCCGTCCTCTGCGGTTCCTCCTTCTCCGGCGTTCGTAGCTTGCTCCTTTACCGTGGGAATTTTGGTGGTGGTGGTGGTTCGTCCGGATAACGGATTCCAATGTGTTGTTGTCGGTCTGTGATTCTTCGCGCGACTCTGCAATGAACGTCGTGAAGGCGAGGTCAGTACGGGCGGGGTCGTGGCGCATCGGGATAATGTCTTCGACTCGATGAGGGGTGACTTCCGGGAAGAAGTGGTAGAGGTACTGCAGTGGGCTCCGGTACTTGCTCGGGAATGTCGCAGCACTAGACTCAGCTATGGGAAAAAGTGGGTGAGTCTCGGGAAGTGCGGAGATCCTCGTCAGAGCGCGGAAACAGTGCTTAGCGACAAGCAAACGCATTGGGAGGAGGTTGGCGTGTATGTCGAGTACGTCATTGGGTGATGATCGTAGACCGCCTGTTATTGTTAGTGCAGCTATGCGCTGTATTGCTGAGAGACGACGTATGGCGCCGAGGGAGCCCCGACGTGCTGCCATGGTCGGCCGAGCACACGGTATGTCCTTTGGAATTGGTAGGCACCATATGTCCACAGCATACAGCATCTTGGGGATAGCCACGCTAATATAGAGACGGCGTACGAACTTCGGTCGCAATCCGCGCTTGATGCGTGCGAGCCGGCGGATCGCGAGTACGTATTTGCGCCCTTTCGCCACAGCACTGTTGGTCTGGTCCGTCCACTTGAGCTGGTCGTCCCATATAACTCCGAGGAAGCGATGTGTGTGTATGGGTTGGATGGTGACATCGCCGAGCTGCAGTTCGGGACGACGCATCGGCAGTCTGGAGAAGTCCATAAGCTTAAACTTAGAGGTTTCAAATCGTGAGAAATGCTTAGCCGCCCACTCCCGGGCACCCCCTCTACGCTCGTACATGTCCTGGAGTATCGCGTGCGTCTCGTCGAAGGTGTCGCCAACGGCGACTAGTGCGGAGTCGTCCACAAACCCGGCTACCCGCTCCTTAGATCCCCTAGGTACACGTAGGAGGTCAGCACCGTAGAAGAGGTAGAGGATCAGGGACATAGGGTCGCCCTGGGGGATGCCATTGAGTACTGGGAAGGCCATGGACTCGTATCCGTCGAACTTCAATTGAGTGCTGCGTCCTTCAAGGAGGAGCTGCACGAAGTTGACGATGTACGACGGGACCCTGCGCATCTTGAGGTCATGGATCAGGACCTCCGGTACCGCGTTAGGGAATGCACCCTCGATATCGAGGAATAGCACCGATGCTACTTTTCCCTTGGCCCACGCCGATGTGATGATGTCGTTGAGGACATGCATCGAGTCGGTGGTGGTGCGGCCCGGTCGCCCGCCGAATTGCGCTGGCGGGAGAAGTCCGTGTTGTTCACTAAGGTACGTCAGCTGCTCGGTGACGATAGCTGTCAGAACCTTAGCCATCGTGCACAAGAGCGCTATGGGCCGATACGCTTTCGAGACGGCGTAGTTCGGCTTGTCCGGTTTTCGCAGGACGACCGTCGTAAACTCCTTCCAACCCGCGTAGTAGTAGCCATGGCGCAGAACGGCATTGTACACGGCTACCAGCCATGGCGCGATAATGTCTGCACACTTCGTTAGTACGATGTTCTGGATTCCATCCGGTCCGGGCGCTTTGTATGGGCTCAAACGCGCCAGGTGACGTAAGACCGTTGATTCAGAGATCGTCGCATCTGCAGTGAGCGGCTGCGGGTATACCGTATCCGGTGGGACCGCCGCATCCGCTGGGGGTGCCGGGAAGAACGTCGCCGCGAGGAAGGCACTCTTGTCCTCGTTTGTCGCCGCTGCTTCTTCAACACCCGGCGCGACCGTGCGTTTCAGCGTCGGGATCGACGCTGCACCTCCATCCGTCGCTTCGGCCTTTGCGAACTTGTTCGCCGTCCATATGTCGTCCTCTCCCACTTCTTCCAGCCACTCCTCCCAGTTGGTTTTCTTTGCCATGTATATTGCCCGGCGATACTCGCGCTCGGCGGCCTTGCGCGCCGCGTGCGATGGGTGTTCGCGTATGCCACGCCACTTGTGCGATTCGCGGCAGATCTTCCGCGTCTTCAGGTTGAGCGCCTTGAGCTCGGCCGTCCACCAGTTCTTGATGTGGGAGCGCGCCTTCGCCAACGGGATGTGCGCTTCGCACGCTCCCTGAAGTACACGCGTTATCATGTCAACAAACGCGGTGAACTCTTCCTGCGAGCCAATCTCTCCCGGGAGCTCCTCCTGTTCCAGCCGCTCTTTCACATACGTTCGGATATTGTCCCAGTCGGCTAGGCGAGCGTTGCGTGTGGGTGGTGGTTCGTAAGTGTCGATTGGTATGTCGATGATGGTATAGATGGGGAGGTGGTCGGAGAAACCGCGGTTGGATGGATCCGTGTCGCACAGCGTTACTGCATCTCGCAATGCGGAGGATATCCACACGTTGTCTGGGCGTGACCATCGTCCTGTGCTGCCCAGTTGAAGGGTGGGGATCGCCGGTGGAAGAGCCATCTCCATGTCGTGGTCCGATGCGAGTGTTAGAAGGATCTCAGCATCGCGTGTGTTGCCAGGCGTGAAGAGGTGGTGGCTGGCCAAGTCGTCCCAATCCGGATGGTGGCGGTTAAAGTCGCCCGCCCATAATAAGTACGATCGCTCATCTGGTAGGATGTAATCAGCGTGGTCATGTATAAACGAGCGTATAAGATGGAGCGTCTCAGAATGGTTGCAGTCGTTGTATATGTTGAAGATCGTCAGGCGTCCGAAGTCGCCTTTCAGCAGTATTGCCGAGACGTCGAGACTGGGGAAAGGTAGTGTTTCCCAAGAGTTGGTGTCGACCGCCTTGCTGATGAAGGTGACTGCACGGGCAGCTTTGGACCGGTCCGAGGCATGGGGATGTGGGTACGACACGTAGTGGCTTGACGGAGCGCGGGTGAGACCATACTTGTTGATACACGGTTCCTGTAATAGAATTAAGTCGAAGTCGTTCACGGCGGATGAGTTAAGGAGGAAATGATGACAATCAGGCATTTTTCTCATGTTCTGTTGATAGATACGTAGCCTATGCGGTGGCGTCCTCTGGGCCCCGTCTTCACTCATTCCGCTCTTCTCCAGTCTGACCGCTTGCAGCTTCCATCGGCTTGTCCTTCTCCAACGCTCGCTCCAACTCCTCGTTGGCCAATTCTCGCCTCCTCCTTTGACTCCCTGCACTCCGTGCTGGCACTACCGTCTGCTGAGAGGCGCGGCAGCGGGCGTGTTCCGGTCCCGTTCGCTGGCCGCTCCATCAGGTGAGCTTGGTACGTCTCGAAGGGTGCGCCCGGCGCCACCATGCCCTTGAGCGTCCAGGCCTCGTTCGTGGGGAAGTAGACCCGGCAGTTCTCAGGGTGCCGTTCGTCGTACTCGACGCAGCGTCGCAGGAATGACGGACAATCCCGGTCCCTACTGCAGTGCTTATCCGTGTTGCACGACACACAGAACCGCCCCCCTCTCCTCTCACACGTCCCCGTCCTGTGCTCCTTTCCGCATACCCCACACGTATCCCATCTCTGCTTGCAGACTTTCGCTACATGGTTGTACTTCTGGCATTTCGCGCATCGTATGGGCTCATACTTCTGCCGCCATGCTTTGGACCACTTCCCGCAGACGTGCACACCGTCAAGTATGCATTTGTTGGCGATTTCCGGCTCAGTAAGAGAGAGCATGACGTTCGCGAAGCGTTGGTTTGGGGCGCGGAACTGGACCGGCTTGATGTATTGAGCGCGCCGGACGCTGCCTGCCGGGAGGTTGTTCATGACTTCGAGTTCGCGTAGGTCGTCCGGGTTGTCCGGCGCGAAGCTGATCGGTACCATCCTTGCCACCACCTTGTACTCCCGCCCGATGGCAACTACATGGTATTCCAGGGCGTCTCCAAGCGCGTCGCTCCCTTCCGACGTCAACACGTATCTCGCCGCTTCCTCCGATGCAAACTCCACGAGTACGTCCATTCCAACCCTCCTGACGGAGTGTATGGCTAGACTGTAACCCAAGTCCTTCTCTAGTTCACCCTTCGCGATTGCGGCGCGGAAGTGGTCGGCGATCGCGGCATTCGCTAGGTTGGGCGGAATGATGGATTTGCCCTCGGGCGGGTCGCCGTCACGGTGGGTGAAGAGTACTTGGCGAGTTAAGATAGCTTCCGCCTTGCGGGCTTGGAAGTCACGGTCAGAGCCGGGTGGGGTGGGTAGGCCTGCGACGACGGCGTCGAAGAAGGCCTGGGCGTCCATTGGTTCGTCCGGGTGCGGCGTTGGCGCAGCTGAGTGGGTGTGCGTGCACGAGGGTAGATTTTCGACCAAGCTGTTTGCCAACCGTGTGAGGCCTTCGTCGAGCTTTTCGTCAATGTGCCGTCCGATCTTGTCCGTATAAGCTATGAGGTCTAGCTTCTGGTCCGCCAGAATGAGGGTAATGAGCTCCCCCGCTGCCGTCGCGGCCACCATCATCTCCTTCTTCATAATCTGCCCCGTCCCGAGAACTCTGAGTGCACCCGCCACTGCCTCCAGCGTCATCTCCGGTTCCGACCTCGGGAGCAGCTTGTGTTCCTTGAGAATGTCCCAGTGCTGCTTCGCTCTATCGGAGCTCAGCAGCCCTGTGGACTTCAAGGGCACAGCTTGGTTTGCCGCCTGGGGAGCGCTCGCGGGTGGTGTAGGTGCAGTACTCGCTTGAGACGCCGGGTTGGCTGATTCGGCACCTGGAGGCGGCGCCGTGTTGGGTGATGTAGGGCCGGCCGTCCCTTCGAGTTCTGTTGGTTCTGTGGGGGTGCTTTGAGGCGCGCTCGAGCAATTATCGTCAGGGTTATTAGTATTATAATCTTGTACTGTATTTATTATCTGGTTGCGAATCTTTGCGCGGGATGCTTCAGTGGACGGCGCCTTTGTAGGCGGTGTTCTTAGGGTGGGGCGGTTGCGGACGCCAGCGCGTTTGCCCGCTGCTTGGATAGTTACGCCCGTAGTAGGGGAGCGTAGAACCGTAGGACCGCTCGCCGAAGCGGCAGATCTGGCCGACATCTCCAAGACTACCTAGAATCTAGTGCGTACCTGTGCTGTACACTATTTCTAGGCGTGGGAAAAAACGGAGATGGTGGTGGTTGCGCGTTTCCGCAAGGAAGATGCTATCACGGGGAGCCGCTTGGCAGGATGTGTCTCTGGCGACGACATTCTCGACGCTTTACAAGGTCCGATCGCTGCCCTCGATGAAAAGCGCGCCGGTGGGAAAGTTGCGAGTGCCATTCGTTGTTCATTGAGACCCATCGTACTTGGCCTAAGGGTCTTCCTTGACGTGGGCGCCGAGGTGGCTTCATCTTCGGTGTGTCTACGTCGTGCTCTCAACCGGATCCTGATTGAACTCATCTGATTCCCAGGGCATTCCTTGTGGGAACGCCATCTTCGTCGCCATCAGTGTATTGTTACGAGTGCGTTGCGCAGCCCTTCCTCCTCTTGTTTGCGCGTACATACTCAGGCTGATTCTGCAGGCAGCAGATCGCGTAGGCGCAAGGTCCGATGATCTCATGAAGCTACTCAAGCACTATCAATCCTACATCAGACGCTTGAGCATTAGAATGCATGCCGCGTTCGGCGACGAAGCCATAGCTTTGGCCGTAGAAGGCTTGGTGTCGATGCTACGGGCGTTCATGTTAGCCACGAAGTCGATGCGAGAAGGCCGCTTCAGTGAGTCAGCACTCCGTATACCGACGTATGCTGCCTTGACTCACATACCGGCCCAGAGCAGTTCTTCAGGGCCTTGTTCGCAAGATCGGATGATGTCCAGGAGGCTATCACAGCTTTAGATGATGTTATAACTGAGGATGAAAGGCTGACGATGGTGGAGCTGGTGGTCGGCGTACATGATCTCACGTTGAGTGGTGAGCCTTTCGCGGTTAATCATAGTATCACTGACATAATGGTGGGTATAGTGAACGAGATTCTTGAGATCACGGCAAGATCAGAGTCGGTCATCTCTCGCGTGTTGACCTCTGTGTGCGATATGCACACCGATCTGGCTGGTGCTATCACATCAGGTAAGTGCCCTGTCACAACAATGAACTCTCGCCGACTAACGCCGCAATAGCTCACCATATCCACGAAGCCAAACTCGATCGCCTCGAACACCTGATGAGCACGAACGCCGAAGCTCTCACCAGGAACCACTCCGCGCCGGACCCTTCGCGCCTTCCCGTCCAGCCTCGTTCGCAGTCAATGATCTCACTACATATGTCTATTGAGATACCCTCAGTACAACTGGAGTCTCTACGCGGTCAGGCAAATGCATTCCTCGCATCCTTGACAAAGTATAGCGATCACGATCGGGTCATCATCAAGCGTGCTTTGGCGATGCTCTACGCCATCGCGACGGAGATGGTCGCGGATAGTCCGGACGGCTCGCTGAAGGTGGTCCGTGCCACGCTAGAGAACCCTGCGCAGGTACTCGCCGCCTTCGTACCAATGGCTTGCCTATTCCTGTCATTTTATGCGCTTTGGCGATGTATCCTTCGGCCCATTTGTTTCGCTCCCGGAAGGGTTGTACTGATTGACGTGCTGGGCAAAGTCTTCGTGCTGGAGGATGACGCTTTCCTGTCGGCAGAGGTCAGAAAAGCTATCATTGCAACACATATACAGGCTGACCAGACTACAGGGCCTACACGCGTTCCTCATCAATAACTTCGCCAGACGGGAAGGACTACGTCATGTGCAGAATCGGGAGTACACAATCACGGACGCTCAGCGCTCCGAGGTCGTAAACCCAGCCACGTGGGCGCAAACCACGGCTATACAGCCTGGTATGACTCTCCTTATGAGCATTGTCGTTCAGCGCTCAGCGCTTCGTTGCCCATACTGTCGGGTCTCAAGCTCGTCAAGTCAAGTAGATTTGAGTGGTTCTGTGACATGGTCAGCAATCTTGCACGCTCTCTTGCGATTTGGCTCATCGTGCCCTTCACGGCAGCTCGAACGAGCGTTGCAGGCGCGCGTATCAAGCCCATCGGGGACATAAACCCCAAGGTGGAGAGGGTATGGAGGAGGTCGAACCGAAGTACGCATCATTGCTATGCCCATGTTTACGGGCCTGCGCCTTACATATCTACACAGCGATCATCCTGAAGATGAAACGGCCGAAGATGCTATAGACGCCAAACAAAGCGCCGACGATGCTCCCGAACAAGGACAGGCACCACGAGCGCACGTCCCCAACCCCATGAACAGCTTTCAACGGATCCTGGTTCTCTATACGTCGGAGGACGCAAACAATGCCGACTCAGACAGACTTGACAAACCGAAGCCTCAGAGTAAGGCTGACCCAGCGCTTCCATCGCAGCCCTCACATCGAAAGTCTGGGAACTCTTCGGAGAGATTCATCAGCGGGGATGTGTATGATACCGCACGCGTGCACTATCGTGACCTTGATGCATTCCTCAGATCGAGTGATGGCCAGCGTACGTCTCGCGATATTGCACGGATCCGAAGCCTGGCTAACCAGTCCATTCGCAAATTACTAGGTTCATCGCAGGGAAGCCGTACTATTGCGCGTGCAAAACTCGTTCGCCTCACTCGAAATCAGTTCTTTGAGCAAATCTGTCTTGCCGTCCACGATGAGTTGGTTCGGAGAACCAGTGCGAAAGGCTCTGTTGATGACGGTGGGCTTGAACCTCATTGTATGTCCACTGTCAATAACTGATAGCGGCATAGTGTTGTTTCTGCCCGCGCGGGAGGACCTTCCTCCCAAGAGTAACGAGGCGCGCGCGAAGTTGTCGACGCTTCCAATGCCGCGCTTTGCAGATCTGTCGTCGGATGTTCATCATGAGCTTGGACGGCGTTGTCCCGAGTTTGTGGAGGCGGTTGAAGTATGACGGGCCACCGACCGCGAAGCTGCTCGATAGAAACGTCGATAGAGCACTTGAATGTCACAAGTCACGGGAATCATCTCACGGAGCGTTTGCTTGCCAGAACGTGGAATCGTACCGTCACGAGACTACTAATGAGCGCTTGTAACAGGTGCTTGGTACATATGAACCTGGGAAGAACGCCGATAAACCTTCGCTTGCTCGCAAACATCTACGTGGAGATTGAATGCAGATACACTCTTCAAGTTACCTTCCTCTTAAGGCACGCTTGCATCACGACGAAAGGTTGCCCAGTGGCACTGCTATCCTCTAGAGCTTCATGGCACGATTTCACTGCTGTTCATCGGGTTGGTCGAGACCGTGGGGCCGCGTCCGATGTCAGGTCAAGGATACTCATCAGAAGCGATCATCCTGCCTCCTCGGAAGGGGTGTCAGACCTCATGCGCAACGAGGCGGCTGTCGGATGGAGACTGGGTTATCCGCTTCCACGACCCGCGGCCGTAGGGAACGTAAGTTGGGTTCATAAGATGCAGCCATCTTCATAGTAGGGTGGTGAGCAGTGAGTATCCCTCCGACTGCAGTATATTTATACAAGCATGCGGGGTTCAGTCGAATGGAAGGCTCTCTATATTGCACACACTAGCTCGATGCTATCCACACGAGGTCAAGGGCCAGCACTGCTATTGGCGACTTGCCTCAATTCAAGCCCATTCGGCATGAAGAAGCCGCATTCTCGATCCAATCGCCCTTCAGCACATCAACACGCGTCTTGGTCAAACCTTCGGCATGTACGGACCATAGTACCGAGTTCCCTATATCAGGGCTTCCTGACGCTTAGATGAACCTCTGTAGGACATAGATTGTCTCGAGAAGCGCCAATAGGGCTACACGATGAAGAATCGACCGAGCGAGGTAAACGGAGATAAGACGGGTGGCAAGGTCTGCTGTGGTTCTTGGAAAAGTTCCATGCATCACCGCCGCCTGTCAATCGTCTGTAGCTGTGAAGCTCGATGGTACTTGAAGACGTCCTTTACCATTCACTCTATTTATCCATCAATCCCCACTTCTGACGATGTCGAAGCTACCTCCTGTGGACATCGAGTGTGAGTCGACCTTCAGAGATCACCCCCCGTTCAGGACTAGAATTCTGATCCTACCTTCGCTTAGACGGGCTACCTCCGGCTGTTGAGACGCTCCGAAGTGGCTGGATGTCCACTCTCCAGAGCGGTGCCGTGGTGGTACGTGACCTATTGCAGAACTCTTGGGTATCGCTTGTTAAGCGACAAACTCTTGCAGTCCAGTGTCCTCGCGGGGATTGAGGCGCAGCTTCTTGTGTTCTACACCGACCCCAATAACTTCGGCAGACCTGGTGTTCACTCTGCCACCCAGAACGCCGTGAAGATACTCACCTACGTCGCCTTGGTATGCAGCATAAGCGCGACCATGAGCTCTCTGCTTCTCACCGATGAGTTCGGGGAGATGCCGACGCGTTCTGCTCGATATAGACAAGGCCGTGCCGAAGGCGGAATATTTGCTGGGACAGATTGGAACTTGCTTAGGGCGTACAAAATCCGAGCTGGTTCCAAGATCATCGTTTATCACTGTGAGTGGGTTCAGCCTGCTCAAAGCCGCCGCTAGCAATTGACCATAATCCATTGACTCCAGGGCTCATTTGCCTCATCACCGCCTGTCTGTGCACGATCGCATCTACAGCCGTCTATGCGGGGACACAGGAAGTGCTAGTAGTACGGATCATTGTGTCCATTGTAGCTGGGGTATCCGCATTGCCTCTCTGTTGGTTCGTGGTTCCTCCTTGATGCTATGCACGCCACGAGTACCTTATTTGCAATGGCGGTACGATTGTGAATCCTCCGACCTTGGTCAATACATCCATCGCAGAGTGAGGCACTGCCTGACTGGGCGGCCCAATACAGCATGCGTACAAAGCGCAGCATGATTCAAGCGCGCATGCGGTCGGCGCAGGGCTACACCCGAGGCACTCTCGCCACGTTTATATCGCGTTATGATGTGAAATGCGGGAGAAGCTGGTATAGTCTATAAGCCTCAGAGAACGCTGGTTGTCGTTCAATGTTGAGCCGCGAAGTGAAGTCGACCTTATAACTGGTACTACTTTCCTGGTCAGCGCCCGCTCCGCCAGGTAAAGGACTTCTGACACACCACGGATCAACCTTTACCGTGTAGTAACTTTCCGCCGAGCGTATGAGATGAGCCAAAAGGGGGCAGGGGGGCCACGCCGCTCTACACTTGGTAGAACAGTACGTGAGGTAATAGGGAAAGAATTTTGCATACGCACTTGCATCTCTACAAAGGTGTGAGCTGTGGGCCCTGCTGAAGATGTAGAAGCGCGAATCTCGCGCGTGGAGTCACAAGTATGTCCGAGTCGATGAATGAGAACATGCCATGAGGGACTCGGAGTAAGTTAGTACCCTCACTCAACCCTATCGCTCTAGAGGCGTTTCAAGTTCAATAGATGTCACTAAAGCCGGACTGCTATTGATGCCCATGGTGGTGGAAATCAAGACGTCGGTGCGTCGGCGACGCGTTACATAGCTGTGTGACCGATCGCGACGTACCTGCGTCGCGCTTGCCTCGAACGTCCACTTCGGCCAGGCGAGGCTTCTCTTTGACCGCCCTCGGCTCTCCCGGAAACCATCCAGTTGCCTCGGAATCTTGCCCTTGCAGAGCGAGGTGTCTCAGATGATGCGATGCAAACCCGAGCTCGGGCCCGAAGCATGAGCACCACCTAGATAGTAGGTCCGCATTCACGGTCCTTATGAAGTGCTCTATTACCATATAGACCGTCCCAGAGACCTGCGTATGATCGTCATTCCGCACTTGGATGGATTCCATCATATCCTTTGGTTGCATTCATGAACGGGAGTGCAAAAGCTTCGTGGCCATCAGCGGTCAGCGGCTCGGAAATGGTAGCGCCGTCATTTCATGCGCGGCTGTATGTTGAAGATCAGCGGGCCCGGGCGCCTGCACACAGTGCATAGCGCGACAGACCTACTAGATGCTGCGGTGAAGCGCTAGAGTTGCATAACCTTTGGAGCATCGCACTGAGGACACGTCTCGTGGTGTCTTCCTTCAGGGTCAACGCCGGCGGCGATCACTTGATGTTATCTACGGTCGCGCAGCGAGGTGACGCTCAGAGCTTTGGCGCCTATACATCTCATCATATAACCCTAGAAGCTGAGAGCAGAGTTTGTCTATACCCACTTACGCATCGTGTGTCGTTGTAACTCGCTCGCGGGTGCTACTGAAGGACCAAGCATCCTAGCCTTCTAATCCACGCATACACACGCAGGTGGCGTCGCTCTCCTGATTCCCGTGCGCGGCATGCTCATGCGCCCGTTAATCTTGTACTGGGCCCCATCCCGTATCCGTCGTCACGCAGATCGCAAAGGGATCCCATCGAGCGCAGGGTCCGTGTGTTCCATGCAGCTTTGAAGCGAGTCGTATCCTCGAGGCTCGAGTGGCGTAAAAGATGTTCTTCGCGCATTTTCTCTCTTGCTGCCTGCACCGGGTATTAGTCTCTTCACGCGTCTGAAAGCCTAGAGCTCGGCATCCGACCGAGGCAGATCACGGGCTCATACCAGGAAAACCTTACCGTTCGGACGCAGTGTTGGTCGGCGTCGGTCGGCGAAGAAGCGCTCCAGCCGAGTCTATTCTTTGCTATTTCCCCTCCACGGTCAAGAGATCTGGGATATGTTCACGTTGTTCTCAGGGCATCTCCCTGAAACCGCCCCAGGCGGCGCGATCTGCGTAACTATGATGCATCGATGTTCTACGAGTACTTCTCGTCGAATCGATGGCTCGACCGAATCAAGCCAATCTCTCACCAGTAGCCGTGAAAAGACGCTCGTCCTTGGGCGCGACTTTGAAGTGAGAGCACAAAAGCATGCCTTCCGCGGGCCTTCGCAGTGATGGACTGTGTTTCTCATTGCGTGCAGCAATACGCTGCCCTACCGCCGAGAACCTCGGACCAAATGATGTATTGTATGGCGAAGAAGACACGCGAGAGACAAACACAAGTTGAACTCTGCTTTCAAAGTTGCGTTCAATGAAAACCAGCCGCGGCGACGAGCTGTGCAGCGCCAGCTGAAGTATGTGCGCCCGACTCCCAAGGCGCACCTAGACAGATATTATATGAAGGAGGCCCACATGTGGGGTTACATTTCATAGAGTTGTTCAACGACTTAAAGCCCGGAGGTGGTGAGTCGAGTGGAGTGAAGTTCGTTCGAGCTCATGATGTCCATGGCGCAGTCGACCTCTCGCTTCACATCGCGCCGAGACCTTAACGGCCTTAACGTTGATTGTGAGTGAACGGGGTTAAACACGTAACTCCGAATTTGGTCTGAGCTGCAACATACGCAGACGCGCTCCCATCGGCGATAGAGAGTCTCCGTCAGGGTTCGTTCGCCATCCTGTCAGTCTCTGCGACAGTGGTGAGCTTGGTGTTGTGGCCCGTCTTTTACCCTGATACTGACGATATGACCTATTAGTCAAGCATCATAGCAGGCGCAGAAGCCCAGTTGCTACTCTTCTTCAAAGACACAGAAAGTTATGCTCCCGGGACGCACCCGACTATACCGCCTTTACTGGCGGCCCTCGCGTATGTGGCTTTGCTGTGCAGTATAAGCTCAACCGTGGGCGCGGCGATCCTCAGCGCCTTGCTCTCCGAGCTGCCGCTGCGTTCGGCCGAACAAGGCAGGGCCGCCGGGATTCGTAGATTGCGGCCCGAGGGACACGGTGATATGATGTTTGGGCACCGCTACCGCATGAGGAGCGGATGGCGACTCATCCTGGTTTATTGTGAGCTCGGATACAACACATCCTGTGACATGACTGAAGTGCTCTTTCGGCTAGGGCTGCTCAACTCACTCATCTCATTCTTCTGTACGGTAGCGTCCACCGCCATTTACTGCGCAAGTCAGGAGCCACCAGCAACGCGCATCGTCGTTCCCATCGTGGCTGTCCTGGCCGCTTCGCCACTGTTATGGTTCGCGTTCGTCTGTGCGTCGTCGGGACGATCACGTAGAGGGCGTAGTTGGAGTTAGAGGATGGGGCCTCGAGCATACGTCGACACTGAATCTTCATCGAAGTACTTCAGACACAAAAGCACCGCCGGTTGCATTAGATTATTCTCGGAGATACGCCCATCGGGGTGGGTAATAGATTTAGAAGACGTGAAGGCTTCAAGCCCCGGTCCGTTTCCAAGAGCTCTCACAGCGGGAATCCCACCGGGAATACAACATATGCATCGGGTCATTGAATGAGTTTCAAGCCACAGGTACTCGCGCATGTTTGATATGAATAACATGTAATTGTTACGTGTCGCAGAGTGGTGGAACATGTGCGCGGGGAGTGATAGCTCAATCCTAGGACGAGGGCCCTAGGATTGCTGAGCGCCGTGGCAGATGACAGACATGACCTAGCCTAAGTTATTAGTACATGCTGAGTAGGCAGATGATTATCATGACTTACCCGATTGCACTGAGCTCAATGCGTAGCGTGATGGTCAAATATAGCTGCACCGTGTGACCTTATTTGATAGGTAGACCTTCCGATTTAGAGCATTCTACAGATCATCGTTCCTGCCAGCTCTACGCGAGAGGCGTCAGTGATATCCATAGTATCTGGTACTTACAGCAGTATTGGTAGACCACCCGAGCATTGGATATTGCGTGAGCCTGGTCCCAGTACCTGGGCGCGGCAACGCCGTGACGCGCATTTCATATCCGAGTAGAAGCTCTATTGGTGGACAGCCAACCCGGACGAGAGAACGCTGATCCGTTTCGAAGGAGATCCACAGGCGAAGTCGTCTCAATATGGATACAGTGTATGAGTAGCAGGTGCCGGCGCAGGAGTGAGTCTGGGATAGATGCCCTGACGGTGGTGGTTGGAAGGCATCATGGGGAAGATAATTGGTGCATGCGCGGGATACACGAGGTTGATGCAGGGCGTGGGAAGGTATATTGATTTTGGAGGAGCCGGCGGGGCGTCGAAGGTTGGTTTGTCGCCGCCATGTCGTCCGAGGAGCACGTCGAGGATCACCAAGGAGTAGACGGCGATGGGGCACTGTCTGGGCCCGAGCCGCACCCGTACGTCCACGAGCCGGTGCTGTACATCAGTGCGGTGCCGCCGTTCGTGACAGACGAGAAGCTAGCAGTGGCCTTCGCACCCTGCGCGCCCTTCCGGCCGCAGATCGCGCGCGACGGCCCCGGCCCGTTCAGCGGGACGATCGAATTCAAGTTTGTGGAAAAGGCAGAGAAGGCGCTCGCCATCCTCGCAGGCAGGCCGATCCCGGGCATCGCGCCCCTCGTCACCCTCGTCCTCTCTCCATACCCGCACACGAACCCTCCCACGCCTCTCCCTCCCCCAAGCGCAACCGCACGCCTCGTCAAGCATCTCCCGCAGACGTACACGGACAGTCAACTTTACGATTTGTTCCGGCCCTACGGCGCGCTCGCATCAGTCAAAGTCCAGGCCGGGCTCGGAAAGGATATTGGATCAGTTGAATTCTGGCGCGAAGAAGACGCACGTCAGGCGGAGGACGCGCTTCACTGCGCCGACGTAGAAGGAAACACGATTTCCGTCCAGGTCTACCAGCCTCAGCGCAGGGGCCCGTCCCAGCCGTTCTCCGCCCAGGCGCCGCCGTTTGTTCCCCAGGGCCACCAGGTACCCTACCCGCACCGCTCGCCTACGAGTCCGCGCTCACCAACAAATCCGCTTTGGAATGGTTATGCTCCCCCTCCCCGTGCCGGTCCCTTCCAGCGCACGCCCTCTGGACCGCAACCCTTTATCCACGGCCCCGGCCAACAGGTGCAGCTTGCACCCATGCACGGCCCCGGCTCGAACTCGCATTCGGGCCTCATTGACCCTTGCAATCTCTTCTGCAAAGTATCTACTTTTCGCCGCTCATACAATGTTTAGCCGCTGATTCCGTTTTGACAGAACCTTGATCCTTCGATCGACTCGAACGGTTTGTTTAGCCATTTCCGTCAGGTGAGGTTGCCTGGACGTGTCAAGAACGTAGCTGACCCGAGCCTTCTATTCTTCAGTTCGGGCAGATTGTCAGGTGCGTAAAGTGACGCCCATCAACATATCCATAACGCTGACTGGTATCACAGCGCTCGTGTGATGCGCAACGAGAATGGCGAATCGCGTGGCTTTGGCTTTGTCTCGTACCAGACGCCTGAACAAGGTCGGTTCGTCTCAACACTAGGGTCGTCATGTTTGCTAAATCATCATCACAGCCATGGCCGCAATGCAAGCCATGAACGGTGCAGTCCTTGGTCAGAAGCAGCTCGTCGTCCGTCTGCATGAGCCCAAGCAACTTCGCCAGGAGAAGCTGGCCGCTCGCTTTGGTTCCGGCACTGGGAACGGTCACCCCAGGTCGGCATCGGGTGCCACCAGCCCAACGCCGTCCGAGGGGGGCGAGAGCATGGCGTGGCCTTCGCCATCAGTACGCTCCATCTCGCTGGGTTCGCCTCACGCGCACAACGAGCGTCTCGCCGACCGTCCTCGTCGTGGTTCAGGCAGTTATTACAATGTATGTGGCTGCCATTTCGGCCGTCAAGAATAGAGACTAATCATCATATTTATCCCAGGCCGCACTGTCGGGCACGCTGAACATCCCGATGCGTTATGACGATCTCGCAGCACTGACACCTGTCATGCGCAAGGAAATCCTTTCCGGCGAGCTCCAACGTCGCATCAGCTCGCTCAACGTCGTACCCGCGGCGGAGATCGACAACTACGTCGAGGGTGTCATGCGCCTTTCCCTCGCCGAAATCCTCGGTACCCTTCAGGAGCCGGGCAAACTCGACGAGCAGATCGAGAAGATTCGCAACGGTAGCAACCTGGCTGCACCTGCGCAACAACCGAGCGGGACCGCATCCTCGTCCGTATCTGGTTCAGCGCCTGCTTCGAATGGTGGCGCCAGTCAAGATGCGCGCTTACTTGACGCCACCGCGAGCGCTCCGGAACACCCGAGCACGCCTGTGAGCGTCTCGCCCGCGCTGTCCACGCCTCCGCGGACTGCCTCGCCTGCTCCAAGTGCGTCCCTTGCGCCCAACGCGAACGAGCGCGAGCGTATCTTTGCCGCCGTCGCGCGTATCGAGACGGCCCGCGCACAGGAGGTCGCGCAGCTCATCATGGGCTTGCCGAAACGTGAGCGCGCGATGTGTCTTTTCAACGTGGAGGTCCTCCGGAGCAAGGTCGAGGAAGCCAAGATGGTACTTGCTGCGGATGAGGATGACGAGGAGGAGCAGAAGCCTACCCAGGCGCCCGTCACGCCCGTCAAGCCTCGCGCAGTGGCGGCAGTACAGAGCCCTGCCACCCCGGATCTCAGCAGCCGCGGCCCGAGCGCCGCTGCGAGTCCTGCGCCTGCTACGCCTTCCGCGCCGGCTTCACAGGCGGGTCAAGATCCCGCGCCCGGTCAGACGCATACGCTTGCGAGCCTCGCGTTGCTCCCGGCGACCGAGATCGTTCGTCTCGCACGTGCACCGGGCGGCGCAGGTCAAGGTCTTCCCCTGCCCAAAGCGGACGCCCTCGTCGTACGCGATACGGACGCGTGGGTCGACTCCCTGCAGAGCATGCCCACGGCGCAACAGAAGCAGGCTGTCGGCCAGAAGCTGCATGCATTGCTCAAGGCGCAGGGCTTCAAGCGCGATTCGGCCAAGATCACGGTTGCGTTCGTCGACGCTGAGGATGTCAGGTCGCTCGCGCATTGCGTGGCGTGCTGGCCGGAGGTCGTGAAGGAGAAGGCGAATCGCATGGTCAAAGCGGGGTTGAAGTAAATGTGACCCCCTCCCGAAGATAGGAAGGATACGAGTACGAGTGGAAGTTGGTCATCTAGTCCGTGGAGGGGTGTTCGTCGGGGAGAGGTGTAATGTTCTCGTTTGCTTGCTTGCCTGCTGCTGATGTCGGTGGATCGGGATCGGAGAGTCGTCTTGTGTTTTCTTCATCTTCGTCTCATACTCTGTCTGCGTATACCACGGCCCTCTCGGGCGCACACGTACCCCCGCGCCGACCTATACCGCCTCACTACTACGCTCTTAGTGTACCCTGGCTGTTTTCCCTGCTCTCCTGCTCCATTGATGAACTACTACTCTCATTGACCCGCATATTTGACTCGTATCTGAATGGCATTTAGCGATGTGCATCTGACATGTATCGACGCCGTACACACTGGTAGTATTCCTATTGATGTACGGTGAATCAGAGGGGTGTGCTGTGGCCCCGCGTGGGAGCCGCCCGGCTCGCGCGCGCTGCGGCATCACGCGTCGACGTCTCCGTCACTTCGTTAGCGACCGCCATCTGGCGGCACAGCAGTATCACCCTTGGAATATATCATTCTCCTCAACGCGCGCGCAGACGTGTCTCCAGCAGCCTCGATTGCGCGCAATGCGGCTCCAGGTTCCGGTCCTTCCTCTATCGAATTGGTTGATAACTCCGATTCTCTGGAGCAGGCTGTCGTGGCCAATCGTAGCGCGGTAGAGCTCACGCCGGACTGGCACCCCAGCAAGCCATCACGATGCAACAACCTCGGCAATGCGTTGCTTGCACACTGTAGACGCAACGGCGAGCTCGAGACACTTTTGCAGACCATTCCTTCGTATCGCCGCGCAGTGCGCCTCACATCAGAGCGTCACCACGATAGACCTTCGTTCTTTCTCAACATGGGCGCACTTCGAACAGCTCACAGACTGAGAAGCTCGCACGCGGCGCATCGGTCCGGGATCGGTCCGGGTGGCGCTCGGTCACACGCGATCTGCTATTAAAGCCTCGGTGCCAGCACCTGGCCGCGCGCCCTTTTCGACCCACCTGTCCTCCTCGAAACCTTGTTCAAAGCGATCCAAAACTCTCTCACAATGTACAACGTTGCTAACACTCATCGTGCCAACACGCAGCAGTCCGGAGGGACCCCGGGCCGGGCCTCCCTGTTACAGGAGATCGAGTATCTTGAGCGAAGGAAAAGGGAGCTCGAAGGAACCCAGCGGACTGATAGTCGTCAAGATGCAGCAATGCAGGACGGACATGTTGCTCATGCAAGCCAGGCTGGGGATCGGCAGCATAGTCTGCCTCCCATCACGGTCTTCAGGCGGAGCATGTCTACGCTATCGTCTCTGGTGAGTCGGGTGTTTTCCTAAACTAACTTCGACCCATCGTTGAAATATGCTACCAGACCACTTCAGACACCACTAATGGTCCGAGTCATCATTCTGGCCGCTCTCTGACTCCTGATCACGTTGGTGGTATGTTCTCGCTTACCTTGGTTGCTCTCTCATACTAAATGATATCATAACTAGATACTGGTGTCCCGGTCGGGCAGGAGCTTGGCAATGCAAAGCTAAGCATCAAACACTTTGCCGAAGCCAACCCCCAGTCTATCTGGTACACGGCCTGGTGCGTCTGTTAGTTTAGCCAGCATGATCTTCAACAGCCATTCATACTGGCCGGGTTCGCAGCAACATGGATATCCCTGCAATCGTACTTGGCAATGTTGAATATGAGATTGGTGATGTGTAAGCGCGCAGAATCATTGGAAGTTGTTTCTCAAATCTGATGCCACACCATACTAGCATTCTATACAGGAATATATGGATGGACAGCACACTCGAGGCGTCCAAGGTCCTTCCCGAGGCCTGGCCAGCCATTTTGTGTGATGTCAGCATGGGTAACCCATTCTCCGGTGGTTCCAAGAGGGTGCCTTGCCCTGTTCGCAGCCAAGGGAGTATCACACATGTAAGTCCAATCGGCTCTCCGCTCGAGGAGACTAATCTAATGACTTCGCAGGTGGCCCTGATGTGGCTATATTCAAGATACGTTATCGGTGAGACGATCAGCGGCAACGTTGAGAATCACAGTCACATTGATTATGTCAACGAGGCGGAGTACGTATTCGCTGCACTATGATCTATATTCCTTTCCTGAAAGTACTCCTCAGATTTCGCGAGACATTTCTGGACCCCAAGGTGCCAGAGCGTCAGCAGTTTCTCTCGACGGAGCGGGAGTGGATGAGTATTGATGATTTATGTGGTGCGTATTGTGATCTTCGTCCATTTTTGCTGTCTGTTTTGATGAACGGCGACTGATTCGTCGCACAGGCCACCTTGATCCACGTGACGTAGGCGCGGACTCCAGTTCGCAGAGGCCAATATTCGTCAATTGGAGTGGCCCCGTCGTGGGTCACTCCGAGCAGTGGCGCCGAAAGAACGCGAGGAACGATGCCCTCTGGCATACATATGCCGTCAATGAGAAGTCCGGGATTGAAGCTGGTGAGCTACCTGAAGGATGGGTCCATGAGGGATGATCGACGACATTTACTGCCGTCTGTGTATGCTGGGAGAATGCCTGTCGCTGCCCTTATACGTACATAACCAATTACAGCTAGCTCTTGGGCTCCGTTCCACATGTAACTATCGCAGATTCAGATGATACGTTCCAAGAGCGAGTTGGGTTTACCTGATGTCCTGATATTGTGGGAAGCTGGCGTACTACAGAAGACTTCATCCCGGCTCATGGGATCGGCGTGGTCTAAGGTGACGCACGCCACCGACGGAGTTCTCTAGCTCCCTCGTAGCATGCAACCGACTTCAGCTCGCGTTGAGTTCATGCATCATGCATCATGCTTGAGCGCTTGAGCTTCAGTCTTCGGATGCCGAAGTCGGACGCCGAAGTCGAGTATCGGGAGTCCGTGCCGCAGCCTATCGGCCGGCGTAATGGCTAGTCGGATCACGGTCCGCTTTGTCGGCTTCTCGACATCGAGGCCTCAGGCTCCTGCTTGGGACGCTCATAAGCTATTCCATTTAGGCTCACACGACATGCTTTCTCGCATACGAGACACTATCAGGTCACTGTGGCGGCGTTAATAATGTAACATGCTTGTAGTGGTCCGGTGTTCCAGTCAGTAAGAAGTCAGGGTAGCAGAATCAAAGCGCGTGGAATGGCAGAGTGTCCTCTTTACGCGACCCACTGCATGCATATGTAAGCCTCTGAGCACCGTTGGCGCAGACCAGACAGATCTCACGCACTCTGCGTCGCTCGTAGAAGACCCTTGAGTGGTATGGCCACCCAAGGCCACAGCGTGCTTCATGCTTTCGTTGTCGGACGCCTCGGATATCATTGGCATTCCCGGGCCGAAGCTTCTGCTGGGGGATCTAACGCACACAGCGGTCAACCAAATGCCATAAGTCTGCCGTGCGTAGCAGAATCAACGTACCCTTTCTCGAAGTCGAGCGACAAGTCGTGCGGCCGTGAGCCGAACTCGATTTCTCCCAATGATGCATCCTTCCTCGAACGTGGTGACGGTGAATGCCATCCAAACACGCTACATATGGTGCAGAGTACGCTCCAGTACGATGACCGCGCTGTTGAGGTCAAGCCAAAGAGACCAAAGATAGCGAAGGCGAGTACTGGCGACGACCAGTAAGAGAAGAAGGACTGAGCTTTGTACGTGGCGCCTTCTGACTCCAGAGCCGCGTAGGGAACACCGTATGGACCCCATTGCGTGTGCAGTAGCTTCCATCCCCAGTAGAAGGGTACCGAGTCCTGCGACGCCACCGACGAGATGATGATCAGAGCTAAGTTCACGATTGCTATCGGGAAAGTGAGAAGGATGTCGATGCTGGCAAGAGCGAGGATGCGTAGGTAGTTGTCCCGTAACGCGGCGTTGTTGACCCCTAGGAAGCTATTGATGTCTCGGCTTTGCCTGTAGAGCAACCGTGCCACTCTTGCTGATGGCAAGATACACGTGAGAAGACGCGCAACTAGTGAAGATGTTAGGAATGGTCGAACGCACGATAGTACATGATCATCGACACCAAAGGTAGGATGATAGTCCAAGAGTCCATCGTCAGGAAGCTGAGTATCGATCTCGAGGAGGAGGCAGAGCATCCGAAGCCTTCAAGGATCTCGAATCGGGCACCCTGGTTAATGTAATCTTGGACGCTAGATGAGAGGCATCCGCACGACGAGTAGGTCAAAACTCACAGAAGGGACCGGCGACTAGCAACGGAAGTAGTAGGCCCAAACCCCATTCCACACATGCATTCCAGCGCCTCTATCGTATTACGTCATATGAGTTGCCTGTTGTTGACACCGGTAGACAAGTGTGCGTACCGCTGCTTTGCTGGGCATGTCGACAGACTGTAGGCTGGCGATCAAGTAGAGCCGTCGCGTGATGATGAGAGTGGCGGCGGGTTTCACGATGTATGTGATCAGTTGTATATGCGAAACTACGGAACCCTATGTTAGCCCAACGCCTTTGCGCCAGTTCAGAGGGTGCCCACCAATATCGCAGTATACGAAGAGCTTGACCTCGGCGTTGTCGGACCATATAATCGCGCTCACCGCGTGCACGAGGTTCTCTAGGAACAGCCAGATGCACAAGAAGGTGACGCCGAGGTTCCAGTTCTGGCGCGCGAAGCTCGTCATCAGGATCACTAGTAGCATGGCTGAAGACAGCACAGAGGCGACCGGATACAGAGGGTAAGAGGGGTCTGCTGCGCCCATCTTCAAACCAGCAGCGGCCTTGGTGCTCCTCTGCGCGGATCTTGTCTTATATCTTGAGCATCGCGACAAGGTAGTGCGGTCTCCCATGCCCTACACCAGGCACGCGATGAGTAGAAGATGCGGATAGAAGGTATATAGGCAGCGATTTCATTGTTAACTCACCGAAGGTGGTCTTCCAAATGATGCAATCGCACTCAAGAACACGGTCCTGTACAAACGGGGCGCTAAAGTTCGGCGCCAAGACGGAGTGGTGTACAGTCGCCAAGTTCTACGGGGGTCGTAACTTTCGCGGACGGCGAGTTGGGGTCACGCCGTAGATCAGTACTCACTGACATGTGTCGTGTCGACTAGCGCATAGTCCACGGTCGAACGACCTCAGGAGTTTCAATCCCGGATCCGTTATCGTCGTGAACTCATCACGAGAGCATCGCACCATTTTCACCCGGTGTTTCTTGACACTGATAATCATCTTCAACTGTGCAAAGTGAATCAGCCTGGATCAATAGATAGGAAGGAAGGTGAAAGTACTGAATAGGACGTCTTCACGCTATCCCGATTAGCTAAAATGGCCGTGATTTAAGTCACGAGTTATTCGGGCGTACACCGTACAATGAGTGCTCCTACGAGCGATCAGATAGATTGTGCATGGACGGGAGTGTAGCTCGAAATCGCACAAAGGTGATGCCCTAGCCACACGGATTCGCAAGCTAGGATGAAAGACTTTCATCCGCATATTGTGACACAAGTCATTATTCTGCACAGGGTACAACTGCAGTTCAGTCCTGGTGGATGGGATTCCATGAGATTGCTCCTGCATCTCCTTTGTCGAGCGCATCTAATGCAGCCATTTCCTCCTGGGAAAGTTCGAAGTCGAAGACCTCTGCGTTGTGCGCGATGCGTTGCGCGTTGGCTGACTTCGGCAGTGGGACAAAACTGGACAATGGGGTCAGCCACGTCCATCCCATCGAGACTCAGGTCGGGCTCACCCCTTCTGCAACGACCATCGTACAAGGATCTGAGCAACCGACTTGCCAACCTGGTGAACAACATTTAGTGATGGAGACCTCGTGCACGTGCGGAGACCACACCTTTTTGGAGACCTCCTGTAAAGTTGGATGATCGAATGCGCCGCGAACAAGAGGGCAGTATGCTTGAACAACGATGTTATTCTTCGCGCAGTAGTCGACGATCGGCTTCTGCTGGTCAAGTGGATGGAGCTGATAGGTAGAGCGTCAGGGGGAAAGACGACAGTGATTGGTGAACGGGTGACATACTTCGATCTCATTGACGGCGGGCATCTCGAAACCGGCCTCGCGAATCTCCTCAATGTGTTGGACATTGCTAACTACGGTTAAGCACAGATGCCTCCTGGGCCACTACGGTTGAAGGGGGCTCACTAGTTGGACACGCCAATGTCACGGAGAGCGCCTGAAGCCTTTGCCTCGACCAGCTTCTTCCAGGTCTTCAGACGGTGATCCTTTCCACCATGAGGACTGTGTATAAGATACAAGTCTATAATGCCTGTTTGCCCATGAGTACGATGGCCCACCATAGAGCTGATGGTACATACCGATGTTGAGTTTCTCGGTGGACGTCTTGACGCTTGCAGCCACATCGGGAGAGTCATGCGGAACTTTGGAGGCTGCAGACCCGCATGAGTACTTGTTGCACAAACGTGACGTGTGCACTCACTGACGAAGATGTCCTCTCGGCGTATCCCGCTGTCCCGAACCGCCTTTCCTACCGCCTCCTCGTTGCCATACATCTCCGCGGTATCGATTAGCCTATTGAGCTTGAGATGAGTTGTTCGTACAACCAGAAACGAGAGACTTACCTGTAGCCGTGTTTCAAAGCCGCCATACAGGCCGAGTAGCATTCGTTAGGGTTGTAGCCTACACCAAGGCCAAGTCGCGGGATAGAGTGCCCCGAGGGCAACTTGATTGCGGAGGTAATGGAGAGGGACGCCATGCTAGAATTGATGGGCTGGACGTGTAGTCAGAGTTCAAAGCGAAGTCCTATAACTCTTCAGGCGTCCTATAAATGGCGACGGGCGTATGGCGTATCCACAGCAGCATCCACTTGAGGGAAAGCGAGCGTAACAACTCTTAGTAAATCATGCCATTTGGGGCCGATGTTCACAGCAGGGTCACATTGAAGTTTACATAGAAGTCGGCCCTTCCGGGGTGCCTCTACGTATTGTAGCCTGTAACAAGTACACGACGGCGGGGTGGTGGGGCTCTGAGAGAACGAAGGCACGCCGGGCCGCGCTGAGCGTCGACGGACTTTACGGACTTCGGGGCCGAGACGCGTGGGCGTGGCGAGCGATCAAACCCGTTAATCCCATTCTGGACCACTACAACCACAGCGGGCTGCGACATACCTGAATATACCCTCAGCCTTCTGGGCATCTCGATACCTCTTACTTATCCTGCGGAGCTTTCTGTCGCGATGAGCCATGCTACAGAGCATTGCTCCTTCGTCTTGCTGGCCGAGTTCGACATTGACAAGGGTGCCCAATTAACGTACCAATTCCCACAACCATTAGGTGCAGATGAAGGGTAAGTTGACTGTGACGCTTGAAAAGGATATAGAGGCTCACTTTGATGCATCAAGACTGCTGGCCAACTTAATGCTGCCCGACGGCGCGGAGAAGCAACTCGAGGACTGGACAATATTCTTCCTTAATCAAACGCCGTTCAATACGATCGCACCCGTGCTCGCACTGGATAATGCAAATAATGGGGACCCGGAGGCCGGTAAACAAGATATTTTGTATGTGCTCAATCTGGTGCGGACAAAGCACGACAAGACAGTCCGGAGGTGCGTGATCCCAGTCTGAGAACGAGTTGAGCAAGGACTGATGCGGCCAACGCGTAGAGGCGCCGTCGTGAAGGCCATGGCGATATGCACCCGCCATCCGTTCATTCAAATATTCAAGGTGCGGTTGAGTCGCATATTCGCTGTCCGATTACCGCTTCATGCCTGTCTAGCCAGTATTGCTGCTCGCACTGGACGACTACTATACAACGCCGTCGCAGGATTGTCTAGCTCGCTTGTTCGACGCCATCAACACCATGGACATCTCAGGCGCTCCCGTTCTCACCAGAGCAGAAAAACTTGTCATGCGCAGCTCTGAGCGCAAAGACGTGTTCGCGGAGAAGTTCTTACCCTCGCGACCTCCGGCGGAACAACCGTCACTCTCGCGGAAGCTCCACAAGCCCACACAATCCACTGCGTCTTACTCGAGCTTCGAGGAAGGCATCTTGAATCGAACGAAGGAGCCTACCGGTCGTGATCGTTCGGGCACCGAGTCTACCATCGGCTCCTCTGGGACCAACGGCAGCTACCCCGCATCGGTCCCTCTACCCGCTTCCCTGCCTAACAACACCGGCCCGCTTAACAACGGCATGAACTCGTCGCCTTCGGACCAGTCCTTCAATCTTGGCGGCAGTGCAGTCTGGGTAGGGGATGAGAGTGAGCTTGTGGGCCATGTCCCTCAGTCGGCTGCTCAGACTAGCAGTGCTGCCAGCGCGATCGGAAGAGGGCGAAGATCAACTGACGCGTCTTCAACGTCGTCGCACGGCTACCCCAGGCCACCTATCGCCATGGGCCCTTCAGATCCGCAGATGCGCGCTGGCCATACGAAGGACACGCACTTCTACCAGACGTCTATAGACTATAAGGGTCTTCAGCTTCCTATCAAGATGCCATTGTCGACGTTCTCCGAGGAAGTAGGAGAGGTAAGTCCAACGAAACCCTTTCTCAGACGAGTACTCAATGTTTACGCAGTACTCACTCATCTCGCTCATCCAAGCGCTTTCCAATCCTGTCGCCACTGTCACAGGGCCTCTGCACCCCCACTTGCATACGAATGGAGTCCTGACACATCCGATTATACTCTTATTCAACGCTCTTGTCACCGGCAAGCGCATCGTCTTTCTTGGATACAATCGGGCCGCTGGTCAACTCTCCAGTTACGTTCTGTCTGCATGTGCTCTGGGATCTGGATGCGGCACCATCCTTCGCGGATTCATCGACCGTGCATTCCCGTATGCCAACCTCAACAATCGAGACGAATGGGAAGGATTGTATGCACGAGCTGTATATTATATCGGTGCTAGTTCTGACGATGATACAGACCGTCATACATCGCGGGCGTCACGAACCCAATCTTTGAACAGACAGGCAATTGGGACCTACTCTGTGATGTCGGCGGAGGCCGCATGGTCGTGTCGAAGGACATACACAACAACTATCCGTACACTCCCTCCGTGATTGGTGGACCACCTCAGCTTACGCGCGTGGGTACGATCAAGACCGACTCGCTCACCGGTGAAGAAGAACCATCACGACCTGGTGAAAAGCGGAGCGACTTCACCGCCAAGACGGATAGCGCAGACAACATGTTCGTCGAGGATGTGAGTTAATTTGCGGCGTAGGTTGACTGAACGCTGAGTGTACGTTGCAGATCATCACCGCTATCAACTATCACTTCGGGGAAGGGCTCGTCCGCGCTCGCTTCACGGAATATGTTGCGCGATTTATACGGCTGGCCTCCAAGTACGAGGAAGATCTGACGGGATCGACCACTATTGGGTTCCCGACGGTGTCTTTCACGGGCTCTGGTGCGAATGCGCGGCTTGGCAGTGGCATGATCTGGACCGACGACATGTCGGGCCCACGTGAACTGCAAGCGAACGCGAGCCGGCTCGACGGATTCCGAGGGACGGAAATCTACAAGGCCCTGCAGACAGTGAGTGCTATGACTCCCCTAGCAGTCATATTCTGTCATATTCTGAATACCCGACATGCAGGATTTCAGGCGCCAAACGGCTTCGTCTCCGATTCAAGGGTTCGATCTTCTTCACCAGATCATGCGCTTTCGACTGGCGAAGAATATGCCGGATGCTGAGGTCGAGTGCGCGATGCGTACATTCTTGGATAATGCTCGCAACTATGAACAGATCGTTGAGGTGCGTGAGATCGGTTCCATGTGAATGAGCGATACTGATGTCCAGTGACAGCTCCTGGCGGCGCTACCAAGTCATGCCGGTGGCCTATTGCCATTGAGCTTCGGCTTGTTCCACCAACGAGAACCAGTCCGTGACCTAACCGTCGATCTGTTCTCGCAGATACGAATGTATCCAGTGCGTCCAGCACTGCGTCTCTCGAATACACGTGTGACTGAAGCGCATTTGAATCAGATCGGCGTACAGGCTCTGCAATCGCTCAATCACTTTCAACGCTACGCATATGTCCGCCTGGCGCATGCAAGAGAGCGACCGAACGGTGTAGCTCAGGCTCATGTTGGTCATCTGTCAATACCTGCCAACACTCCCGGGTTCTCAAGAACAAATTCGACGCGCAGTGATGTGGGATAGTGGCACGCCGCGCGCATGGACGCGGTTTGGATTTACAAATTGTATACTACCTCCTTCTGGATCACCCATTGTACGACCCCTTCCTCGTACGGGACCCTTCTCTCTCACGGTGCACACGCTGCAGTATGCATGATCTGCGAACCCATTTCAAAGCCTCTCAGAGAATAGTCGGGCGATGAGTTCTGGGTTATCCCAGAAGATCTGTCGAGCGCATCAGCAAACCTTCTCGACGAGCGCGCGCAGTATTTAACACGTACAAAATGATTCGCCTTCGGTACAGAAGACCATTCGAATGTCCGACCGGCCTCGCCCGCTTCTTCCAATCCCTTTCGCAACTTCTTGAATTGCCAAGCTCCTCTGACGAGGTTCCACGTCGTCTGCTCGCACCACATTACTACCACCTTGCAACGCGGCCAGTACGACGCCGTGTCCTTGTGCAGCATCCGTCTCGTACGCTCGAGCTGCCAGGGAGTGGGGCGGAGGTTGACGCTGGTCTCCCAGCGGAGCATGGTCTTCGGATCGGAGATTTGCGCAAGGATCTCGTGTGGCATCCCGGGTAGAGTGGGCGGAGGGTCGTCGACCGGAGTGTCGCTGAGCCCGTTCTCGTCTTCAGTTGTCAGGCCGGGGTGGGCGTAGTAACCAGAGATCCAGGTGGCGAAGGCGACGTAGCGCTCCATAGGATCCAGTTTGGGGTCGCTGAGGAACGGGTAATACGGGCGATCTGGAGGGTTCTCAATGCCGACGAGATCCGGCGCATTGTCTGTGGATGTGCAGGTTCGGATGAAGCCCTGCAGACCTCAGGAAGACTGGGAGACATACCAAAGAAGCATAAGGAGCGCAGGTATGGCTCAAGAGCTGTCCGAGTAGCTTCTGGTACCGTCTCCGGATTGGATAGCATGAAGTAGAAGAACCCTGGACCGGACGACCATCCAACGAGCGACACCCCGCCCTCCATCTTTCCCACTGAGTCAACTGATAGAGGCCGAAAGACATTTTGCCTGGCGAAATGTGCGAGAAGCTCTGCGTACTCGAGGGCCTGACGATGAAAGAACTTCGCTTTCTCGACGGGGTCGTTACTGAGCACCTGCGAGACCTCCTCGTCGCTATACGGCGTAGAGCCACTATAGTCGCGGCGATTGACAGTGATGAAGCGTACTTTGTACTGCGCCGCGTAGGGAAGCATCCTCTGGAAGATCACTAGGCATCAGCCTGTCAGCTCAAGCCTGAGTGCGATGAGCCATTCATACGGACGCACCATGATGGAAACCACTACCGTGAACCATGACGACCGTCAGATACTGGCCGTCCTGTGGACCTGTATCCTCATAGAAGAGCACGGTTTCTTTGTCGTCAACAGGAGCAGTGGGCATGTCGATGGGTGTGTAGAAAACTGTGCAACGGTGATCGGCTTAGAATATCGATGCTCAGATGCACCCCACGATATATAAGCCTCTACAGGTGCTTCTCAGCCACCTCGGTCAAGGTTTTATGTCCACATGCAAAGCGCGTCTCTTCAGCATTCTTCGTCCCTGGGCGAAGGTCGCCGCAATCAGACGTTTGGTTACAGCCTCTTATACAAATCGGCAGAAGAGCGTTCGACCGGCCACGAGCTGACCTCTGAGAAGTTCGATGGACATATCTGCCGTACAGAGACGAGTTCGCCGTGTCTGGCTTGGGGAAGTGGCGCGCACACGGGTCCCGGACCTATGCTGCGCGACATACATAGGACCCGAGGCCTTCGTGTACAGGCTAAGCATCCGGAATAAGCGCCAGGCTCGCGTTTCAGGTCGGGGTGACCGGCCTACCCTTGGATACAGCCAGCCAGACATGATGTCCACCCGGCAACCGAGCTACGCACGCTGTCTTCAGATGATCCATAGCCAGCAGTGGGTATCAATCCAATGTATCAACGCGATCATATCGTGGCAAAAGACGTGCAGGTGGCTTGAAGACATCCACAATGGCACGATCAAGGAAAGATGCGCCTCGGATTTTGCCGCTGCGCTGACGCGACTTTTGTGACGCAGTTTCGAGCCACAACACTCGAGTCGCAATATATTCGTGTCTTTAAGCAGTAGCAACAAGTTCTCCGTAAGATAAGTTACACTGCGTTGAGACTATGGGGTACTTTTCGTATCTTTTCCGCAATAGTGCGAGAATGTTCATGCAACCACCTTCTCGGCCTCTTGAATAAGGCCGTAGAGGACGCACCATCCTCACTCAGCGATGCCCAGGGACGGATCAAGCGTTGCTTGAACGTATTTCTCAGGGTTCTCAGGTAAAGAGTACTCTCCGAGGGCTCCCAAAAGGTCACGATACACCATGCAATGAGGCATGATACAGCGACTGAGCTGGCGGCGACGGTAATCTGTGTCACGATGTCGGTATTGCGGAATGTGAAGATGAGGATGCTGATCAAAAAGGAGAGCATGCTGCGCCAGCCCATCAGCTTGGAAGAGGTGATAGTAGAAAGGTACGTACGCCCACATGAGGAGTGCGTAAGGTAGGCTGTATAAGATGGCGAGCGGTTCGTAATGGAATAGTCGTGTTTCGAGTCGATTCATGAACGCCACCTGATCGCATCGCCAATCAGCACGGAGACAGTAGTACGTCTGGAGAATCGTACCGCTTCATTCACGTCGTCATGATTCTTGGTTCGATGCGTCCGGATGAGCAGGAGTCCCACCACGATAGTCCCGACACTGCATACAATAGACACATAACTGGCAATCGCTGCAGGCGATCGCAGCGGCGCCAAGTAGCTTTGTACGTTGTTGCCCGCTCCCGGTGCGTTGTCATTGTCAGGGAAGAGAATTACATCCGGAACGGATAGCACTACGGTCCATGAGCTCATCAAGTAAGGTAAGCGAGTAACAGACGTGAACCCACTTGATACATTGGCAGTTAGCCTTAGCCCCGTTGGTCAGTGACTGATTAGTGAATCTGATATCTCAGACTCACATGACTGTAGCCTGGACAGGACTCAATTCAATCATTCGCGACATCCCATATGCCAAAGGACTCACGTATAGCACGAACTCTATCCATTCATCCTGGAGCTTGGTGATATGTCGCTTCCAAACATGCCTGGCGACAGAGTTATCCACATAGAACTTCTCGATATCCAGAAGGTGCGCTTCGGGAGCGAAGAGGAACACGATTGAGGACAGCGACATGAGCCAGGATCGGGGCCGAATGGCCGGACCATGGATGCTCTCGAACCGATCCAATCGCGCGAAGCGTTGACCGTGGAAATAGATGTAGCGCCAATGGCCTGTCGCATAGTCAGGCCAGGGGACATGCGAGTCGTGATAGGAAGACTCACAGATGATCGACATCATGCGACCAAGAGCCGCTGATCTAGGTGCAGCACCAGTACCAGGTCCTGTCACGATGGGTTAGATAGATATACTATCGGACACTGCTTCTAGTGTGCACAGACCTTTCCTGCCCATGAATTTGATCAATCTGGTCAAGTCGCTCAATTCATAAGGCACCGTCGAAGTATGAGATGTCATGACGTCTACAAAGTATCAGAGTCGTTGTGAGACCCATTTGAGTTCCACTTCTTACCGACACTAAAGAAAGTCAGATGTCCGACAAGCTCGTCTACGAGATCGTCGTGGGTTTGAAAGTTGTCCGGGAAGGTGCCGACATGATCCCTATTGGAAAAGATGTAAGCCACGTCGCCAAGCTGGGAATCCGCTTTCGAGATCATGCTCACCAGTACCAGCTCTCAAGGAGGTGTTCTGAAAGTACTATGAGTAAAAAAAGAAGCAGAGGGATACTAAGGGAACTTACTGAAGTGTGCTGGGCTCAGTGGTCCGCATATCTCGGTGAGGTAGATATCGGCATCGAGGGGAAATAGCCAAAATAAACACCGCGTCCGATGATCGACGAAGTAATACTGCCATCGGATGGCCTTGACGCCGTCTTCATCTTCAAACGCAACCTGTGCGACGAGTTCGTAGTCGGGAGGTAGTTGTATCCCCGGCATGCATTGTAACGTCTGTTGGAGATAGGCGAGCAAGGCTTCGACTTCATCCAGATACACTTCCTCGTATAAATAAGCCTCCGTGAAAGCTCGCTGTATGATAAGTCAGATCATGGGCAATATACAGAGTCGATGGTAAGAACCTTTTCAGGATGATAGAAATACAACGCGCCTTCGGAGTGCGTACGCGGCTCCCAGCCACGAAGATCGGGATCCTCGCCGTCGGTTGAGCTGGTTCAGAGTCAGGTTCTGGATAGACAAAGTATGCAAAGCAGATCTTACTGTGGAAATGTGAAGCAGAGCGGCGGGATCGTGAAAGTGGTGGGGTCGTTGGGCACATACTTCTGCCTGTTGTAGCGCGGCGTCTCCAGAGGAGTGACTTCCGAGATTGTACGCCCCTCAGGTAAGGTAGGCAATACAACGGTTTGCACCGGAGGTGAATCGAAGACAGTACGAAGCTCAGAGGATCGAGTGCTCGATATGGGAACGGGGCTGTCATTCATGAGCTCGCGAGGCACTCGAGGGGAGGACGGCGACGAGGAAGACGGCGAGCTATAACCTGAGCGTGGGAAGGATGAAGTGCTCGGAGACTGAATAGTGACTTCCATCATGTCGCTGAACGTCCGATTATGAGAGCGCCGCTCTTGTTCCGGAGATGGAGGTTCAAGGCGAATACCGGGTGCTGACGAGCCAGAGTCCGACGAGTCTGAGCTTGAGCCTGATCCGTACGCTCGTGTCATTCGAACAGGCGTGTGCGGCCTCTGTCTCTCGATGCTGCTTGCAACCGAGATGCGACTATCCCTGTTGGTCCCAGGTGCGTTGTGTACGGTGCCGCCAGTGATTGACGGCGGATATTGTGACAGCTGGCTCTGCGGGCGCGCCTGGGAAGATGGCCTGGAGTTTGGTTGGCGAGAGCTTGACCGTGACCGGGCAGCATTGGATCGAGCTGGGGCCCGAGAGTGTCTGATACGACCTTCAGTGCGTGCATCCCTCTCGATGAACTCTGCACGTGCTTGGGCAAGATGATCTGCACCCAGATCAGCGACACTAGTTCTCTGTGATAGGTGCGACGGCGCGTGAGAAGAGGGAGTTTCCAGATATATCGGTGAGCTCAGATAGCCAGGAGGCTGTTCATGATCATGATCATGCGCTGGCGAAGGTAGGTTGATCGAATGAGGTCGAGGAGCCAGCGTCGTAGTCGTCAAAGGTGCCAAAGTTTGTCGTAAATTGGGGTATGAAGATGATCCCCGACGCGCAGGGGAATGGATGCTACTGTCAGACCCTGCGACAAGTGCACTTGTGGGTACAACACTTGCAGAGACCGGAACAAGGGTATCATGAAACGCAATGGGTAGTGTTATAGCACGTTGAGAGGTTCCTAGTCCTGAGCCCGAGGTCGGCTCGTCATTATCCAAAACGTAGTCGAGATTTGAATCATGGTGGTCGTTTCCTGCAGCAGAACTTGTGTTAGATGGTACATTTTCGTGCGAACATGTCGCGTGTCAGGATTCACCGTTTATATCCGAGCTTTCATGACGCGACGGAGAAGGTCGCAATGCAGGAAGTGCGTGCCTTAACCTCGAGAGCAATTGTCCATAGCATGTCGTTAGTTTGCGGAGTAGTCTTAAAGGCGCTCTCAAGAGACGTAGAATGAAATACAGTGCCTTGCACAGGCGGTCTGCGAGCGACATGCAAGTTCAGGACAAGGCTCATGGTGTGGGAATCCGCATGGTGCGCTGATGATAGCAGTTGATGATGGATTGATGCCTCGTGGCGGATCGGGCTCACCTTTTCATGTGCGCTTGTTGAGATGCTGCCTAGCCGCCTTTTCGAGGGGTTCGGCGTGCATCGTTTGGGATCCTGCTCTGGGTCAAGTACTGGCTCAGATTGATACGTCTGCATGAATCGGGAGTCTCGTTGTACATAGCATGTCCAAAGCGATAACGAAGAGCAATCCTAGATCGAATAAAGTTAGGCTGAAAAACGACACCCAGTCCGTGACCACTACGTCCAATACGCCCTCGAGAGTCATGACAGAGCCTTCTCCTTTCCCTTGCGCGAGGGCAGCGCAGAAAGCTCCGGCGTACTCTCTGCACCAATCGACTTCCCGAACAGGAGCCCGCCCCCACTAACGCTCCGGCGCATCGAAATGGGAGGAGAGGGTGGAAGAGAGGGAGGAGTGCCATTGACACCTTTGCTCGGCGACGATACGGGTGAGCCAGAAGCCGCCTCGGTCATCAAGAACTCGACCCATAGCTTGGAGAATGACTATGATAGTGATCAGACATCGTACAATCTCCGTTACGGGCGCAGATATGGACTCACCTCAGTCTCATCAGTCTTGTCAAGCTCTGCCGGTCGGATTTTGGGCGTATTGATCATGCGCCCGCCGCCTGGTCCACGTTGAAGCCCTGCAAGCGCCCGTTCCTCGTCAGACCACGAGAGTATACTCGATAGCAGATTCAACATCTCAAAGCGCTTGGGATCTGCGCGAGGTGTGGTCAAGAACTGCAGGACGACATTGGTGACCAGTCTTCGATCGACGTTCTGGTCGGAAGAGTTCCGCCTCAACCGTCGAAGTGCTTCCATAAGATGATCGTTGAGGATGACAGCTGTCGAGCGTCTCAACCAAACAGTTTCTGAGCTCCGGAGACCGACATACCTTCTAAACGCAGTTTGTCGATAAGGAGGCCCTTTTCCTTCAGCTGTTGCTCAAGTTCATGTACGCGCGAACTATTGGTGGCACCCTCTTCGATCTGCATCTCCGCTTGAAGCGCACGATGCTTGTACTCGGCCAGAGATTGGGTTGCTGAGAGAAGCTTGGACTCGAGCCCCTGAACAGCCTGTCGAAGTTCATGATCCTTCGCTGAGTGTAGGCCACATTAGTTATGGCCGCCAGGAGTCGAAACAGGCTCACCTGATTGGAAGTCTTCCAATACGCTCTGCAAGTTGCGCGAGTTTGTGCGTTCGGTCTCCAGCTCCTCCTCCGCCCGTTGTGCCGCATCCCTCTCCACCGCGGCTTCTCGTCGAGCGACTTCGAGCGCAGCACGAGCCTCGTCCGCAGTAACGCGCTCCTGCATAGCGGTACGCTCCCAGTCATCTCGCTCTAGCCGCGTACGTTCCAATTCGGCTTGGGTTTCGTGCAACTCGCGTTCGCGTCGTGCGGTCTCGTGCGCATTCTCCTCCATGGCACGTCCGCGCAACACATCGAGTTCGCGGGTTGCGCGTTCGGACTCCTCGTTTGATGCAAGCACCTCCGCTTTCAAGGTTTCTACTGTCGCCTCGTAATCGTCATTCTGAGCCTGAAGCTGCTGTATGAGTTGTTCTCTCCGATCTAACTCTTCCTGACCAGGTATCAATATACAAAGTCGGTATAGGAGTGTATGGTTCTCCTCACCGCGTCCTGCTTCAGTTTATTGCCCAGTGTAGTTCGCATAGTCGTTAGCTTTGAAAGCAGGTTACGGTACTGCGTTGCCAGATTCTCCTTTTCCTCCCTCGCATGTTGGAGTTCTTTACGCAGGAGTTCGACAGGATCTGAGGTAGTAGAGTCTCCATCGGACGGCCCATTTGTGGTGGGTGGCGATAGGATATGATCATGGTCAATATCTAGAGATGTCCTAGGGAGAGAGTGGGATGGACTGAGGGAGCGCGTCGGCGAAGGTGAAGCCATAGCTCCCGCGCAGCGGGCTCTGGTCAAGGCGCGGAGTCGGCGATGATGAGCGCGCGTCTGTACGCGTCCAGGCCGCGTTCAGCTGCGGTGACACGTGGCCGCGACTACTTCGTCTGCTCGATTTCGTGGCTTGCTCCCAACCACACCATGCGCTCCCAGCGGTTGGCCGCAATACGACGCGCTCCCTCGATGATAGCAAGCGTAGACTTGCAGGAGTGCTCGCAGGACAAGACATATCCCCGGAAGATACGGGACTTATCCCGCTGAGTGTGTACCATCGCAAGACCAACTTCCGTTTGACGGTTGCATTGTGTCAACTCTATTGTACGCCGTCAGATGGCCTGTGTCGGATCTGGTCGGAATTGTTTCAAGCAGGCTCCTCTGAGGCTGGCCGGCCCGCCCCCAGTCTGCGGCCTTGTCGTATAAATGTCCGCTGCTATGCTGGCGTCTTCCACAGTGTTCCTACATCTCGGTTCGACACCATGATGTCCAGGGTCCTCGCAGCGTTCGTGGCAGCCGCTGTTGTACTTGTAGGCAAGGACGTGTATATGCTCGCACGGATTCTTCTACATCCCTACTTCTCTCCCTTGCAAGTGGTCAACGGGCCTCCCGATCCTGTAACCGACTACGATGCTGTGCTGAAGGAAGACCCTCTGGTTATGGAGCGCTGGGCCCAACAATACGGACCCATCTACCGTTATGCGGCCCAACTCAAGGTGGGCAACTTGACCTCGTAGTGCCTTTGAAGTGACCTGACCCGAACTCAATAGATCCCAACTCTCGCCATTACGGATGCGCGGGCGATAGCTCATGTATTAGGTCACCCTGACCTATACCAGAAGCCGCAGGTACTGCAAAGAGCTCTCAGGTTTCTCCTCGGTGCTGGGATGCTGACGGTTGAAGGTCAGTTATAGTGCATATCCATCGCGAAACAGCATCTAATCGCACTTCTGCTAGGGAATGAACATAGGAGACAGGTTCGTCGAAGTGCATCATATGTGAGATTATACGGACTCAGAGGACGACTTAGCGGCGGGTCATGGTGAGCGACGCTCGTGTCTTCGAATACAAGTACTTGGGTGGTTAATCGGACCCTATCAACGAAGAGCCCTGCGTTTGGGAATGCTCAGATGCGCGACCTAACCCACATCTTTCTTGAGAGGACGGAGCAGGTCAGCCCACCCACTCATCCGAAAGTATGCCTATCTAACTTCACCCAGCTCAGACAGGTCTGGCTTGCTTTGACAGCCGAGAATGGATCGAACGAAGTGACGATAGAGGTTGTGAAATATCTCACGAAGACAACGCTCGATGTAATTGGGCTGGCAGGTCCGCTGCCCTGTTACCTCCCCTCAGATATCAGATTGAACAACTGTCTTATTCGCAGGTTTTGACTACGAATTCAACGCTCTATCGGCCGACAAGACCGCTAACGAACTTGGTGATGCCGTCTGGGCCATAGTGAACCAGCCTCAGCCTAGCGTACTCGACATCATGCAGATCATCTTTCCGGTTCTACGCTTCATCGTGAGCCGTTATATTCATAGTGGAAGTCATGGAGCTCTCATATGCGTAGCCGACCGTCAATTCGAGGAAGCTCCAGCAGGCGAACGCAGTACTTCATCGCGTGGGCTCGCAGATGGTAGCGGAGAAAAAGTCCGAAGTACTGGCGGTCGCAGGATCATCCGTGGACAAGGCTGCTTTTCAAAGCAAGGACATCCTAGGGTTGCTCGTGCGAGCGAATATGGCAAGCGACCTTCCAGAGTCGAGCCGCATGAGCGACACAGAGATTGTAGCGCGTCAGTGTATCTCATTTCCATAACCGCACTCTCGTCTTACTCGCGATACGTAGAGATCCCCACGCTTCTTGCAGCTGGACATGAGACGACTTCCACGATGATGAGTTGGGCTCTGTACGCGCTCTCAGTCAACCCGCATGTCCAGGATAAGCTGCGCGCCGAGTTGCAAGCAGGTTACGACGACACGGGCGATTCGCCCAGTATGGAGCAATTACACGCGTTCACGTATCTTGACGCCGTCATTCGTGAGACTTTGCGCATGTGGCCACCACTGCCTTTCTTGTCCCGTGAAGCGCTCAAGACGGACGTGATACCCACGGAGAGGCCATGGACGGACAAGAAGGGTGTAGTACACGACGGTATCCGGTGCGTTCTTCCCTGTAGCTATCGTAGCCGTCCTTGACTATGCGTACTAGGGTTACCCAAGGCGATGCTATAGCTGTGCCTGTCATTGCTATGAATCGCTCAACAGACATCTGGGGTCCTGACGCCGGCGAATTCAGACCCGAGCGCTGGCTTCTCCAGGACGCCCTCCCACCCCCGCATTTCCAGCACGTGCCCCTCCCAGGCCTTCTGTCATTCTCCGCCGGCCCTCGTGCATGCATCGGGTGGCGACTGGCATACGTGGAGTAAGTGTGTATGTTTGTACTCATCTGTGCAGTGACAACTGACATTGGTCCTCGACAGAATGAAAGCTATGCTCTACGTGCTGCTTCGATCGTTCCGCTTCGAGCTGTCCACCCGACCTGAGGACATGACCATGCAAGCGGGACTGATCCTCCGCCCATACGTGCTCTCAGAGCTGGAGAAGGGACCACAGTTACCTCTCATTGTCCATGCATTGTAAGCATGTTCCGCGTTTGATCATGCCGGCGATGCTCTTCGCTCCCCTCGATTTGGCTAGACATGGCCGAAGCAAACACATCTACCTTGTGATTGATGTGCTAAGACGCTCATTTTCTATCTACTGCCACATACACAAAGGGTGAATCAAGTTGTTTTGCAAGTACCAAAGAGTGACGCAGCGTCTCCAGAGAGCTCGACGTTAGAGCAACTGTACGTTGCATCACCTTTGCTCGACGGCGGTCTGGAATCGGGTAAGCCTCATAACGTGATCCGACGGCACAAAGACGCACGATAGGGTGAGATCATTCACGTTGACATCCGAGCAGCGCCCATCTGGCGAGCAGGACAGAGAAGCCACAGTGCTGCCTTCAGATCCCGAAGATGTCCCTGAAATGCTGCTCATGGCATAAGCCAAGGCCGGTATCCGATGAACGACGGAACGTACTGATTAAACCAGACATCCTTGATGTAGGTATTGCTGGGATTCTCGGCACAGGCGTCCGCATCAGTCATGTAACACTGAAATGATCGTCAGTGGGACCATAGTAGGATCTACGGCGGCGTACGTACCTGATCGATGACAACAGGGTTATCGACGTCTTGACAAAGGGATATCAGCCTTCCCAACGACGTCCACATTGCGTCAAAGTGACATACTTGACTCCGTGAAGTATTCAAACGTGATGTTCTGTACGATACCCGATCCAACGTTCGATCCCGCCCATGCCTTGATGCGGGCTCCGTTCTGAGCATCGCTCATGGAGATATTCCTGTAAGGCACGACTCAGCAAGTCCCGGACCATGATTATGACTTTCATTTCACCTCGCAGTCACATTCTTCACGATGTCATACATACCGGGATATTGCCCGAGGGAACCAACAGATATACCATGCGAGCCTGTGCAAGATAGGTTCTGGACCAATACGTTGGTTGTGTCTGTGGTGCGTAGTCAGATTCACGTCGACAAACCCATTCCGGCGACCTACTCGGTTTGAACGAGACACAATCATCGCCATTGACAATGACTGAGTTTTGGATGGTAACGCTGTCGCTCTGATATATGTCCCAGCCATCTGTATTCTTCGCATCCTTGCTCGATGTCGAGCGTGCTGATATGTTCACGTTGTCGTAGATGACGTCAGAGCTCTGCCAAACCTGTTCGCAGAAGCATCAGCGATGTTTCCCCGCAGCATGAGATAGCAATGAACATACGAGGTTAACCCACTCAGGACTGTTGAGCAATGTGATATCCTTGACCGTGAGGTTCTTTGAACCGAACACGGTCAGCAAGATGGGCCGCACAAGAGAGCTGTTTGATGCACTGAGGGTCGAGTGGCATGAGTCTCACGACCTACCACACTGGGCGATACGGGGCGTAAAAATGGTCGAGGCTTACAACTCGTCGTACCACGCCTACAACGCACTGCAGTCAGTCAACTGAGCAACACCATCTGCTGGCCCCTACTCGCCTGGCCAGAACCGTCCAGAGTTCCTCCGCCGTCCAAGAGCACGTTTTCACCTCCCAGATACCAGAATGTTGACTGGTTCTGATAAGTGATGAAGAATGCGTTCTGGTAGACGAGAACATGAATGAAGGCTAGAAGTCATTCCCGGTGCAGCCACGTACCGAGATCCAGTACGAGATATCGTCCGTGAATTTGATGGTACCTTCCAATGACTACCAGCTGTAAGCTGCCACGTATGTAAGTCCCTCCAACATGCTCACGTACGATATGCTTGTTTGTCAGACCCGTGAGGTTCAGCGCGGATCCGATGCTAAGCGTAGTACCCGCGGGTACAGTGGTGGTATCGCAGGAACGTACTGCCGCGGCGAATGCGGGTCCGTCATCGCCTCCGCTCGCAGAGAGAGTACACTGGGCAGATACCCCGTGGGCTATGGCGAGAGCGACAGCGAGGGATTTGAGCGTCTTCTGAAGCATGACGGTCTAGCAACGGCACGAGTACGTAGCACGTAGTCGTTGCTTGAGCCTCTGTGAGCTTATATGCTCGTGGACCTCAGGCGTCGCGAGCCAGAATAAACCGGACCGCCTGCACAATGAACGGTCCGGACGTAGTAGTCATTTGAAAGCGTCGTCAGGCAGCTGAGCCGGAGTGAATAGAGAAACCGAGGTGGACAGGATCATTTGACCCCGTGGTCGGTGTGCTAAGCTGGAGGGGCCCTTCTCATTGATCCGTGCGGTGGAAGGCGCTGTGTCGGTCCTCGGAAGTACGATGATGCAAACCGCCGCGTCGCACTCGCTGCAACATTGTCACTGCGACAGCGTGCAGAGTATGATGCCCATCTCAATTTCTGTATCAGCCATAGCTGTCGACAGCTAGGTCATGATGGCAACGGTACAAACCTCCATGTCAGTTCCGTCCTTGTCACGCGCGCGGGCCGGTCGTCATACACTGAAAGCGTACACTAACGGGTTCGGAAGAACTGAAGGACCTTGAGCGCTCGATTCCGACTATTGATAGCAGGCGCTGAATAGAAGACTGCGAGAATATCTGATGGGAGCTTTCGTTGAATATTTCGCAAGGGTTGAAGCCAGGCCGTGGCCCGAAGAAAAGGCCATTTTGGAAATAACACGGGTGCAGAAACGCCACGTGCCACGCGGCGGGGAGTCGCACGCCGTCGGCGGCGCCGCGCGACTCGTCGCCAAATTCGTCGCCTTTGCCTACCATTACACTCGGCTCATGTCGAGTTCGACCTATTAATAAGGTGCCTATTGCCACGAACGCGATCCAACGGGACTGATATACGTTTGAACATCGCAAGTAGTCTGCTTCAACACACCCTCTGTTTGTCCCACAAGGCCCCATCTGTACTCACCATTGTCCGCCTGCACAGCTGCGCAGCCACCAGTATGGAAGGATTCACCCTGCTGAATCTTGCTCTTCTCGGCATGATACGTTTTCACCAGTTGGAGCAAAGCGATCCTCGGATTCCCTCAAACCTGATTCATCATCACCCTGAACGGCAGCGAGCGACTTCGTTGGCGGAGAATCTCCTTGCGCCGGCGAACGCTTCTGGGGATCATCACTTGCGAGACTATCGCGGGCTGTCATTCCGGGCTGTACTTAAAGTCCCTAACGTGCTCCAAGATAGCGTGCAGTCAACTCGAAGACCCGACCTCTCTCTGTTCCGTGCGATAATGGTGATTAGCTTCACACATGCCTCATATATCGGTTGGCTAACGACCTATGATACCCGCTGCGTATGCAGATGTCTGATAGCAACCATTGGTCTACATATATGGAGCAGGCGAAAGGAGTTGACAAGGAGTTCATAAGAGACATGAAGGTTGTATCGGATGGTATTTTGATCTTTGTAGGTCGCGGCCTGAATTCATATTACACTTAGTTTGTTAACGCCAGGTTCTCAGACCGGGTTGTTTGCAGCCGTGGTAGCGACTTTCTTGGCACAGTCATGCAACCTGCTCAACTCGGGCTCCGCCGCTGACCCGTCAACACTGATCCTCGCGGAGATCCTGGCGACTATGCGCGCCAATCATACCGCACCATCCCCGGTTCCACACGGAGCCTCCTTATCCCCCACTCAGTCCACCTATGCTGTCAGAGTCAACTCCATATGGTCTTTGAGTCTGCTTCTGAGCATCTTCAGTGCCCTCATCGCTACCTTGATCCAGTACTGGATTAGACGTTACGCCAGCGTCATGCATGGTCCAGGATCAGTACGAGATCGCGCTCTACTACATGCCAGTCTACAAAGCGGCATCGAATCTTTCGCGATGAAACACACAGTAGATCTCGTCGTCATTTCGCTGCACAGCGCGGTCGCGCTGTTCATCTACGGACTGGCGCTTTATATGGACTCACTGAGTTCTGAGGTTGCATGGGTCATCAAAGGGTTTTCCTACTTCTTCCTCACGGTCTACACCATCATCACCCTGCTACCCATCGTGTTTCCCACAAGTCCCTACGCAACACCGCTGTCAGAGGTGCTACATATCCCCTTGGCCACTATAGCCATTGTGATACACTCGATCATCTTTGGGATACTGCTGGTCCCGCACTATTACATGGAAACCTGCTCTCGCTGCACACTGCCCGCTATTCCTTCCTGCCTGTACCCAGATGGGTATGATTTAACTGTGGATCGACGAGCTCGTCTGATGACAGCCTTGCAACGACCCTCAGATAAAAGGGACGAGATATATGCCCGAGGCTTGGTTCATGCATTTGCTCAGAACTCCGACATCAAGGCGCTCTCCGTCTCGATCGAGCAGCTGCTCTGCGATCCCACGTTGTTTATCAGCGGCAAAAGTACATGGCAACATTTGCTGCAAGCGAATCTGCATCGCGAACTTGCTTGGTTCATTACTTGCCTGCCAACGGAGGGGCCGAGAGGGTCCTCGGACGTGTATGCTCTTTCGGCGTTATCTTCGCATCTCTTAGAGCATTCAACGACAGCAAGTGATGCAGTCATTCCACTATTTGATGCTTGGACCTTTCAATCAAAGTCTGCCCGGAACACACGTATCGTGGTAGAGGCCATCTGCCAGATGGCGAACGCACGTCTGCAATTTGTGCAACGCTCATCACCTGCGGAAACCATACATTCCGGCGGACTCTCGACGGCATGGTGGAAGTACGTGGACGATGGCATCACACCATCCCCTGAGTCCCAATCGGGGATAGCAGCCCATGATAGGATTCAAGGTTGCCTATTTCATGTCCAGAATCTTGATCTTCCGGTGCCGGTTCCCTCGGAATCAGTCTCGTCGCCTGCTCATTCCACTTTCACTCCAGCCTATATGTGTCAGCATCTCAGCGCATTGGCGTTTGTATCATTCATCCGCAGCGTTCTTACAGCAATCTCACGCATGGCCGCATCTGACACGCCCGATAGAACCGAGAGTTCAGACTTCAGCGCGTGTAGTGTCACCCTTCAATCTCTCGCAAGAGCGGTTCTGGCAGACATACCGGCGAAGACGTCTTTCAGCTATCTTCAGCTCGCATCACAGATCCGCATGTTATCCCTAGAAGAGAACCCATGGGGAAGGACTTCCGATCACCGCGTTGCCTCTGAGGGCGAACGACGCGCAGCGCGACAATGGACAGAGCTGTCTTCGGTTCTGCGAAGTATCGGGGAAGCTCTTCGCACCAACGTGGACGTGCAGCCAGGCGTCATTTGCAGTACTACATTCTCCGCTCCTCGTCATGTGCACATGCATCTCCCAACCCTATCACATCCTAGGATGGATGCAGTATAAGGTTCAAAATACGTCTAGCTGATGGTATCGCCGTACTGTGCGCCTCCTTTGACCAGAAGTCCTTCCCGTCCGATTGACTGGTGATAGGTATAGCCTGTATACTGGAAATAGAGTTTATCTACATATTGAAGACGTCTTCACGGGACCGTTGGTACAGCGACACGGCATTTCCCGAAGAATCTCTCACGCTCATTATCTCCGACGTTCAAGTACCAGACCTCGACGCCAAACTCTCTTCTCCGCTTCCATCTTGACTGCCTATTCTGGTTAACATGACGCTATACTGGTCTATTGCGATGTTATTTCTCAGTCCTATTGCTCGCTCTCGCGCCCTCTACGCGCTCTTACTCTCGGATAAAAGTGTGCACGCGGTCCTTCGGGGTTCAACATTCGATACTCGTTGATCAACGCACGCGTTGCGGGAGTCCCTGTACCCTCCTTGGCTTAGTACTTGTACCCGAAAGAGGCTTCTGGTTACAAGTCTCACCGCTTTGTGAGTTTTCAACTCCGTATCGACTCCAGCAATGATTAATGATGCGTGTCAAGGATTCGCGTCTGCCATTGCTCCCATGTGGTCACACTGCCCCGGAACGGCTATGTCCGGTCCCAGTGGGTATAAGCCCACTTTGCTGGTATAAATGAATCGTTGACTCGCTTCCCTGCCAACCCTCAACATACGCTCTTGCCTGAAGGTGCGACTGAGCCATCTGTAGGGGTACACTTCGGCTGCTCACCGTCTATGTACGACAACAAGCATGACCGCTCTAAGTGAAGACATGCCAGCAAACGAAGGGATACCACTTACTGAGGGAGACTGCTGGTCTACATATATGTCTGTGGCGAAGGGCATCGATCAAGAGTTTGTCCGCGACATGACAGTCACCTCGAATGGGGTGCTGATTTTTGTGAGGCCTCGCCATCTATGATAGAAGATGTTTGCTCATCAATTGACAGACCGGCTTGTTCGCAGCCGTTGTCGCGAACTTCCTCGTACAGACATACAGTCTTCTCCCCACTGCTCCTGAACCAGATCAAGCCACGGTCGTACTTCGTGAGATGCTGACCATCATGCGCTCAGACCAGTCTGGGAACGACGTATCGAGTAGGCTTATACAGATGGACGCTGCGACCACGTACAGCCCCACTACATATGCAACTCGGTTGAACACCGTCTGGGCGCTAAGCCTTGTTCTTAGCCTATTCAGTGCATTCATGGCCACCCTCATCCAAACATGGGTTAGGCAGTATCTCAGTGCTATACACGCTGCAGGTTCTCTCCACGACCGCGCTTTACTTCATGCTAGTCTGCTGGGTGGCGTCAAACAATTCGCAATGCGATACGCAGTTGATCTTGTCGTGATCCTACTGCACAGCGCCGTAGCGCTCTTCTTATATGGTCTGACAATCTATCTCGAGGCTGCGAGCCACATCGTCGCGCGGCCTGTCAAGGCAGCGTGTATCCTATTTGTCATTGTCTACATGACATTCACCGTTTCGCCTCTTCTATTTCCTACCTCCCCTTATTCGACGCCGGTGTCTGAGCCACTGCGTTTGCCACTGAGTGCAATCGTATTTCTTGCCCGCTGGATCTTGTGGATCCCTATCCTCTTGGCAAATCACTATCTGGGACTGATACAACCATTTGCGCAATGGAAGCGTTTATCTGTCCTGTTGGATCCTTTAGCTATCGCTCAGGACAGGAGGAGAAGGCTCATGACATCGCTGCGAACTCATTCAGAACAGCGGAGTAGAGTGTTCTTGCAGCAATTGTCGCAAGCATTCCAGAAAAGCGCCAATACTAGGCTCTTCTTTGCGCATATACCCCAGGAGAAAGACTCAATCCTAGTCGAAGATGACCAACAGGCCTATCGTCTTATGTTGCAAGCCGGTCTTCATCATGAAGTTGCTTGGTTCATTGATTCCATGCCTCACGATAATTCACTCAGTACCATGACGGAGGACATACGCATCGCGTCAACGATCAGTCGGCATATCATAGAGCACTCTACATCCGACGATGATGCCATATTGCCCTTGTTCAAAGCATGGCAGGCCCGAACCGACCACCCGAACCCCGATCTGAGTCTGATTGCGCTCTGTCAAGTGGCGGACGCGCGGCTACGCTTCTTAAAGTACCCTTCGCCGCAGGCCACAAGTGGTAGCCACGTCAAGGCATGGTGGAAACATACAGATGATGTCAACGCTCTTAGCGCGGGATCGGGTACAGAGCATGGCCAGATGCAAGGCTACCTATTCCGTCTTGAGAGCATGCATTTCCCGATATCTCTGCCCGCAACTCCTCGATCGACGCAATCTCCAGATAGTGCTGGAGCTCCTTATATCTGCCGCCATCTGAGTACTTTGGCTTTCGTCTCATTCGTTGCTTCGATAGCATCCACACTCGCACGCGGCGCGTCATCAGCAAAACCCATATCGAATGCTGTTTTAGCGGCATGTGTTCCGACGCTGAACGCTCTTGTCGACAGAGTGATAACTGATATACCCTCCAAGGCGTCCTATGCGCACTATCAGCTTCGCGCGCTGTTGAAGATCCTATCTGCGAACATGCTTTCTTCCTCCGCCGGCCATTCTGCGACAGCATCTACTTCCCAGAAGGGCTCGCAAGACGGGAGCGCATTAGTCGAACGTTGGGATGAGTTGCAGATCGCCTTGCAGCGCGTATCGGATGCCTTGGAAACAATGGTCGAGGATGGGGAACATCTGACGAACACGGACTCTACATTACGTCCATTCCCAGATATGTACAATGCGATCGGCCGTCTTAGGGTAGGGTCTGTCTAGACGTCTCAATAGTTACTATCCCACCTGTTCACTGCGCGTTTCGGAATCGGCGCACGACCAATAAGTCGAATGACTTTTTGTTTCCACCTCTCTTATGCGGTCATAGTTGAGCAGTGAAGCTAGTGCGATGCTATCACACAACAGGGTATCCAGATAAGGGTATGTTTGTACGCGCACAGCGCGACGCAAGGGGTAGTAGTGGTGTACAAGTGGAATAGTTAGTGTGTCGTCTGTCCAACGCCCAAGGAAAGTCTCCAGAAAGATTGCAACACTCATAGCGCAAGGTTGATAGGCATGCATCCCAACGCGATGATTCCTTGCTAGAATAGAACGTCAATAACTGGAGAGAGGCGAGGATGCAACGCGAACATACGAAGGAGGTGTTGTCGCAGCAGACAGTTTGCTGGTTGCATTGACTTGCTGCGCCAACTTCGGGTACGATGGGATCGCATGTCACGCCGACCTGGGTATTGCTGTTTGCGAAGCCGAGCGGTAAGAGGCTGAGCAGGGACTCGTCGAGAAGATCGGTGATGCCCTTGGAGCTCGACTAGATAGAGATGATTCAGTTGTGAACAACCACGCAGATGGAAAGCGACATACATCTTGCACGGAGTTACAGCACTGGAGCTCGCCAGTATTGCACGAGGGTGCAGGGGGCGGGGGCGGCGGGCTAAGGTTGCAATCGGGGTCGGCGGTACCCACGTCCTGTAGTGTGGGGTCGACGTACCCGTAGCTCTCGTAGCGCGCCTCGACGGCCATCGTTGAGCTTGGGTGTGCGTCCAGCGCAGTCTTCGTCCTGACGGGGCCGGCGATGCCGGAGGCGGCGAGCAGAGCAAGCGTGCAAACAGGGGCGAGGCCGAACATGGCGAGAGTGAGCGGCGGGAGTGGAGGACGAAGGACAGAACGAGTGGTGGGGGTATGAGATCGACTCCGGGTCAGATTGCAGAACGAATTTCGCCGCCGTCCGTTTTATACGCCACTTCCGGAGGAGCCCGCCGGCATGCAACCCCAGTGCGCTCGAAGACCGTAGCCACATTGATAGGCTCCCGCCGCGTACGAGGTGAAAACAGCAACCAGAGATCGCCTCTACAGGTCGTAGCACAGCGGAAAGTAAGGAGCGTCGTAGCATAAGCAGACAGCGGGCTGGACTCTGGCGCCGCTGAGAGGCGCGTTGAGGGCGCTCCGGTTGGGGCGCATCCTGTTGCGATGCGTTCCCGGTGTTCGAAATACAACTGACAGAGGCGAGTTCCATCCGCAACATCGTCTGTTGACGTTTGACACACACTCGATGTCGGAGTTGGTGGCTTCGCGATCGATTGTCACTCTCTTGCCGTTCAGGTAAAGTCATATGACACGTAGTCTGGCATTACATTGGCAGCGTTTTGGGACATCTATGTCGACGGGTTCAGAGCTCGGTAAAGTCGGCAAGCTGATTGACAGGTCGATTGGTCCTGTAAGTGTCTTTAGATCGCAGGGCGTACGCAATCAGGATGAAGACGCACCCGCCACCGCCGCCGAGAAAGGCGTGTGTACCCTTGTGCTTGGGATGAGACTCAGTCTCCTGTGAGAACGGTAGTGAGAAGCTGAAAAGCGGGCATTTCATCATTACGAACCGGTGCGTCCTCATGCTCGAGTTCCCGCGGAAAGCGGCCACCGCGCGTGCGAGGTTTCTAAACGTGACTATCAGCATGGATCGCGTTGCAGACGATGGGCACGACTCACCTCTCGCGGCTCAATGGCGTAGTAGGACCGCGCGAAGGCGCGCTAGAAAGGAGTGAGCAGACGATATGAGTAAGGAGTGAGTGCAGATACCGAAAATGCGTTGGGCTGCTCAAAGTCGAATTCGGGCGGTTGCTCCCGCGACTGAACAGAGTGACTTGCAATATCTCGCTCCCTGGCGTATAAGCGCGGAACAAGGTTATCCTGAAGCTGCGTTAGGTGTATACTATCAGAATATAGACGAAGGTTGCGCACGACAGCTTTGACCTTGGCGATCTGCTTGGCGGATGTGACCGGATCGATTGCTACACCACCCAAAGGTAGCGCAGCAGCGCAGGCGGTAAGGATCAGCGCCACGAGTACGGCTTTCATGACGCAGAAGTAGAGATGGGATGTAAGTAGCATGGACGATGGACGGAAAGAGAAGTCGCTGCGCCTGAGCGCTGCACCGAGGGATTGCGTAGAGCCAGTACATTCATCGCGAGCAACTCGGCGATAGAAGGACAAGGTGCTACGCTGTGCACAGGTGATGACGCGGCATTCGACTTTGCGACGCTGCCGAACCTCGAAGCCTGTCGCTCTCGATGCCTGTCATACTGACATGCAGGCGTAGCTACTCTAATTGAACGCAGGCGTTGGTCCGTCGTCTTGAAACAAATTTCCCGCATCGCAGGCATGGGGCGAAGGTCCGGGTCGTACGAAATGAGATGACGTTAGAGTATCGTGGACAGAGGCAAGCCGCTTTCCGACATCGGCCGACACAACGCGCTCGACCCCGAGTCGCGCGCCTCGCGACGCGCTTCATTGCCTTCAAGTTCAACACGACCTCCATGATGGATGGACTTGGACTGCTGGGATCCTCCATACAAGTTTGTCGTACTCCACGCGCGAAGAATGGTTTCGGACAGGGCTTGCTCTCGTCCGTTACCGTGCAGGGCACCGAACGACAGCATGTACGGTAGCATTGTCATCTTCTTGTCCATTCGATCTTCTGCACTTGGCAGGCGGTCATACGTGCGATGTGTGTCTGTTTCGCCGGGTGGTGTGGAATGACAGCTGTCTACTACGCGGTGCTACGCACGTCGTGAGCCGCAAGGCATGTTTGCTTGCCCACCGCGATGCATCCCTGCGCGCTGAGCCCCAGAATACATATACCCGTCTTGTGAAGTTTGTATTTCCTCAACGGTCCTACCCGTCCTCTTCGCTCGCTCCTACTCACCCCTCCCTTCGTTTTCTAACCTCGCCGCGATGTTCTTCCGCTCACTCGTCGCTCTTGCTATCGCCCTCTCGGCTTCGGCCTCGCCTCTTCTCGGCAACGCTGCCCCTACTGCCAGCGCGGCAGTCGGTCTCGGCGATAACAGTTGCCCTGGCAGCGGCAGCACCGTCACCGTCACCGTCACCGTTGGTGGAGGTGGTAGTAGCGGCGGTAGCGGAGGCTATGGCGGTAGCGGCGGCGCCTCCACAACCGTGCCAGTCGTCGTACCCACCACCACTGTCGCAATCCCTTCGGTCACGTCGGTTCTCACCAGCGTTGTGGCGACACCAACGGCTCCTGCCGGCGGTAGCGGTAGCGGCACTGGCACTGGCACTGGCACTGGCTCGGGTAGCGGTAGCTCGGACCCAGGAAGCGCTGTAAGGATCCCAACTCTGCAGGTCGTGCATCTATGGCTCTAACATTATCGACAGTCTTGCAACACCGGCCCCGTTCAGTGCTGCAACCAGGTTCAGCCCGTAAGTAGTGCCTGTTGGTATCATACATGCTCATTCGCTGATACATCTACCTGTAGGCGAACTCCGTCAACTTCGCCAGTATTCTCCCCTCAAGCCTTTTGGGCCTGCTCCCGATCAACCTCCAGGGTCTGAACGTTCCTATTGGTCTCGACTGCGACCCTATCAATGTCCTCGGCATTGGCAGCAACTCCTGCAGCCAGCAGACGGTGTGCTGCGAGAACAACAACTTCGTACGTTTTGATCGATGCCTTCTCGTGCGCGAATCTGTCTGACTTGCAATCTTCAGTCGGGTCTCATTGCCATCGGCTGCACGCCCATCAACCTGTCGTTGTGAGCGCCTGAACCTATCTGCGAGGCTTCATATGTTCCTCTTCTCTCCTTTACTTACGGACTGTTATACGGACGTTCTTTCGATCTTCCTCTGTCATATCCGCTCTTTCGTGTACTTACTGATGGTAAATTTGACTTCGTTTATATGTGCATATGTGACTTTTATATGATTATATGCTATGACACATGAGTGCGCATGAGGGCATTGAGAGATTCAGACACATACGTGGGGTGCGCTGCTGATGCGGGGATACTGATTATACTGCAAATGCAGTTTTGCAAGGTTCGATGGCGTAGTTGGTTATCGCATCTGTCTAACACACAGAAGGTCCCCAGTTCGAGCCTGGGTCGAATCATTTTTTCAGGCGCGCACCTTACCGCGAGTATGCTCTCGAAGAGGCATTCACGTCTCTACTGACGGCGAGGGAGATAAAATTGGAATTATGGGACAGATTTATATAGATGCGGGTAATATGTACTTGGGGACACGTCACGTCCTAGACGCCCTACCATGTAGCTGCTCCGAGTCCTCCCTGAATCGGGTCATCTCCAAAAAAGTTTCCCCCCAGTGCCTCTCCCTTACTTTCCCTTTCAATGGCCTCAATATCCCTTTGTATCCCATACTCGATCATAACCTCCTTAATCCTATCCGCGTCGAACTCCCCCTGCACCATCTCGTCCCTGAGCGGCAACTCGACGCGATCCGTGGCGAAGATACCCCGAGCGGCTCGTATACGGTCCAGATACACGTCGGGTGCAACCGGTGCGAGTGATGCCGCGAACTTTCTGTCTTTTGCAAGAACGGACTCGATGCTCCCGAAGGCGTCTACCAGTTTACGCGCCCGGACGGGTCCAACGCCGTGTACGCGAGGAGCAAAGTCTGTGCCTAGTAGCAGAGCAAAGTCGACAAAGGTGGAATGTTCAAGGTTGAGGGCTGTCCTCAAATCGGCGCCGTGTATGATGGTCAACGGCCGGTCGCGAGAAGATAGTCCTCGTAGGAGAGGTGCTTCGTGGACGAGAACGTCAGTGTCCTCGCTTGCGACGGCCACTCCGTACCCGGCGCGAACAAGCGCGGACGCAAGGGCCTCGGCTTCGGTTGCTTGTCTGGTGGTGATAACGGGTATGCCGGCGGCACGGAGGAGAGTGGTGCACTGAGTGTAAGTCAATTCAGTGGGAGGATGTGAGCGCCGAAGGTAAGACGCCGAGATCAGCGTTGACTTGTCGAGGATGAGGCGTAGTTGCGAAGTGGGCGATGCGGAATCTGGTTCCCGATCATGCGATGAGGGCGCAGTGTCGTCCGCTAGTTCCGATAGCTGGGGTGTGTGGGGCAGCGGGGAGAACGCCAGGGTATGCCAGAAGGCGCCCTCTTGATGTGCGAGGCCGGCTTGGGCTTTAGACATTGCGACAGCAGCCGCCTTGTCATCTCCGTCTGTATCATGTTCTTCAACGGCAGGCAAGACGGACATGGTGGAGAGACTTTGGCAGTAATCGTTGTAGAGGTTCATCAGGGTAGTAAAGACGTCTTGCGCTTCGTCCGGGGGATACGGAACGTCTACCCAGGAGTCTAACACCTGAACCACCGGCAAGCTGTCACATTCAAACTCTTCCGGATTCGGCTCATACGTCGCTGTTGTAGACGTCACATCTTGAGCCCAATCGGGCTGTAGTGGTTCGTTGGTTACGTGGGAGGACGCCACAACGGGCGACGGAGGTAGAGGCGCCCGTACGATCTCGTCTATGTCTTCGGCAACAATATCTCCCCAATGAGAATACAATTCCCCAGTTATAGATGCATGATGCAAGTCTAGTGCGAGCTCTCCAGCCTGATAGACAGGTGCGGTGGTTGACGAGGTTCCGGATGCAGCAGGGTCCACATCGCGTGCAAGAAGGCTTCGCAAGCGTAGCTTAGCACGGTCAAATGCATCGACATCGCTCGAGGTGCGGACAGAAGTAAGAAGGCGCGTCAGGGCGGTAAAGCGCGCGAGGCGGTTACGCTCGATGAGACCGCGGGCGGCGTCGACGCGGCGAACCTCTCTGCGTCTCTGGATCTATTGCGCATAAAGTATCATTAACTTGATGGCCGACGCGTAAAAGATACGCAACCGACCTCTCCTTGTTTTGCCGCCGAGCGCTCTTTGCCGTCAAAGATGCAGATAGCGTGTACTCCAGCTTCACGGAGTTCGTGGGTAAGACGATACCAGCCCAGAACGTGTCTATACGGGTGAGGGTCATTGGCAAAGTGAAAGCGCTGGGTGATCAGTGTTCCATCACTACAGAAGCAAGAAAGCTGTCAGTAAGATGCGTATTGGCCGTACACGGTGAAGTCTACGTGCATGACGATGGTTTGCCCTGTGAATGCTCTCAGGCGTTCGGGGATTTGCTTGATGACTTCTGGGCTATACGGCCATAAGCGTATTATATTGGGGGTTCTAGATTTCATGGCTGACCATGTCTTCTGTATGAACGGCACTAGCCCTCGAACGCCCATGCAAGTCAAGTGCAAGTCTCGAGAGCAGTGTTGAAATCCTTATTGGGTATCGATTTCTCACGGGGATCCGCGCGACGTGTTCGCGCGTCGACCGGGACGACCGCGTCCTGCTCACTCCCGCCCTTCATTTCCTGACTTCACGTCTCTCGGCTGAGCCGCTTCTAATAGCGCTATCGGAGCGCGGAAATAGCATATAAAACTGGGAGCGCGCCGTAGCCCGTCATGTCTGTAATGTTAACGAAATTCGAGTCCAAGAGCAACCGCGTCAAGGGTGTGTACTATATACCACACATATACAGCAGTAGGGGAACTGAAGTGTAGTTTCAGGTCTCGCATTTCACCCGACCCAGCCGCTGCTTGCCGCATCTCTACATAATGGCAGCGTGCAGCTGTGGAACTACCGAATGGGCGTGCTCGTCGACAGATTCGAGGAACACGAAGGTATATACCTCGCCGATATCTCAGTCTCGTGGATTAAAAAGTCGACTAGGTCCTGTACGCGCTGTCGCGATCCATCCTAGCCGCCCATTACTTGCATCCGGCGGCGACGACTACAAAGTCAAAGTTTGGGGTAAGCCTCCGGTTGATCAATGTTTGGCAGGCGCATTGACGAGCGGGTACAGATCTTAAGCCGCAGAGCAGGAAATGTCTCTTCACGTTACATGGCCATCTCGACTACATTCGCACCGTTCAGTTCCACCACGAGATGCCTTGGATCGTGAGCATACTTCTCACTCAATACCATTTCTACTTGACTGACATCCTATAGCTGTCGTGCTCGGACGACCAGACGATCCGTATTTGGAACAGCACTTCCCGCCAGTGCATCGCAATCCTGACTGGCCACTCGCACTATGTCATGTCCGCTTCTTTCCACCCTAAGGACGATCTTGTGGTATCTGCCAGTATGGACCAGACTGTGCGCGTTTGGGACGTCTCTGGCCTTCGCAAGAGCACACCGAACACTGCGCCGGGGACATTCGATACCTACGACTCGTTTTCCACCGTCAAGTATGTTCTCGAAGGCCACGACCGCGGCGTCAACTTTGCCCAGTTCCATCCTACCCTTCCGCTCATAGTGTCCGCCGCCGATGACCGTCAAGTCAAGATCTGGCGTATGAGCGAGACGAAAGCCTGGGAGGTCGACGCCTGCCGCGGCCACTTCAACAACGTGCTTTCGGCGGTGTTCCATCCGAAGCATGAGCTCATCGTCTCGTGCGGAGAGGACAAGACCGTCCGCGTCTGGGATCTCGCCAAGCGCACCGCCGTGCAGACATTCCGGCGAGAGCATGACCGTTTCTGGACGCTCGCTGCACACCCAGAGCTCAACCTCTTTGCGGCTGGTCACGATTCTGGTCTCATCGTGTTCAAGCTTGAGCGTGAGCGACCCGCCTTCGCGGTGCATGGCGAAACAGTCTACTACGTACGTGACAAGTACGTTCGCGCGTACGACTTTGGGACCGGCGCGGATATCGGCCTGCTCAGCGTGCGCAAGTTTGGCAGCCCTTATGTTCCCCCGCGCACACTCAGCTTCAACCCGGCTGAGCGCGCCGTGCTGCTTACCATCTCTTCCGACAATGGGCTGTACGAGCTCTCGAATCTCCCCAAGGACGTGGTTGGCGAGGTTCAAGATAGTTCCGCTAGTGGAAAGCGTGGTTCGGGCCAAGCTGCCATCTTCGTCGCACGCAACCGCTTCGCAGTGCTCAACAAAGCCTCACAGGTAAGCCTTGCACTTTTCGGACGTTGCACTATCGATACTAACGAATGCATAGCTGATTGAGGTGTGCGATCTGACGGGTTCGGTCGTCAAGACCATCAAGCCTCCTGTCCAGACGAACGAGATCTTCTACGGCGGGACTGCAAGCCTCATTCTCTCCTCGACGTCCTCTGTGGTACTATTCGATATTCAGCAGCAGAAGACACTCGCAGAATTGAACTCGCCACCAGTCAAGTACGTCGTCTGGAGTACGGACGGCGCTCAGGTGGCCTTACTCAGCAAGCACACCATCACCATCGCAAACAAGAACTTCGGCCAGCACACGCTCATTCATGAGACGATCAGGATCAAGAGCGGTGCTTGGGATGACGCGGGAGTATTCGTATACTCGACGCTGAACCATGTCAAGTACTGTCTCCCGCAAGGGTGAGTGTCCTCTTCCTTCATCTTGGTCTCAAGCTGACTGTGTCCGACAGCGATCATGGCGTGATCTGCACACTCGACAACCCGGTCTACCTCACACGTGTCAAGGGAAAGACGATCCACTGCCTCGATCGTGCCGCGCGGCCACGCACGATCACGATCGACCCGACCGAGTACCGGTTCAAGCTAGCGCTCATTAGGAACAACTACGACGAAGTTCTTTACCTTATTCGCTCAAGTAACCTCCTCGGCCAGAGCATCATCGCCTATCTGCAGCAAAAGGGCTTCCCGGAGATTGCCTTGCATTTTGTCGAGGATAAGAACACGAGGTTCGACCTCGCCATCGAGTGCGGCAATCTCGATGTTGCGATGGAGATGGCGCGCACTATCGACCGCCCGGAATGTTGGAATCGTCTGGCTCAGCAGGCACTCAAGCAGGGCAACCACAAGGTTTGTGAATCATCATCTGCATTGTTTGATAGTGCTCTGATACGACTTATGCTACGACCACAGCTTGTCGAGAAGGCGTACCAGCAGACGAAGAACTTCGACAAGCTGTCCTTCCTCTACCTCGCAACCGGGAGCACCGACAAGCTACGCAAGATGCAGAAGATCGCGGACGCGCGCGGAGACCCGATGTCCCGCTTCCACAACGCGCTCTTCGCGGGTGACGTCCCCGGGCGTATCGCTGTTCTGCGCGAGGTCGGAATGTACCCACTCGCATATCTCACGGCCAAGACAAACGAACTTGAGGACATCGCGTCGGAGATTCTTGAGGACGCGGGTCTGACGGAGGCCGATATGGACGATGTGCCGGACTTTGGGCAGAGCACTTTGGCCCCCCCGAAGGTCGTCACGGAGACGACGAACCTGGTGTGGCCCTCGGTGCTAGGTGGCGAGTCCTTCTTCGACCGCGCACTCGCGAGCGGGAACCTGGACGCACCCATTGAGCCGTACACCAACGGAGACGGTGCGCGTGCGGCGAATGCGGCGCTCGATGAATGGGCCAAAGACGAGGAGGAGGCTGAGTTGGCACCGGATGAGGATGAATGGGATCTTGATGCGGGCGGCGAGGACAAGGTTGAAGAAGACGACGAAGTCTTCGAGGAGGCTGCAGAGGAGGAGCTCGGCGCCGGCGCGGGTGTACCCGAACCCGAGCTTTGGACGCGCAATTCACCCTTCGCGGGAGACCATGTTGCCGCTGGCTCATACGAGTCTGCGATGCAACTGCTCAACCGTCAACTGGGTGTCGTCAACTTTGAGCCGCTCAAGCCGCTATTCCTCTCTGTCTATCGCTCCGCGCATGCATACCTTTCACCCGTCGCGTCCCTGCCGCCACTAGCCCTGCACCTTCGCCGGAACATATCCGAATCTTCGCTCGCTCGTGTCCTGCCTGTGCAGGTAATCACCTTGCGCCAGGCTAAGTCGGAGCTCGCCGACGGTTTCAAGCTTGTGTCAGGCAACAAGCTCATTGATGCGCAGGCGGCTTTCCGGAATGCGCTCCGCTCGCTCTTGCTTGTAGCTGTCGCTTCAGATGAGGAGGCGAAGGATTGGCGCACGACGGTCGCCACTGCCCGCGAGTACTTGCTCGGCGTCTCGATCGAGCTCGAACGGCGTCGCGTCGCCGAAGCTGAACCGGACAATGTGAAGAGGGCGCTCGAGCTCGCGGCGTACTTCACCCACTGCAAGCTCCAACCACCGCACATGCAAATCGCGCTTCGTGCCGCCGGCCAATCCTTCAGCAAAGCAAGCAACTTCCTCACCGCCGCGAAGTTCGCGAGGCGACTACTCGAGCTCAACCCGGATCCGAAGATTGCTGCGCAAGCCAGGCAGCGCGTCGCAGCCGGCGAGAGAAACCCGCGTGACACTGTGGAGATTGAGCTGGACGAGTTTACCCCGTTCGAGATTTGTGGAGCCAGCTTTACGCCAATTTATCGCGGACAGGCGGTCGTTAGGTGCCCGTATACGGACGCGGCGTTCAGGCCAGAGTTCAGGGGGCTGCTCGACCCACTCACGACGCTCACGGAGATCGGCGCGGCGGCGTCGGGTCTCCCCGCGCCACGGTAGAGGGTGGGGCGGTAGAGTGGCGACGGTTGGCTGATACAGTGATAGGCTAGCCAGCAGCTGGCTTCATTGGACCGGTGGATGGATCGCGATGTGGCTGTGGGTGTGAGTGTGGTCGAGCGAGCGGCTACTGAGCGCTGGACCGTCCGGCAATTATCCGTGGTTTCAGTGGATGTTGGATGGGTAACCGGCCGGCCGGCCGGCCGATGACGGATGACGGATGGATCCGGTGTATCTACTGCTGTAAAAGGGTCATGTGCATTGACTGTGGATTGTTAAAGCGAGAGATACCTGTCAGTTCCTTTGCTCGAGCTTCTAGTCTCGGTGTTCTCGGGAGAAGCGATGAAATGGTGAGCCTTTCAGATTGCGGGACCGTTGATTGAGCGAGCCTTGCCCCTGGCCTTCGTAGCCTCACGCACCGGCGGCATGAGGGTGTTCAGGGTACGTGGAAGCGAGTGCATACGGGTTAATGATGGACGGATTGAGGCCAGCGGCTCAACAGTAGACGATTGACTAGACTGTTCCATCTTATTTGGCGTCCTGCCATCCGCGACCATCGGTGTCGCTCTTTCGAGTATTATTGCGAACTGGACTCATACCTGACATTGACATTCTTTACAAGCTCTCCACATTACCGCGAGTAAGGGCAAGACTATGCTCAGACTTTTCTGCAACCAGCGTGTAACTCAACCCGAAGCTCTCTTCGCGTTGGCCTCGAACATGAAGCGATCATCGCGGCACTCGATGCGGGGGAGCTTCTGCAACTACATGCGAACGCCAGATGCTCAGCTAGTGTCGTATGACAACACTCCTTGTCATGGTGATTATTAATCCCGTTTTAGAGGTGACTTCAAATAAGCTACAGGATGGGCTGGGGTGAAGACGTATGACGGCGGCCTCGTCGTATTGTCAAACGGCTAACCTGGATTATCGAGGGTGTGGATCTAAGCGTGTGCGGCTTGTTGGCTCTGCTTCTTTTCATTTTGACGGATTGGACACCCTTTCTGCTGAAGATATTATGCGTGCCGTGCGGCGCCTTACTTCATGATCAACTAACAGCCTCGACTAGCAATCCGGGGTGCGAAGACAAACACATGCTGCATCCTGGCCGTCTGTGGAGAGGCGGAGAAGTGATGCGTGCCCCTGCTCCACGAGCTATCGGCACGTCCCGCAGTAGGCGGAGTAGACGTCTAAGACTCCAGGTACCGACCGTTCTATGCACTCTGTGATCCGTTTCCTCGAGTCGGAGGGCCGGGGTTCAGTGAATTGAACCTTGAACGCAAAAGATCAGCAGCTATGCTGACACAACTATTCGGCAACCACCGTCAGATTCATTTGCCCTCCTTGGGCTCTAGACTACGAGAACGTCATATCTTACGCAAATTCACACGTTCGGTCTTCTCGCCACTCGTTTGCTGCCACCCAATAGTCAAAATGCTTGCGCATAGCTTTCTTTGAGGGTGTTCATATGCGCTTGCCGTAGTCCGTTTCATCGCTCGCAGACGTAGTTGGGTCAAAAGGAGACAGCGAGGCAACATTCCATGTCAGAGCGGGACTCGAAGTCGTCCTACGCAGCTTGCTTCTCTTCTACATCAAATCACACTGCATGAAATCCGTTCTAACCCGCGTTCCTTATACACGAGAACAAGTCGGCGTGTGTTTGGCGACCAAACCTTACGTATACTCACGCAGCTCCATGGCCGGTGCTAGTCTTCGGGTATTGGTCGCCGCCCATAGGTTTCCTCCCTTGCGCAAGAAAGAAAGAGACATCGCGCAGTTCAGCACCATCCGCTTGCCCGCTACTGACACGCACAGCCTTTGGCTTCTTGATTATCGGCTTGTATCCGCAAAACGCCGTCTCAAACTTGAACCCCTCGAGGCCAGCTTCATCGAACATAGCTTGCATCTGTTCGCGTGTAAAGCCGTACCGGTGTGGGACTAGATGCTGGTGTGCGAGGGAGAAGATCTCTTCGCGCTTGCTGCTTCCAAATTTGTTGTTGAAGCGTGTCATGAGGTCGACCACGAGAAGCACACCTCCAGGCTTGAGGAAGCGAGCCAAAAGGGCCGTGATTTCATCGGGTACGAAGAAGTGGTGGTAAGCCATTGAACACTGAGATGAACGCGGTGAGTTTCCGAGAGCTTGGCAAAAGGAGGCTATTGCGACTTACAACGACAGCGTCAAAATGAGCGCCTTCGAGTCCTTCTGGCGCCCCGGGGAGTGAACCGACCACAGCACGCATATCCTCCGGGCCCAACCCCTGGTTGAAGACGCGAGAATTGTATTCAGCTACGGATGCTTCGCTGATGTCCATGCCGACAATTGATTTAGCATGTGGAGAGAGCGCCCGCGACAACATGCCTAGTTGGGGGCTGAACGTGATTGAACACGAGGGAATCGCGAGTCAGCGTACCGGTGCCACACGCATAATCGAGTACGGTCGTGGTTTCTTCGTCGAAAGCATATTCCCTCACCATCGCACGGGCGACGCGGCGCACGAGCTCACGGGTACCCGCATGGTGCTCGTATCTATGTGCCTCGCAGTCAAAATGCCGAGCATTGGCTTGTGCGAAAGAGACAGGAGAAGCGGGAAGATGATCATCCTCCCCTATTGTACCGACAGGATGTGACATCGATATGGCAAAGTCCTGCAGTAGATCTCGGATCTGAGGGTGCTGGCCGAACCGCCTAGATAATGAAAGAAGAGATGCTATATTGACGACAGATGAGCATCCAAAAGGGTGCGAGGATACGGTGGCGGCGGCCGGACCGCTGTGACGATGCACTCACCGTTCGCACTCGCTCGCCTGCCTGGGGACTCAAGGTCAACGGAGGTTTAGCGCTAAAGGGGACAGTTCCTGTCAATGATATTAAGAACCGGCCGCCACTTGACACTTGTGGTGGAGAGGCTGATTGAGTCTACGATCCCAGTAGTTACTCAAAGCGTCTGCTCATGAAGGAGCAGAGGTAACCGTTGCGGCCCGAAGCGTGCGCCCACACTTGATGCTGGCTAGTCAGCGCGATTCGATGCCTGATCAGCATTCCCACGTCATTCACATACGCACGGCCTCAAAAAGGTAACGTTCGTTATACCGTCAGTCTACGGGAGCCGGAAGAATGGCAACTGCATGGCGAGCGCGAGGGGTAGTACGTACAAGCACCATCGATTCGGGCCAGATAGATGCAACACGCAATCATCAAAAGGCTAAAGATCTCGTATGGTAGCGTATGATACGAAGCGTGAGTAGTACGGGCATAACAGACGGGTCGAGGCTGGATGAAGACAACAGAATCCTGTGAAGGTGCGACGCCAAGCAGACAACAGATACACAACGGGATGAGTGATTCCTGAGCAGAGAAGTGGGGGGCTAAGTATGATTCTGATGCATTGGGGTTCAGAGTCTGAATATGAGATGAATGGTGCATGTATGCGCGGGGTTTAGACTACGAGGGGGTGGTTGAGCTGCAGAATGGGCATCCATGAACCGCTGGAGACGTGCGCGACGCCGACAATGGTAATGTCGTGGCGGCCAATGGCGTTTGGTCCTATGCGCCATTGCGGAAACCCGTCGGGGATTTCGGAAGACATGGCCTACTCGGCAGATGCTGAATGAATAGTTCGCCGTAAGGACAGTATAACGCACACACCTCCAAAAAGCGGTCGAGAGAGCGTCCAACGTGTCGTATGAATCGATCTAGAGTGATAACACTCCTTGCCGCGGTCTCGTCTCGCGTCTGGAACTGGCGTCGCCACTCCTTGTAGCCCGGCCACTAATGATGATGAGGGGCGATTGTCAGATAGAGGGGCGCACACCACGCACTTGTATACGAAGATGAACTGAAGTTCGACCTCCTACATTCACTGCGCGAGTGGACCCAAGTAACGAAGCTGAGTTTCCCGCTGATGCGTCGGCGACAGTGATCCCGATGCCTCCATCATTCCGCACAAAGAATATAGGTAGTTCAAGGGTGGCCTCGAGGACGTATTGAGCTAGGTCGCGCGAGGATCGTGGAACCCACAGTGTTTGTGGTACGACGGGGCCTATGGCAGTGTTGACGAGGAGATCGAGGAGAAGGTAAGGGTATTGGTAGGCATCGACCACGTTGGCCTGCAGCGTAGTAACCGCGCCTTGCGATAGTGCAAAAGCTGATGGCCAGCCTTGTAGAGGGAACTGCACGGGGAGGGATCGGATGGATGTCTTCAAGAGCGATTGGAAGAATAACTCCGTGAAGACGCCAAACATATGCGCTAGGAAGCCATCCCGAAGGATGTCGACGCCAGTGGGGTGCGAGGGCTGGAAGGTGTGCGGAACTAGACTCTGCATCCTGGGCACGCAGTGAGTTATATGGACATTTGTATGGAATGACGCTAGTACCTTAAGTACACTGCGGCGTTGGTGATGGCGGAGACGTGGTAGATTGGGTTTCGTATTAAGAGCGCCTGCGTTCAGCGCTGGCAAATTTATAGTGTGTCGCAGGCACGAGGTTGGCACACGGCAACCAGAGTTGTCTGCGCCTTGACCCATAGAAGACCCCCGAAGAGGCCGTGAACATAACTCTACATGCATTTCGGTGTGCAGAAGGGCACACACGACCCAGATCTTTGTGACAGCAAAAGAAGCGCCAAAACAACAACCAGCGGCTCAACGCTCACAGCCTGCCGCAATCGTATTTCATTGCTTTGGACGTGTTACCACGCCGCCAGCGTGAAGCACCACAGAGCGCGGCTAATGACAAAATAGCTTAAGTTACTGTCTGGAGATTGCTGGGTATGGAAAGCCCGCCATCTCAAAGGAAAGTTATGTCGGCTCGCTCGGGAGAGAGGGCGTGCGGCAACGTCCGGTTTGCACTGTCTCAACTCCGATACCCGGACAATATAGATAATGATCAACTCAGATACCTGCATTTAGCCAGAACTCTGTCAAACTTTGTATCTCGGAGGGAGCATTAGTACAATATAGTACGAGCCTCATGGCTTAGTACACGCAAAGCAAGGGGCGCACCGTATGTCGCACAAGGCCGAACAGCGGCCAGTTCCGATCAGCATTCTCCGCGTCAAACGGACTCTCCGTATGCAGCGCAGGCAGTCAAGAATCCGCTGACAAGGACAGCCAGATGTTCGCCGCAGATGGCGATGAGAGAATCGATTAGGGAGTCTATTATCAGCAGCCGGGATACAACGCAGATCTGAGCAGCAGCGCCATCGCAGCGCTGCGCGGAGCCCGGTGGTCCGTAGGTGCGCCTGATGCATCTTCGGTCAGAGCCCGTCGAGGTCCATGTAGCTCGAGATCAAGACGCCGCCCAGGAACGTCATCTTGTAACCTGACAAGGTAGAAGTCTCTACTTCTCCGGTGAGACCAGAATTCAAAGGTGGGTGGTGGGCGAATGAAAGAGGTGATTTGAGGTGAACGCAGGTGCGGCAGTCTGTGGAGTGCTGGTTGGAGCGGGCGCCGGTCTTCGGAAACGACGTCCTGCGGGCCGTGCCCCTAAAAAATAAGGATGCACAGCTCACGTACAGCTGACCCCATTGTCTTCTCGCAAGAATGAACCGAGAAGTCTGGGGTTGCCAACGATGCCAGGCGAGTACAGGCATGGCTCGCAAACACGTTGGCCCAGAGAAAACGTTTTGATGGGCGTCGACCGGGACTACGTCGCCACGAGGACCGGATCAGGATCTTCACCGCGCTTGGACCCATGAGCGCCCATGGCCGGGGACCTTTTCCGAGCATGTTCAAGTGCCGAGCATGTTTGCTTTTGGCAGTCCTACGGGATCGTGCCCGCCTACACCTGTTACAGATCGGTATTTCATTCCATGGTCTGAGAGGAGATAAAGTACAAAGGTGAATACAAAGACGGATACAAAGGCCACATACTGCTAGACAGGTCCGCCGAAGGCTATGCAAGCGAGGCAAATGCGGATACATCACGAGACGAAGACTTTCTTCAGACTAGAGAAGTCGCACCGCTCTCCTGAGCGAGGACATATCACCTGCCCGTCATTCCGAGCGGCCATCTCGACAAGAGCCTTGGAGCATGATTAGTGCGAGCGCTGTAACACCGTTTATCAGCGGAAAGACATACCTCTCTCGAATATACGTAGCCGCCGGGGAACGCCATAGGCGGGTTGTCCTCGTTCATTATCTTGCCACTGATGCGACATACGATCGTCGAGTTGACGTGATGGCTGAAAGGAACCTCTTCGGCCAAGTTGCCTAATGACGGGTCGCATACGGGGCAGTCTACGTTCTTCGACGCATGATCGTAGCACGTGCGCAGTTTGAGCGACGATAAGCCGGCGTAGAGGGCTAGATGAAGGAGCGGCTCTGAAGGCAGGGAGTTCAAATTGAATAATGTGAGACGTAGTTTGCGGACAAGCTCATCCCATCTGCCGACATCGTACAGACGCTAAGTGAGGGACGTGAGTAATGAGTTTGTGACAGTTTGCGCAGACGCTGACTTTATAGGGAGGACACGTCGTGGTCGGTGGAATTGCAAGGAGAGCGGCGGCCTGAGTGATTTGTGGCAAATGGGTGTCTTGCCACGAATGCAAATACCTGCGCGAGTACGTGATGGCCTCTGGGCGCTTGCGCGCCCGAGCCAGTTCAATGAACTCTTGTAACCGCAGATCAAACTCGAGAGTACTCTATATTTACACAATTAGCTATACGCGCAACGTCGATTGGTTACCCTAGCTCACCTTCGCTTTGCGCAGAGCGGCCTTGTTCTCGTTGCACCAGGCCAAAGCTTCGGCACAACTGTGATGTCGAAGTGCGTCCTCAATGCGCTTGATCTCCATGAACAGCTCAATGTCAACTAAAGACTGGCAGGAGTTAGTAAACATTCGCAGATCGTACGAACACCGCCCTCACCTCAATGCCCTTTTCGTGTGCGATATCAACAGCAGTAGCCTCCTTCCCATTCCTGAGAAGCCAGTCAACCAGCCAACGATCAAGTCTGGTTTCTTCCCAGCGAGCGTAACGGGGATCGTCAGCCAGCTCAAGACTCTCCGCGATCCCGATATGTTGAAGGCGATCCTTCATAACCGCCTGTGTGGAAGAGCCTGCAGTGACTTGGATTTCAGAGAGCTGGCCCAAATCAATATATATTGAAGGAAACAGATGCCAATGCTGACCTTGCGCTTCAGGCCCTGCATCTTGCCCAACATCGAATCCAGCGAGGTCAACGCATCTTCTGTGCTTGCGGATGCCGCCTGTTTGGCTAGAGTTTGAACGCCTCCGAATTCTTTCTCCACGCTTCGTTGAGATGTTCTGAAGACCTTCCTATAATTCTCGAACGGGACCTGGCATGAGGTTAAGAGGGAAGTAAGGCCAGTCGAATGTTGAACAAGGACGCGCCTTGACGAACGGCTGCTCGAAGAGGAGCACACCCTCAGTCTGAACCTTGGCCGAGGCCATGAGAAAGCTCGATCAGAGTATGTGACAAGGTTCGAACAGGTCTTAGGTCGGCGAGTCAAACGGACACTAGGACTCAGTAGTAGGATGGATGTGGTCAAAGGCAAGTGCCACGCGCGGCGAACCGTGGGCTGGACGCGTGAGCTCGTGAGCTCGCACTTGGCAGCCACGTTCATCTCGACATCTGAGCGTTATATTTGCCTTCTTCAGCATCCCTGGGGCGTGCATTCCCTTCAAAGATGAATGACCTTGGTGACATGCGCCAGCGCTCATCATCGCGGAAAGTGGGAGTTCCCGCAGATGTATCAACTGTTGCCGCTTCCGTGCCGATAGCGATTGCGAAGACGATTACTTGGTCGGACCTGCCCGAATGGAGGAAAGACAACGAGTATATTCTGACAGGATACAGAAGGTTCGCCTCCGCTGCTCAATTGAGCTCGCTCAGGTGCTCATGACGAGCAGAGAACTTGGAAGTTGGTTCGGTTGCTTCTCCTCAGTGTTTACATGTATGTACGCTCGCTGAGAGGAACCAATCGCTGGGCTGACTATTAGACCCTCAGATGTACACAACGAGACAGGTACGGCGCTTTAACGCCGGCTCCTAGAATACATATGTTCCGATTGTTGACTGTATCCTACCAGTGAACATCCATTCTCACCTTCTCGGCGCCCTACTGTTCGCTGTCTTTCTACTGACTGTCGACTCCGCGCATCTTACCGAACATGAGACCGTCTCATTGGCCGATAGATTGGTTTTTGCTATCTTCCTGTCCGCCGCGGTCTTCTGCCTCGGGTCCAGTGCGTTCTACCACACATGCTGCGTACACTCTCAGAAAGTATGAGCGATTGGCCTCACGGAGTTAAAGCGGACACCACTAACCCCGCCAGGTAGCTACGAGGTGTAATGCTCTGGACTACTCTGGGATCGTAGGCACGTATCATGAAGCACGAGTTGTATAGATCGCTAACAAATGACCAGTTCTCATCGTTGGTTCTTTCTTCCCTTGCATCTACTACGCCTTCTACTGCAAGCCACATCACCAAGCACTATATCTGGGAATAATTTCGATAGCCGGTCTCGGTGAGAACTTGACAACAGAAGCTCTACGTCAGGATTCTTCGCTGATCATCAAGACCCTCAGTCGCCGCTTATATCGTCCTCAACCCCCAATACAGTAAGAATACCCACCGGAAGGCTAGAACCTATGTGTTCATCGCTCTGGGTCTGAGCAGCGTGCTGCCCGTCTCGCATGCGTTCATCGCCCACGGATTTAGAGCATTGTGTATCGAGATGGGGTTCCATTGGCTCCTGTTGTCCGGCGCACTATATATCGCAGGAGCCTTGCTCTAGTGAGTGTTTAGGTTCTCTGTGCCGGCGAAGTGATTGAGAAGTTTGATGCCTATAGCGCGAACAGGATCCCAGAACGCTTCGCTCCCGGGCGATTCGACATCATCTTCGCATCGCATCAGATCTTCCATTGCGCTGTTGTCGCCGCGGCGCTCTGCCACTATGCGTGCGTGCTTACAGCCTTCAAGCATTGGCATAGTCGAGGTGGACTCTGCACATAGAATCATAGGTGAGCAATGTGCGTGCGTCATGTCTGCGTCTTATTCACACAGTTGTCGCAGAGGATGGATCTCCGTCTCCTGTTGTAGCATGGGCGTAGCAATACCAGTGGAGTGTTTTGCATGTCGTGCCCGTATACAAGTTGGATGCCAAAAGCAAAACCAGATGTCGGCGCCATCTAAGCGCTTCTTCTCGGTTATAACCTACGCCCTACCCGCTTGCACGTAATGGCGACTTACGCCCCGGAGGCCGCAGATGGTCAGCGCGTACAATGGCAAGGGGCAATTCCCGTGTTCTCACGTCCATGTGGCCCCGAGCGCTTGACGATGACGGTCTCTTTGGAGAACATTCCACCAACTTCTTGAGCGCTTGCAACATTGGTGTTTGCCTTCTGCTTCCCTCTTATAACGAACACTTACTGGACGTTACGGCCCGTTCTGTGCCAGGTGTTGCCGCAGACTGCGGGGTCATCACGAGCATGGCGGATTCAGTCGGGTTTACCCAGTCGTTGGCGTCCAACCGTTCACATGAACTACCACTTTTCTGCACGCTGACACAAGACCTTCTCCGACACGCCCAGTCAGAACAAGAGCTTCCCGTTACGGGTATAAGGGCGCCCTGTGTATTCCCGGGACCAGCTTATCTCCCTCGCAGCAACTCTCGCCCCTCATGACACGACGACTGGCGGGTTGTGTCCTGACACCCTTTGTTCCTTTTCGGATAAGGTTCATGACCTTTGATAACGTTCACGCAAGGGGCGGCGAGACTGCTACAAGGTCAATCTACGAGATGCTGGCTCGTTGACTCTTTGGTGCGATATCTCGGCAGCGCAATCAAGGGCGGGTGCGCTTCGCTCCCATCCTTCCGAGGCTTCGCCATCCACAATGTCTTCGCGAGTTTTCTGAGCGTCAAGCATTGTGCCGCATTTGTGCTCCCTTACGCAGTCCCTCGCAGATTGTCGCACATCGCTGGCCGTTCGGCAGACCACCCAGATGGGCGCCGGAGCAAAACACCTTCCTCGTGGATGCCGGCGCATAGAAGGTACAGGATCGGCCCTCGGTACCCCAGCCACAAGTGTACTCTATTACTGCCCACCCCTTACCGCAAGGCACCCGGCGAACTTCAGAAACGTCTGTCTTACGGACACTGTACACTCCGCGGAAGATGATGGTCCTGGACCCTCGGCATTCTGCTGTAGACTAGACTGAGTATCGAAAGTGATGTGTCTCCGTATATATAGCTTCAGTGGCCGCCACTCATCATACGACTCCCGTTTTCCAGGAATCATGTATCCCGTCGGCTTCTTGATTGCGTGCGCCCGGCTCTTCCAGTATGCCACGCCACAGAACACATTGCTTGTCCTCGCCTCCTTCGCCCTCATCTTACTCCTCTATTTGAGATACCCCATTCATCATACCGCGGACGATGTGCCATCTCTGCCAGGCTTCTTTCTTTTCAACGTGTTTCCGTTCTTCCGCCAGCGATTTGATTTCATACGATATGGCTTCCAGTCTGTCCCAGAGCACACACTCTTTCGATTCCGACTTCTTCGGGTGAGCATTTGACATGCGCGTCATTCGGCCTCAATGTTAACTCCGTAGACACTCATAGAACCACGTCGTTGTCGTCTCGGGTGAGCGAGGACGCCGAGATTTCTTCAATGCGAGACATCTGGATCTGCAGGAGGGCTTCCGCGTGCTCTCAGGTGCCGTACGTCTTATGTTCTTGTCTGTCGCGTCCGAGTCTGAGATGAAGTCCGCGCAGCTCCCCTTCGTACAAGGGATAACATCCGATCTCCGACAACGCCGCATCGCACAGCTGTATAGGCGGCTCGCGCAAGTCCAGAAGAATGAGCGTCTAACACAGCGTGAGCGTCCGTGGTCGTCTGCTTGTACCGCGGACACGTTTTTTCGTCTTAGCTCACGAATCATTGCAGTTGTACCCGACATTCTCGGCGACGCTAAACAGGTCATGACGTCGTGGGGCTCAGCAGGTGCTTGCGATCCTTTTGAGAAAATTCACGAGGTGAACGATAGTGCTGTATCCAATCCATGCTTCGTGATGCTGAGCAGCCTTACAGCTCGTCTTCCAAATTACCGTTCGCTGTCTGTCGGCGACAGAGATCGCAGACGACCCTTTGCTCGTGGCACGATTGAGGGCCTTGTACGACGACGTTGACCGTGGTACGACACCGGCTTCCGTACTTTTTCCATTCTTTCCGGGATCCGCCATGATTAGGAAGGCGCGTGCCACCAAGGCAATATATGACATTGTCGTGGCGGCGATAAGCATCAGGAGGCAGAGTGGCAAGGCTAAGAACGATAGCCTGCAAATGCTTTTAGATGCAGGCGAAGACGATACAATGGTTGTCGGGGTGAGAGCATTATGTCCTCACGCGTGCTTCTCCCTCGGCTGACAGTACTCATAGTTTATCATGGGTCTTCTCATCGCAGGCGCACGTTCAACGGGAACAACCGGTGCGTTCGCGTTTCTCGCGGCTACCTATATGTCTTGTCTTCTCCGTCTTCTCCGGCTCCGACGTCTTGTGAGGTTCTGACGCTGACGGTCGGATCAGCTTCCTGGCTGACAGTCTTCTTGGGATGCCATCCGCACTGGCAATCTGCTGCTCTAGCCGAAGTCCGTGCGCTTGTTGCGGCCCACGTTAACGTGTCGACCACCGGCACCTCGCTTTCCTCGTTCGCCGACATACTCTCGAGCATTCCCCTGAGCGCATGGGAGAATGAGGTCCCCATTCTCGACTCGCTCATCCGAGAGACACTGCGCATCGCTCAACCGCATGTGGCTATGCGCCGCAATGTGGGACCCGATCTATACATCGACGGCAAGGTCATTCCTTCGGGAACGTTCGTCGTGTACCCGTTCGCGGACGTACACCTTGACCCGAAGTTGTATCCGGACCCCTGGGTATTTGATCCTGCGCGTTTGCCAGCAAAGGGCGAGTTTTCGTACGTGGGATGGGGTGGCGGTACGTGTCATACAGTTACTGGCTCCCGCGCCTTGACACACAAAGTTGACTCTTGGTGTAGGCCGCGTGAACTGCCTCGGGACGCGCCTCGCAAAGGTGGAGATGAAGACCATCACCGCGTTGCTTCTCCTCGGTTTCGAATTCACCACCGTGGGGGCGGACGGCACGTTGTGTAACCCACACCCTCATCCCAACTGGAATGATGTTCTCACTTGCCGCCCGGACGATGTTGACCTGACCCTGCGCTATGCACGGCGCAAAGATGCACTGTAGAGAACTGAACAGCACAGTCGCCAGAGCTTACTAGACTCGCACAACCCATGGGACTCCAGTAGACACAAGCTGTAACTTATCCGGATATGTAAACGTTCATGCACCGCAACTCGCCCAGCTTGCGAAGCTTTCGCTAAGCGCGCGCGCCTGACACGGTACGTAAGTGGCTGGCATCAAGCCAAATGCGCGCGCGAAGGCCAATGCAAATCGACATGTGGCCCATTGTGGCCCCTTGCGATCCACTACACAGACGTCGAGACCTGTCGAGACCCGTCATCAACGCAAACAACAGGTTTGCGAAGGCCATCATGTGTAGCAGGTAATGGCAGTTGATCAGAATTCACACCGACATACGTCCGCATATGTTTCCAGATCAATGCTTCCTGTCGCATTCATTCAAAACATATTGCTCGGCCGGTGTCGGTCATGCCTGGGCATGTTTACGCCTGACTTCGGAATGATCCCATAGAACAGCAGCGGGTGCAGTCAAGTCAGCTGGAGCATAGATGACACGCCTACGCAGGAGATACTCAACCGCGTCAAGGAGGAAGCAGTTGAACCATAGCAAGCGCAAGCTCTGGTTCACAGAAGTGTATTCCATTATAATGAATTACAAGGTATATAGGCTCTATCCATATCCATGGGCAACCAAGTCCGGTGCAGCTGAGCAAATGTCAACGTTATGGCACTGCACAAGTTACAACAGCTAAACTCACCAGCATCGCGAAAATTAGGCCATAGTGAGTTCATCGTGGTCACGTCTGCGACGCCGTGGTTCGCTATCGGACTGTAGTGGCCCATGCGTGGCAACATATTCCCTCATCTCCGTCTCGATCTCGTCTATATCCTGCTGCTCCCTGGTCCGCTTTCGCTCGATGGCTTGATCCCGTAGCTTCTTCTCACGCGCGAGCAAGTGCTGTCGACGCTCGTCCGAAGGCGCCCACCGACTTCGAAGAATACGGCGTACGGCCTCTGGACTAACTTGGAATCTGTCCGCAAGTACTTCCGTGGTATGAGAAGTCGGGTCGGTAGCATGAAGGTCGCGCAAGACGTCCATTGCATCGCGTGACAGCTTGCGTGGCGGACCCCAGCCTCGCGGAAAGTCCTTCTTCATTTTTGTACGGTGGGCTCTCCACGCATCTGGAGTCGGCGGAAGTAATGGCCTCCAGCTCGCTGGCCTCTGCACCTGCTGTTCTGCGCCAACCGTCTCATTATCGATTTCCAAACTCGCATTCTCCAAGTCGTCAGGCTGGCTCCTCCAAGCCAGGCGGCGTGGAGACGAGGAAGATGAGGAAGCTGTAGTGGAAGATAGTGTACGTGAAAGCGCGGAGTCTGTTCTTGTGCGCAATACGGGACGCAGGCCAGAGAGGAGTGAGTTCATGGTGACGGTCGACGACAAGTCCAAGTGGCCAGCGCCTCGGCGTCAAGGCAATTAATCACCTCGTGGCAATCCCCGAAAGCCCCGTCGCATCAGTTCAGACTGACGTGCGGCCAACTCGAACTTATTCTCTACACGCGACGACCGCTAGCCTCTGTGCCTCCTCTTTCTTTTCTCGCTCTCGCTTCCGTGTCAGGTCTCGAAGTTCTGTAGCCATGGCCGATGTCTCTGATCCGGCGATTATCGAGGGTAAGTTGGCTAGGGCGCAGGATGCTCGTGTGCACATAGAAGGCCTAAACTCGGATACGCTATAGCGTATCAAGACGTGCGCTCCGACAAAACGCCTACCAACTGGCTGCTTCTCGACTACGAGGTATGTTACTCATGCTCAGGACGCCTATCGATCCTAATATCGGATGCAGGGAGACCGGTCGGATAAGCTCGTCGTAACCCAAACGGGATCGGGCGGACTCGAAGAGCTGCAGGACGTTCTGGACTCCACGAAGGCTTCGTACGCTTATGTGCGCGTGCAGTACTCGAACGACAAGGAGTCCAAGCGCGAGAAGTTCTGCTTTGTGACATGGATCGGGCCACAGTGCAAGATCATGCGAAAGGCCAAGGTGTGCCTATAGCTGTGTAACGTCACATCGTGCTCATGTGCGGTCTAGATCTCCGTGCACTCTGCCGACGTTAAGCAAGTACTGCGTGTATACTCTATTGAGGTTCCCGCGCAGAGCAAGGACGACCTCAAGGAGGAGCCAATAGTAATCCGACTTCGCAAGGTGCGTCGCGCTGGCGCCTATGCGTTGCTGTCGAAGCTGATCTGCGTTCTTCTTCCCTCTTTAGGCTGGCGGGGCCAGCTACGACGGCGTCTAAACTATACCTACATCGTACATCGCTCTCTGGGCTCTCGGTGTATCTTCTTGGTTACTCAATATTACTGTTTTCGCATCCAATTCGGCCATCTGCGTGTCATCCCGGGAACTTTCAGCTGCGGAAAAGAAGCGACATCGACTCTCGAATGGAAGTACTGTACAACAATACCCGGCTTCTCCCGTACAAGGTTTGGAACCGGTGCCGCTAATGCAAGGTTCAATATTATGTGTCATCTTACAGCTGCTTACACATATCGGGCTGCATCTGAATTGCTGCGTGCGCCCAGAAAACCAGCATATGGCCACCCAATGTTTGATTGTATGTGGCCGTTCTTGTTGATCAAATAGAAGTTGTCGGGCATATATCTCCTCGTGTAACAAGCCGCTCAATTCCGAAGATATCAGGCTGACTACCTTGCAGTGAGATCCGTACCGATAGGGCTTTTGGACGTCTATACCAATGTATCAAGGACGATCCCTTATCATTGTTACAATCGCGAACACTGGAGCGCGCAAGACCTCGTGGTGAACAACCACAACTTGTACGTATCGGAACCGCACGATTGAAGAGCCCGATGTGATGCCCTGCGGCGCCTCGATGGGTAATTTAGATGCCAGATACACTCCGATGCGGCTTGTAAACCGTACAAGCTTCAAATCCAACAATCTGTGGCGTCGTCGAGCGCTAGCGCTGAGAAGGTCATGAAGCGGAACGGGGCACAGCGCGGGCCGCAACGTGCCCTCGGAGCGCCCACGCCGTAGACGCGATCACTTGACTTCGCAAACGTCCGTGCGCCGCAGAAACCGGTCGTATCGGCACGGGCGCTGAACGTGGACTGCTTGGAACGTACTCACCTACGACCATTGCATTGGAACTCGTTCGGACCTTGAATGGCTATACATGCCGCATTATCAACCGAGGAAGCCGGCGTGCGTTTGTTTGAACGAGAACTTTATCGCGTTCCGTCTTACGTGGGCTTTCGAGGATAGTCGGCTCGGTATCGTGTCTGGCCTTCGGGCAGAGCTGAAACCTGGCCTACGAGACTCAAGATTGGCTAATACATCAATGTTTTTTGGGCCGTTTTGGGAGATCGGCGTCGTGGCGTTCCTTGAGTTCTGTTTCTTGTAGATTACGCATTGTCATGAAGGTTTCCTCTGCATTTTCCCCACGCGTGTGTGTAAACTAAACGAAATAAACAGGTTGACTCCGAGGTCACAGTGCACGTAGAATACGTCCCAATTCTTCGCTGCAACTCGGTGCCTATCTATGATGAATGAATTAGGGAGAAGTCTGGCGCATGCACAAACTTTGGGCCTCCGTGTCGTCCAGGACTGTAATCCACTGACTCATACAGATCATCTCTGTGCCATGCAGGGACAATAGTGCTGCTGTGCTTGCCGCCGGCTGTCTATGATTCTCCCTGCATCTATGTCCTATTCGGCCATCCCGGTCAGGAGCTCAAGTCTACATGACACCTCGCTGATCATCTCGCTGCAAGAATGAAGAGTACCTAGTACGTGCCCTCGCCGTCACAGCCTACGACATGAGTTTACTAGAAGTATAGCAACCATGTCGTCTACAAGGCCGCCGTGTTTGCCTTCCGAGTAAGAACCTCCATGCGGATGGCGGATACCCGTGCGGCGTAGACTGTGCTATGCGGGGTCCCTGCATGAACATCGATGGGGTATCTGACCGACACTCCCACCGCCAGACTGAAAGAGCAAGGCAATTGCCGAGTCAATGATACGCAGCGTGCTCCCTGGGGGTATTACTGACATCGGCACCGTATGCAAGGCCGCCGAAGTTGTCATCGGACTAGAAGGGTATCGGTAATATCCTCCGTCCGAGTACCAGACTCCCTTTGTGGCACTTAATGGACCACCAGCGTGATACGCCAGCATGAGGTCCTTCATTAATTTTACGGAAGGTCCCACAGCCGGTGCGACCTACACAAGGCCGCCGCGCTTTCGTTCTGCATGGAAACGAATCCATAGTCTTGCGCGCAAGTGACCGGTGCCTTTGTGGCGTCAACTCGAAATAGGTTACGAGCACCATACTTTCCGTATGAGGTCCCCCGATCCACGAGTTATGTCACTGTAGACGTCGTTCAAGATCGGGCAGCCTGGTCGATAGATTGTCGGCGTAGTTAGGCACGAATACACTTTTACTTCAGGTTCTTCAGTCTCTCAATCCCGTCCTCCTCCAAACGCATCCCTGTCCATTCGTCCATCGATATGGCTCCCAGCTTGTGACGGTAGAAGTCTATCGATGGCTGATTCCACTGCGGAAGAGGCTCGGATGTTAGATTGGCTTCGGAGTGTATTAGAGTGAGTGCTCACGTTCAGAACAACCCAGTCCATGCGGGCACATCCCTGCCATATGAACGGTAAGCCATGGACCTCAATAATACGAGACCGAATTGCTGAGAATACCTTCTCCTGTGCGACTGCACCAAGCCTTGAGAAGAGCGCCTTTCCGACGCCTCCGCCCCGATGAGAAGGCATCACGAACAAGTCTTCGAGCTAGACCCAAACATTCAGCTGCGAGAGAAGCAGGGCCGTATTGTATTGCGCACGTAAAGGCCTGGACGACCGGTCCACGTCGAGAAGTTGAAGAAGTACAAGGCCAGACCGACTGCGTCGCCCGGCTGCTCTTCGCTACCGGAGAAGGCGAGTAATGCGTGGGCAAGTTTGTCTTCGAACAAACTCTTGTGAAGCTAGACAAAAGTTTTATTGGATGGGATACAGCCGAGAGACTCGGTCTAGCCTACGAGCTCGGGCGTTGCCTTGGCCGATTCGGGTGCCTTTTCGTAGACCGCCTACGGAGGAGATCATCAAACGATGTACAAGATCGCACGCATGTGTATCTTACCAGCTCGTAGATGAGCTTACGGATGGTCTCCTACACGGAGCCATTACTCACTGCACCGTATGCTGCAGTGCGAAGCCTACCTCGTCGCCAGGCTGCGCTGCGCGGATGAAGAAGGAAGATGACTCGGGCATGCCTCTGTCGACGGCGGCATTAAGATCGACATTCCCATTCAACGACGCCAAAATTCATGCATGAAGACAAAACGATATGGCACGTCGCCGCGGGGCCATTGGACGCTTACCAAGAATCGACAAGGTGGTTCAGAGCAAGTAGGACCCACTGCAGGTCGATCTCGAAGATCAAATCCACGTGGGAGAGCAACACGTGCAAACAACGGCGGGGTCGACAGCTCGTCTCGAACGCCGGCGACGACGAGCACAACCTTTTCCCCTCATGGACCACGCAAAACTCGCCAAGCTCCAGGCGCAAGCCGCCGCGAACCGCATTGGTGCGCTATATACGACAATATGATATTTCGCACGTACTGAGATGTTTTGATCTCCGGATAGGCGGCAAGGGCTCGATGCGCCGCAAGGTCGTCCACAAGCCCAAGGCGGCGGGCGGTGACGACAAGAAACTGAGCGCGGCGCTCAAGAAGCTCAACGTCCAGCCGATCACCGGTGTCGAGGAGGTCAACATGTTCCGTGAGGACGGCAACGTTTTGCACTTTGCCTCGCCGAAGCGTGCGTATCGTGTTTTGCTGTATCGTATATTTGTATGATATATTTACAAAAATCTGTATCTTTACAGTGCACGCTGCCGTCAACGCGAACACATACGCGATCTACGGCGCCGGCCAGGTCAAGGAGCTCACCGAGCTCATGCCGAGCATCCTCAACCAGCTCGGCCCTGACTCGCTCGCGTCTCTCCGCAAGCTCGCCGAGTCCTACCAGTCGGTCCAGGGCCAGCAGGGCGGTGCCGAGGAAGACGATGACGACGATGATGTTCCTGACTTGGTCGAGAACTTCGACGAGGTCGAGGGTGCGAAAGACGAGCCCGCGCCCGAGACCGAGAGCAAGCTCGAGGAGCTCAACTAGAGCGGCAATCCTCCTTCCATTCTTGACACTTGACACAAAACTTCAGCCGTTCTGAAGGGCCGCGCGGAACGGACTCTAGCTGTAGCGTCGCGCGCCCATGTGCTATCACCTCATGCTTCTCTGCCGTGTCATTCTCTAGCCCGCTCTCGCATGCCATCATCTGTGCTCGAACACACTGTATACGTTATGAACCAGCATCCATCTTGCTACATTCGATAACCCGCTTGATCTTTTCGCTCTCGTGTACAGGGCGCGCCACTGTGATTAGTGCACATTCACGTGTCGTGAAGAACGTGACCGTGTGACCTGTACAGTTCTAGTCCGGCATTTGCCGTTTCCGCGGGTGAAAGTGCGCGCCCAAAATCCATAATAACACGCTAGACATAACGGTAGTAGAGCTACATGGGAATCACAACGGGAGCCAAAATGATATCAAAGATTCAGGGAAAGCTATGAGCACAACAAGAGACGTTCGGTCAAGATAAGGGCCGCATAGGCGGTTGATTCCCGTTGGATCCAGCGTACTGGGGGTAAGGCGTGGAGCTGGGCGAAGACTGGTATCCGGATTGTGTACGGTATGTGTTCGCAACTAGCATAGAGTTGGGACCGCGAGACGCCAAGGGCATAGCCCACGAACCACCCGGGATTGACTGGCCGGGAAGGAGTGCATGTCCTTTCGACGCGCCATTGAGGATCGGTGTTGCAGGCGCACTGGGTCCAGCGGTCGTCAGAGGCAGATCACTGACCGGTGTCCCATAATCTGCCGGAGTCTCGAGAACAGTAGACCCCGCGGGAGAAACGGCGTCGTTCTTCGCGGCTTCGAGAATGGCGTCCAGCTGAAGCTCGACCCTGTTCGCCTTGTAGAACGAGAACACTTCTACGGAAGACTTGTTGCCCATGGCTGCTGCAAGACCTTCCCAATCGTCCCCGTGCTGAGAGAGTAGCTCGACGAAAAGAACTGAGGTACCGCTGATGAGCACACGAAGCTCGAGAAGAAACGCACGCCACTTACGTTTGTCTTTGTTCGTCCAGCCGGCTGCCTTGCGCCGGGCCTCACCTCGAGCAGACGAGGCTGGCTTCGAGGAAGACGCATCGTCTTCGGCAGCTTCAGCTACCTTCGACTTGCGACCTCCACGCTTGGTACGCTTCGCGGGGCGCTCGGAGTCCTACAGTAGTCAGTTAGAATTGCCATAAACCCCTTGATGAGAAGACTCACGGATCCCTCGTCTTGCTCTGCGGTTGTTTCCGCCGGCTTGACGGCACGTCTTCGTTTGGGACGAGACTCGGGTTCAGGCGTCGTCACGGGCGTGGCCTCGTTGGTGGCGAGGACCGCGCTTCGACGCGGACCGCGCCGGCCCGCATTCGCGCCTACGGCGATGGACTGCGCCGCTGCCGTCGCGGCATTGCGCCGTCTCCGCTTGCCGAGCCCGTCGTCCTCGGCGTTCTCCTCGCGCACCTCGGCATCGTGGGCACGAATATCGGTGAGAAGCGCGTTCCCTTTCTTCTTTGCGCCACGCGCGCGACCTCCGCGGCCACCCTTCCTTCCGAAGAGCGTGACTGCCTTGCGGAAGTCGACGAGCCTCTTCTTGTGCAAGTAATAATACAGCACACACTCGCGCACGGTCTTGTTCGGAAGCGCCTCTGCGATCTTCCCGAACTGCTTCGGATTCGCGGCGTATTGTTCCAGGATGATCTTCTCCTCCGCTGGGGTCCACGCCGCCATACTCGGTCCCGGGTCGTAGAAGGACGCCGGGTCATCGACAGCGTTATTCGTGTCGTCAAACGTGTACGTGACCTGGCCATGCGTGACGGCGATCATGTCTGGGATCTTCGCAACATTCCGTGTGGCAAGAATAGCGGGGTCGAACATATCCTCGTTACCGAGCGTGGCGATGATCTGCTCCATCTCGAGGTCCGAACGCACAGTATCGCCGACGACGGCGGCCGTACGGCGCGTGGTACGCTGGTTCGACGCAGCTGCCGCTTCTTCGAGCAATGCCGGGACCGTGAGCAGTTGACTGGCGCGGTCAAGATCTGCGCAACGCGCCAACCAGGCATTGTGTCGATCCAGGTACTCCTTGCGTAGACGTTCGGCCTTCTCTGCAACAAGCTTCTGACGGTGGGTTGCGAGCGCCGAAAGTGTAGAGTGGATCTGCTCAAAGACGACCTTGCGCGTGGCAGCGCGCTCGCGGAGAGTGGACGCGACCTTCAGCGGCTCCGTTACGTCCGGGTTGAAATGCGCGCGCAACTCAAGATTGGCTTCGTAGATTGGGTGCACCAAGACGCCCGGGTCACGAAACTGTTTCTGAGTCGTGATGGATAGCTTAAGGGCATCGAAGACAACCGCCGAGGGACGAGGGACCTCGTATGTCTTTACTGGTAGTGGGGGACCAGAAGGGATGTCGAAGGGCGGTGGCGAGCGCCCATTAGGGCCGTTAGAGGTAGGGTAAGCAAGCGTCTCATTCTCGTCGAGCTGCACTGCAAAGGCATTATCGCGGGTCGGCGGCACAGGCGCTTGTAAGAACGCAGAAGACGAAGGCGGTGGATCTCGGGTAGATGCGGAGAACTCAGATTGCGCTACTGCAGAGCCAGATGAACTGGCCATTGCAGAGCCTGCCGGAACTTCGAGAGTCTCCGTAGTGGCAAGAGCCGACGATGAGGCTATTGGCAATTCTTTCGTCGCAGAAGGTGTCAGGACAGATGGGGCGCCGTCATTGGGTGAATGTGAAGTCCTTCCAACTGTGGGATGACGCGGTTCAGCATCCGACGCAGATGCAGAATTCAGAACTGCGGGTGTCTGATCGTCTCGGGATTCCAAAGGTAAGGGCGCAAGTCCAGGTCCAGGAGAGCCAGTGCTTTCATCAGGTTCGTCTTTGGGCTTGATATCATCAGCCGTGTCTACAAAACTGCCGGCGGCAGCGGACGGGTTATCAGGAAGAGCGCCAGGAGGGTGAGAGACTACGGGCGATAGGGGAGGTGAGGATGGGTCATTGGACGCAGATGAGTTGGTGCGGCGGCGATTTTGGCCACCTCTTCGTGTCTTCCTCTTGCGCGATTCTGTTGGACTGGTGACTAAGGCACGATGAGAAGGGAGTCACAGCTTATGAAAAACCGCAAACGAACCTCCGGGGCCATCACCACCTTCAGTGTCACGAGAAATAACCGGCACAGGCCGAGGAGGTAGAGACGGGTGTACCGCTCGTGCGGAGCTTGGGCTTGCAGCATCAGCCGGGCGCATGCTGGTGTCTACAGAGACACTGGGAGTACGCAAAGGACGACTCGATTGCACGAAAGACCGAGGAGACGAGACCTCTATAGACGAAGATCGACTGCCAAACGTCTTGGGCGCGACGATATTCCGCACCACCTGAGAGGAACCAGGAGAGCGGGAGTCGGGAGAGCCGCTATATGACCTATCCGGCGCAGAGTCCCGATGCGAGTCTACAGTATCAGCACGAGCACGACTACTCGCGGTCGATCCAGTGCGACCACGCCAATGTGGTCCAGGCTGCGCGTCAGGCTCGTTTGGTCGAGACAAACGAGCGCTTGCAGGAGATTGCACAGAAGGCTGTCTGAACGAATCGCTAGACGGTGTAACGGGAGTAGGAGCATAGCCTGATCCAAAATCGCGGGAGCGTCGAGGTGACGCGGGTCGCGATTCGCGAGGTCGCGGGTCTGGGTAAACTCCACGACCCGTAGGTGTCCTGGAGAGCAGAGTGCTATTTCAACATATTGTAGGGGTGTTATATTGTGAACTCACGTATGCGAAGATACCCATGCGTCTGATGGTGCGAATGACCTTTCTGAGGGAGTACCTTCCCACTGTGCACCAGAACTACGCCTCTCAAATTGCCTAGCAGCTGGCTGTCCAGCCCGTGGCTCAGCCGGTCTCCATGGTTCAGGTGGTGGGCCACTTTGAGAGCTGCGCTCTCGCCACTGGTCATTGGGACGGAAGTCCCCCGGGGGCTGCCTGTAGCTACCACTCTCCGCTCTGTAATTATCTGGTGTCCCTCTGTAATGTGTATCGTCCTGTGGCGGCCCGTAACGGTCGTAAGATGCGCGAGGAGTGAATGCAGGTGCCTGTTCATGATGTTGATTAGAATAGAGTCAGAAGGTATTAATGCAGATCCTAGCCTCGTAAGATGGATATCCAGTACTTCCCATACGCGTAGAAACAGGAGGCGTAAACTGGGGATTGTCCATCCCGTTGTAACTGCCGTAGGACATGTCTTTCAAGCCGTATGAAGTCGATAGACAGAAATAAGCAGTAAAAATGAAAGATAGTACACGTGAATTATAGATGACGCGTATTCGTGAGGTTCAAAGCACGTTTGCTGCAAGTGTACACTGTTGTGTGGTGGAAGGGACAGAGAGAAAGACGAACGAGATCGTTGTTGGCAAAGCCCGTTCAGCCTTCCCACGCTGACGCGGCCGACGGATCCCGCCCTGTACCCGACCTGCACCTTCGTTCTTACTTCCATGACATGTCTACTGTCCATGCAAAGCTAAAGGACTTTGGGACTGTATTCTTTGAACAAACTAGGCTTCGCCGGACTATCCTATTATCATACTGGACGATTGTCTTACTCGGTGTTCCATTATGGTGGGCTACCACAAGAATTGAGCGCCTACCGTTGCCAGCTCCCCATTTCAAGTCGCAATCGGATAACAAAGTGCGCAACGGTGTCATGGTCTGGGGAATATTCTGATGTCATTTATCAGCTCGATTTGCCAGTTCACCTAGACCTGAAACCAGGTTCGCTGGAGAAATACGCGAATGATCTCGCCGAAGGGATTAGGAATGGGTTAGGCAGCGTACAGGGTGTGAACGTACATACTCAGGGCTTTACTGTGAGTCGGATTTCACTGCGCCTCTTTCGATGTGCTAAGAGGGTACCCCAGACATTACCTGCGCATACCAATGCATATGTTGTGGAAGTATCCGATTCGATACACCACCCACGGCTTGAATCTCGTCGGTTGCTCGTCTCTACCCAGGATGGTGCGCCTTCTAGTTCCCAAGAGGTTCCGTCTTCTAGACTGACATCTCAAAGTTGTGGCACAACGTTTGAACGACATGCTTCTGAGTCTCTACACGCCATACACTTCTGGTTTTCATGCGAACTCTTTTCAACACCTTGTCACCAAGTACGCCCCCCGATATAGACTGGCGTTCACCCTTCTCAACGAGGATGCTGCTGCTGGCAAGGCTATCACCGGCTGGGATATCGAACATGCTCTCACACGTGAGTCCACTCGGGCTCGCTACAACTTTGAGTCCTGAGAGCTTTCAAGGTCATATAACTCCCGTACTCCGGCGACTATCGTCCCTGCACAACTTCACCGTCGAAAGCCAGGTTCACTTCTATGCACCATTAGCCTTTGAACCCACGACGGTGTCTCGACCGGACGACACGAATGAGCATGGACTGTCATTGGATGACCTGAAAGTGTTTGTGAACTCGGCCGAGTGGTCGCTCGGTACGCGCACGATACTGTGCTGCAACAGGCATAGACACGTGCTGACCACCCTTAGCTTCTCAAGTATCCAATGATCCTGTATTGCACTTCTTGGTCTTCATCCCCTCAGCGAAACATGCACCCCTTCGGATACTCGATGCTCAAGGTGAAGTTCCTTTGATTTAGTGATGGCACTTGCCCAAGTTGACGCGCGTAGGCGAGGTAACAAACTCTAGTGCATTCATCCTCCCTCAATGGGGTGGCATCGTCATCGCGAATCAGCCTTCCGACGCATCTGCTTCTCGCTCTTTATCTGTACAGGATCTCGACGGCACATTCGCCCTTTTCCGCAAGCAGCTGCTCACACTCGTCGGAGTATCCGAACCACCCGCAGACTTTGAGCTTTCCAACGCGCCAGCTGGAATATCTGACTGGCAACTCGATACGCTCTACCGGCAGCGCGCACTCGAGAACGTTGAGAGCAGTAAGGAGACGCTGCAGAGTATCCTTAAGCTTGTCGACCAAATCCCGAATATGCCCGTGGGTCAAGACGTGAAAGGCGACTTCCAGAGCGCTCTCGACGAACTCGAGCTGGTGCGTAGTTATCAGTCAGTTTCTGTATGAATTTGAACCAAGCGACTATTTCGTAGGCATACGCCAACGCACTTGAGTCTCCGACCCTTGCGCTCGGACATTCGGCCCGGGCTCTCACGCTCGCGTCTCGCGCGTTCTTCAACCCGGGCATGCTCGCGTTGTTGTACTTCCCTCCCGAACACACATACGCCGTGTACACCCCGCTCTTTGCACCCATGATGGTACCACTCGTGGTGACTGCTCTTCGGGAGCTCTCAGCGTGGTGGAAGGCCCGTAAAGAAGCCATGACCAAGCGTGACGCTCCTGCACGTGTCAAAGTGGACTAGCGCCCTATCTCTCATAGCCGTATGGCTTACGATGGCTCGGGTGATCTATAATGCACATTGTGTCTTGTTGTACTCGAACGATTGGATGTTCACAGCCCGATGCGTCAGACGTAGAGCACCGTTGCAGACGGAGTAAGGCGCGCGCTTCCAGCATGGACGACTGTTCCTACCGTATTGATGAGAAACCACAGTAAACCGGGGACTTTGATCCTGCTCCTTTGTCGTACCGAGGAGCACGTTGAGCCAGCGCTGTGATTGGAACTCGTCGGCCAAGAGCCACCCCATACACCTTTTGCGCGCCCGAAAGACATCATGATGCGACGAGGCGGGTAATCTCACCAGCTATAGGGCTGGCCTGAAACATCTCCCACGCGCATCAACAGTGTACTCTCAGGCTTTGCACTTGTATCAGAACGGATCGCACGGATACTTGGGATAGTTTTCATCTGCGGATGACTTCGATGACTGCCATTGTATTCCCTGTGAGTTCAGCCTTTGTATGAAGTGGATTGCTTCTAGTGGCCCGGACAGTCCTGGCCGTAGGCATACGACCAGGCGCAGACAGAAAGTCCGGCTAGGTTTATATTCTTGTGAGGCTGGTCGTCCCTTCGTTCTTGTAATCCTCTCAGATGGCGTTAACAGTTCAACCTGACTACACCCATCTCGCTGTCGCGCTGCAGGATGCTCGATCGGTTTTACCCGCTATGATCATCGGCGCTTTCTTGTTCGGTCAGTAGTTGACCTTACCTACGACTGGTGTAGTGCTCGCCTAACGAGCGCTTCCCTCTTGGACAGGCATATACACCTTGCTCTTGGTCCTTTCGATTTATATTATGAAGTACGTCTCTTCCTATCCAGGGCGCCATGCAAGCCTGACAAGTGAAGGCGGAAGGGTCTGCGTTATCGCTCTTATGCCATCATGCTGGCCCATATCGTACTCATGTACGCTCTCGCCGCAACCTCTTGGGCGATCTTGGTGTCGTCGTTACTTCGCGTCATCGAATCACCTCAGGAATACGCGCTAGTGGATGCCCGCTCTCTCGGCATGAAAGATAAGACCGTCCAATGGTGTCTAGGTCTCAATGTAAGCCGCTCTACAGACAGAACAGCCTTTGCTAGTCTCAGTGTGATCAGATCTTCATGAGCGATATCATCCTGACCTGGAGGACGTTGTCACTCTGGTCAGATGCCCGATACACTCGGACAGGAAGATGGGTAACTTGGACCGCGTGCCTCTTGCTGCTCTCAACGGCCGGTGTGATCCTCCGCATCTGGGCGGTATCTTTGAAGCTGATCGGGCGGCACAGTGTCTGGGAGCGTCGACGAGATGCTATTCAGCCTTCAGACAACCATACCAATGCAGCAATACACTGGAACGCTCGGCTACGACAACGAGCCGTCGGAGATCTACGTGAACTTCGGCGGCAAACTGAGCGTCATCCTCAGCGCCGTCTTGAACGTCGTCTGCGTACTTCTAACCATTGTGAAGACAAGGCGAGTCTCCGGTATCACGCATATGGAGAGCGCTCAGCGCTGACAGTTCCTTACAGACAGCTCGAGAAGTTGCAGAAGCCCATTGGCCGCCGGCTGTCGGAGAACCGCGTGGGTCTGATCCTACTGTTGTTGGTATCTTGTGGGCTGGCATACTGTGTGTTTTGGGTAGGTGCACCTCCTGGTCACTAGAGAAAGCCGTCTCACTGCCTGTCGTGGAAAGGTGTACTGGGTCACGGTCGGCCTATGGAACGTTGAGCCCGACTTGCACTTGACGCTTCTCATCTGCAACAACACCGTCGCAGTGCAGATCATCGTGAGTGAATCTCGCCCTCTCAGCTGGAGCACAGTTCTCATGAACTCATCCAGGGAATCTACCCGAGTCTTGTCATCGTGTGCGTCTCCGTACAACAGATCAACGGTGTTGACCCGGCGGTCACGGCGCCATCATTTGCGCAGCGTCAAGCGGCGTCGCCCTTCACGTTCGCGACCAGCCTCATTCAACCTCCTGCAAATGTCTTGACAACCTCATCGGAGTACTGCCCAAGAGTAACCTCACCAGGCGATTCCTCTGTCGAAGAGAATCCCTAAGATCATGTCACAAGACATCCTGGCCGTTAGATCACACGGAATACGGTTTAGGTCCCTCGCGCGGGCCGGCGTCGTAAATGATTATTCCCGAGTAGTACAGATGAAGTGTAGGAGAAATATGTGTCTAAGAGCGTGTGGAAGCGGGGTCGTGAAGTTCTCGAGTCCCAAGAGGATAATGACGATGATAATGATGATGATAGAAGAGAAATGCGGGATAGCTGGGGTCTAGAGATGAAGGGAAACTACGGGAGGTAGGGTACAGGAAGCGCTTGGGATGTAGATACATGGAGGTGTAGGTGCTCCGAGAAAAGATTGATGACGGCGGACATTCTATTTGCGACGGACAAGCTTGTTCTTAAGGGAGGAGAGGCCGCCAACACGGAAAAGCCAGGTGGCGGCAAAGATCCAAGCGACCTGTGCATGATCATCAGTCAAAGCACAACGAGAAGAGCAGCGAGAGAACGTACGTTGAAGAGGACATACGCCCACATGAGACCGAAGTTGCGCCAGTGGTGCGAGTACTGGATGTTGAAGCTCGAGAACAAGAACGTATCGGTGTCAGAGATGTAGCAGAAGTTGCACGAGTCCGTCGCATCGGCGTTCAGGAGATAGCCACCAGCGTTCTGGATGTACGTGTTCATGTAGTTGCCGCACGTCTGCCCACTGGGCGGGATGAGCTGAACGATCTCGACGGGCGAGCACTGCACTTGATGACGACCGACAGCCTGGCCGATGAGACCCTCGATGAGGTAGGTGTACGGCGAGAGACGGTACATCCAGCGCCACCAGCCGAGTTGGCGGAAGGGCTGCAGCACACCGTTGAAGGTGACGACAAAGGAGAACAGGAAGCTGAACAGCAACGCCGCAATCTCCGGATTCGGCGCCATGGCGGCAACGGCCTGTGCGATCGTCGTGTAGTAGAACGGATAGACGACACCGATCATCAGGTATGTGTATCCGGCGCGGCTCGAGTCGAAGCCTACGAGCCAGTACCAGACGAGGAAGTAGATGCTGCTGCCGAGAACATTGAACGGAAGTTCGCCGAGGATCTGGGAGGTGACAAGCGCAGTCCAGCTGTACATGCGGCTTGGGCGCTCGCGGACCTCGTACACCTTGCGTGTCGTGATGAACGGAACTTGGATTTGGTTGGACAGCGGGGCGGACAAGATCGTGGACATGAAGACCGCCTGTATACGTTTGTCAGCACGAAGCATACAAGACAAAGAGAGAGCGACATACGAAGATCTTGTTCTGCGTGCCTTGGATTGTGCCCTTGGCCTTGAAGAACGTGAAGCCGATGAAGAGAGCGCCGACGATGTTGAGAGCGAACTTGGCAATGAGGTACGTAGGGTCACGCCAGTGCCTGTTGATGTCGCGCACGAAGAGGGTCTTGACCTGGTACACCCAGCTGGTGCTGAACTCGTGGCGCAGACTGGCATCGACAGCACCCTTCTTTCGGCCGTCCTCGAGAATCCGTGCAAGCTGAACGTCCGTCTTCTGGGCCTCGGCGCTGTTCTGCCAGGTCTCGTGCCAGTCGCGGTCTGCCTGTGCGGTCGCGCCAGCGCCAATGACGTCCAAGATGTACTCCGCCGGGTTCGCGTTCGGTGGGATGGGAGCGGCACCCTGGCCTTGGAAGTAGTCGATAAGAGTGCGCGCTTCATGTCCGATATCGCCGAAGTAGACCGTCTGACCACCCTTCTTGAGCAGGAGCAGGCGGTCGAAGACCTGGAAGAGCTCTGCGCTAGGCTGATGGATAGTGCAAAGAATAGCTTGGCCGTGGTCTGCAAGGTTACGCAAGAACTTGACAATCGCCCATGCACTCTGCGAGTCGAGACCGGAGGTGGGCTCGTCAAGGAAGAGCAGGAGCTTGGGCTGTGGTACGGATGTCAGCAAGTGGCGCGCGGAGTAGACGCTAGGTGAAGCTTACTTTAGCAGCAAGTTCGACACCGATAGTAGTACGCTTCTTGTGCTCCACACCGAGTGAGCCGACGATGGCGTCCGCGAAGTCCTCAAGGCCGCACATCTTCAAGACCGTCTCGACGTAAGCCTCCTTCTCACTGTCCGGAACCTCGGGAGGTTGACGAAGCTTGGCCGAGAACAGAAGCGCCTCGCGCACGGTCGTTTCCGCAAGATGCGTGTCCATCTGCTGGCAGTAACCGGTTTGAGCCTGGAAGTCAGGAGGAAGCGGGTGGCCGTTAACCAGGCGATCGCCGTGGACGACGCCGGACGTCTGACGCTGAGCGAGAACATTGAGGAGGGTCGTCTTGCCGGCACCGGATTCACCCATAAGCGCTGTGAGCCTGCCGGGCGCGACGTAGCCGCTGATGTCGTCCAATAGGCGCCGCGTCTTGCCGCCACCGACCGGTACGTCGTACTCGATATGTTGCCACGTAAAGACGTCGTGCATAGCCTGGGTCTCATTAAGCGCCTCCTCCTCAATCTGAGCCTCGGCGGCAACGCGAGCGTTCGGGTTTGCGGCGCCCTTCTCGGTATCGTTCTCGCCGGTCTCGGCCTGAGCCTCCTCCAGAACCTGCGCCTTCGCGCCGCGCTTGAACAAGAGCGTAGAGTACTCGGTCGAGCTGGAGGTGTTGAGTTCGGTGAAGATGAGCAAGACTGCGAGGAAAGCAATGCCGAAGGCGACGATTATGCCGTAGTTGCGCCAAGCGTTGGACCACGAGTAGGAATAGGAGAGCTCGACGAACGAGTTGCCGTTCACCGTGCTTTGACCCGGCTGAGAGCCGACCGTGGTGCAGACCTGGTTCGCGATGTTGACGTTCTCGTAGCCCGGGCCGGACGGAATCAGGCTGGCACAAGTGCCATCCAGCGTACGGAACTCGTTGGTCAGGATACCCTCGTAACCGTAGCGAATGGGCTGTAGAGCATGGTTAGCACTATCTAAGAGGACATAATGTGTCTGCACATACGTTGATGTACGTGATCCACCGGAGAGCGCCGATGATGGAAGGACGTGGGATGGTATAACCGGTGTATAGGACAAGACCGAGGAGGAGAACACCTGCGACGGTCTGAGCCGGCGCCGGTTGGCCCAGTGCAGCAGCGACGGCACGGAACCAGGCCTTCATGGTCAGAGCCATGGTGAAGATGAAGAGGTAGAAGGTACTGGTTGGTCGTGAGCATGTCAGGTCCTACGCTGAGCGAAAGAGCGACTCACAAGAACTGCGAAGCGCTAGTTTGCAAACCGACAAGGAAGTAAAGCACGATGCTGAACAAAATGAGCGTGATGAACGTGATAGGGATGTCGACGAGCGTCAATGCCGTGGCCTCGATGAACGGGTGGTACATTGCCGAGCGGAAGTGCTTCAGCACGATAGGGCGTTGGGCGAACAGTGCGGGGATCTCGGACATGGCGGTAAGGGCTGCGAACAGAAGCGCGCTGCGGGGACATGTTAGTTGGACGAACGAGGTGAAGAGAACATCGTTTCTACGCACAAGAAGAGTACACCGCCGCGTGAGAAGTACGCCGACGTCGAGTCCGGGATCTGGTAGAAGACCGTGCCGTTGATGATAGCCTGGAGAATGAAAACCGTGATCTGGATGATCTCAGTGGCCTATGAACTATATGAGACGCGGGGTGATCCATGGAGGAAACGAGGACATACCAAGTTGCCGCGCAAGATTTGAATACGGCGCATCATCACCGCGCGCGCTTGCATGGGGATGGAGATCATGTACGCGCTCTTCTTGCTGCTGGTCTTCGCGTGCTCATGATGAGCACTCATGCGATAGGCCTCCTTGCGGTCGGGCGCGTCGATGTACTGGTGCTTGTACTCCTGAATATCCGCACGGTTCTCCTTGCCCAGCTCGCTGGCAGCGAAGATCTCGGCGAACTCAGCAGCCGTGCGCGGAGTGCGGCCCTCGAAACCCTGGCGTACGCTGCGTGCCGAAGGGTCCGTGACGGCGACAAGGAAGTCGGCCGTCGTTTGACGGTTGGCGGGCTCAAAGCCAAGGTCAATGAAGTACTGGCGCGCCTTCTCGGCACGGCCGTAGTAGACCATGCGCCCCTCGTAGATCACGCAGACCTTGTCGAACAGCTCGTAGAGCAGTTCACCAGCCTGGTAGATGGAGACGATGGTCGTGGTGCGCGCCACGTCTGTCGCAATGCGTAGAGCACGGACGAATTCGAGCGCCGTCGAAGCATCGAGACCGCGAGTAGAGCTATCGAATAGATGAGAACTATCTCGAGAAGTTAAAGATGATAAATAACTTACTTGTCCCAGGCGTTGATCTTGGCACGAAGCGCGAGCACTTCACTGATCGAGACACGCTTCTTCTCTCCGCCAGACACACCGCGAATTGCAGCATCACCGACAGGCGTGTTCTTGACATGACGAAGACCAAAGATGGTCTCGAGTACCTCCGTGATCTGGCTGACGTGCTCCTCGCGAGACGTGCCGGGGAAGCGGTTCTGCGGGGTGCGCATCTTGGCCGCGAAGCGAAGCGTCTCGTCGACCTTGAGCGTCGGGAAGTGAATGTCGTCCTCCTGGCAGTAAATGACATCGCCACGGTGGTGCCTCTCGATCTCCTCAGACGTGAACGAGTCGTAGTGGACGGAGCCCTCGATCTTGTGGTACTCCTTGCGCTCGTTCGAGAGTGTCTTGAGAAGAGTGGTGCATCCGGAACCGGGACTGCCAAGAACGACTGCCAAAGAGGAAAGGCACGATCAGTCCAACTTCTCCGTAAAACACGTGCTATGAACGTACGGAGCATTTCGCCTGGCTTTACGACGCCCTCGAAACCGGATAGGATGTCACGGACGGGAGGGTTGCGCGACTTCTTGATGCCCGCCAGGATGTTCATCGGGTTGAGCATCGATCCGAGCGTATCCTGATAGTTGGCGGTAGCACCCAGTCCGATCACGCGGAGGTCCTCAAACAGAACACCAAGCTCGCGCCTTTGGATGCCGTGCTCATCAACCCTGTACGGGTATAGTCAGTAAATGTATTTGACAACTGTACATCAACACGCACTTGCGAAGAACCGCACGGAGCGTCTTCTCAAAATCGAATGGGCCATCCGCGGAAGGCATAAAGTCGATAAGGGTGTGCTCAGACACGCCCGAAGAGGAGCGGCCATTGCCTTTCTCTGCGTCCGCAGTATGATTTTGGGCGCCAGAGAGATTGCTGGTGCGGCTCATCGTCGTGCGAAGCTGTTCGACGCCATGCGGATCAAAGTGGCCAATGTCCACATGGGAGGTGCTCGAACCGGCGCGAGCGCGCTTGACCGGGCGGAAGGCGATCGGCGGGGACGATGCGACCTCTTCGTGAGTGGTGTCGAGCGCAGACTCGTCCCGGATTTCATGGGTCCCAGCGCCGCCAGAGGCTGTTGGCTCGGAGGAGCCCTCGGGGACCATGGACAAGGGCCGCTCGTCGTGGAAACTCGATGCGTCGGACATGGCGTCCCTTCGCACTGAGAGTTAGGCTGGACAAGGAGAGTAGGATGGAGAGAGCGAGAGCGGAACATCGGAATGCGTCAGTCTGAAAGATAATATATGTTTCTGTTCAAACTGCGCCACCGCAGGCGTTGATCGCCTGTATTGCTTACGCTCGCCAAGCGCGTCAGCTCAAACAGCCGCGAGACGCGCGTCAGCCATTCGGGGCCCGATACCATCGTCAAAAGGCGGAATTCGACCTAAAGTGACGGAGTCTCCGAGCACCTTCAAATACAAACTCGTAAGAGGGCACTGAAGCGTCGATAAGATCATACAGCGTCCGCCAGCTTCACCACTTCGGGCACAGTAGCGATACTGGCTATCTCTACTTGACCAGGCCTTTGTCATGGCGACAATACGCCGCCCAGATGGCTCTGAGCCGTATGAGACGCTATGAGACGGCCTGCAAAGCTCAGCGTCTATCGCCCCAGTGCCGCCGCTACGCCCGCACGATGACGAGAACCAGCCCCATTTTCTGTCGATCTACCTCCTCGCGGCGAAGTTACCGTAGGCTGATTCAGATTCTATCCCAGTCAAGTCTCGATGCTGTGTCTCGGGATCATCACCCATGAATAATGAGAGGCGCTGGTTGACTGTGCCAGACGAGGTCGCAAGCGCAGCTGTAATTGGGCGCTGGATGAGAAGCGTTGGCAAGCCGCATGTGCTGTTTGCGGTTGTGGCGCGGGCCTCTCGGTACCGTTGCCGAACAAAGTCCGATCCGTGTATCCTGCCCTGCAGCGCCCACGATGTCTGCAACGCCCTCAGGCTTTATCGGGCCCCGCTCACGCAGATTCAGATGTCATGAAGACCTGTAGCTGATTAAGTAGTCCTATACTTGTTCTACTTGCCGTCGTACGCGCGCCTCTATCTGTATCCCCTGGATGACGCGTCTATCGCCTGTGGTCTGCTCATCCGTATCGGCCCAGCTCAAATGCAATGCCGGATAGCACTGAGGGAATTCCGACGGTTAGCGTGAAGCTGATCGACATGTCCTGGTCCCAGATCTGGCAGGCGACGCGATCCGCTCGAGTTGCAACCGTGAATTGAACACGGTCCGTTCAAGCACTCGGATTGCGCCAGTTTATTCTTTGCATACTCATACATCAGCTTGGATAGGTGCTCGAGATGTAGCAAGCTGGTGTTGATACTGCTGCATCTGCTTGCCGATGTCGCCACTTACTTCAAGCTTCTGCACCGGACTCCATGTCCGTCGGGCCCAGCGATGTCCGCAGCCGGCCTTGCGAATCCGCGTTCTCTTGATCAACGCGATCATCTGCCTAGCTCAGCTTGGCCTATACCTCCATACCTTTTTTTACAGTCACTGAATCAACAATACAATGTGCGATGTTTTGTGCGGCCTTCACTCTCCGTCCCCCTCAGGTTGCGGCTTGTACGCCGATCGTCCAACCATTCCACCCCGGCCAGCGCCGTCTTATCCCTACGCCTTCGCACCCCGAACGCTGGGGCTTCGCTTTCACCGTCAAGTCCTACGTACGTAGCCTACGCGATTAGCCAAAGTCAACTGAACACCGGTGTCTGCGCCACCTTCGCCTGCTCCGGGACTAGTAGCGGATATTGCGACTGATGCCCGCGGCTCATGCTCTGCGACAAGCACAACGACCATCTTCCCCGCTCATCATGCTCTTAATTGAGTTCTCGCTATATAAGAGCGACATCTCGCGGTCGACGATCGTCTTTCGAGCTTCAGCGCCATCACATTCGTTTGTATCTGCTAGCCCTCTCGACTATGAAGGCAGCCCTATCCTTCCTTTTGACCGGCGCAAGCGCAGCCCTTGCTTCTTCCTCTCACCTTCGTCATGCGCGCTCTGTGCGCGCTCGCTCGGCCCCGTCTATTGACGTTGATCAGGTCTTAGCTAACGGATTAGCTGTATCGACGCATCCGTATGTCCAACCGCGACTCCGGCCCCGTTCGGCGCTAACCGCCATCTTTGCACTGCAGATGGGAGCTCGGTGTCATCGCGGAAGCGCAGCTTGAGGTGCAGACGCCTTCGCTAACTGTATGGGAGAAGGGCAGCATCCCGGTCCCCGCGAGCCCCGAGATTCCTGACGAGGTGTATGACATTACGAAGAAGTGAGTAATACAAGGCGCATCTTCTTGTGCGCGCAAGCTCATTCTGAATAGAGTAGTGGACACCAAACCTGCCAATCAGACTGAGCTCATCCTGGATGGTGCAGCGGGCGACCCAGCATGTTCGTATGCTCACATTGGCGAACAGATACTGTACTGATGAATCTGCGCTTAACAGCTCTCGCATTCGCGGTCCTGCTCATCAACTCGCGTCTGGACAACGAAACGTGGGCTACGACAGCCGACCAAGAGATCGAGTATCTCTACAACGAAGTGCCGCAGACGGAGGACGGCGGGATCTCGCATCGTCACGAGCAGGTTCAATTGTGGGCGGATTTTGTCTACATGGTGAGTCTGGTCACACAGTCCCAGCATCTAAGCGCCGCTGACTGGACTTCAGGCGCCACCTTTCATTGCCTACTACGGTGCCGTTTCCGGCGTCAGCAACGCCACCGACTATCTGCGGAGCGCACATCATCAGTGCGCCGTCTACCGTGAAGTTCTCTATGACGCGGACGCGAGTCTGTGGGAGCACATCCTCCTCGGTAACTTCCAATTCACCAATCACTGGGGCACCGGTGCGTTCAAGCCTCCATACTCTTGCCTTGCTCTCTCGTACTGAACTCGCGCGCATAGGCAACGGTTGGGCCGCTCTCGGTATGGTGCGCACGCTCGCGACAATCCAGGCATCGCAATACGCGGACGAGCTCAAGAGCGAGCAGCAGGACCTTATCGACTGGGTGGACGAGATCCTGATCGGCAGCTGGGCGTGGCAAAAGGCCAACGGCACGCTCTACAACACCATTGATGGCGACGACTTCGCCGACACGTCGGGCACCGCCGCAATCGCTGCCGCGACGTACCGCCTTGCACGCATCACCGGCAATCCCATCCACATCCCCGCCGCCGAGCGCGCGTATGAGTTGATCGCCGCTAGCGTCAACGCAACCGGCTGGTTGCAGGGCACGGTCAACCCGCAGACGTTCAACACTCAGACCGCGCCTGACTCGTACAGTCCGGAGGGCCAGAGCTTCACTCTCATGCTCGTGGCCGCCCGCGACGCGTACTACAAGTCGCTCTGAGCTATAGCCCCCTTGTGTTCTCACGCCTCGTACCTACCTTACTTGAGTCATATCGTTCGCAGTGACGTAGCCATGTTGAGCGATCAATGCCGATTTGAAGTAAGCGATGAAGTATCGGCGTTCATAGTCTCCATGCGAATGGCGCCATTCGCGAGTAAAGGCATAGGCCCCTTCAAGCCATTCGACGCTCGACCAACCAGCTTATACATCTACACTTGTGGAGGGGCTACGCTGCGCGCATACCGGTACTCATGTCATGATACCACAGGTATGGTCTGAACGAAGGAAATGAGAATTAGTGGTATAGTACAGTGCAGTGAAGGTACAAAGCAAACAGCAAGCAGACAAACACGTCATGGGCAGAGATAGCAATGCTACAAAAATACAAGACTTAGAACCAAGGGTGATAGATCTCCGTCATCTTCATCAGGTTTATCGGATCGGTTGCGGCAGAGATGAGCTTCGTGGCGGTATACACGAGAGTGACGTTCGCCGGCGAAGGGTTTTGCAGGTCGCTCATGGCCTGTACATCGTAGTCGTTGTCAGTCAAGACCCAATACAACAGAGCTGAAACGTACCTGCTCGCGCTCGATCTTGCAGCCCATTGTATTAGCGCGCTTGACGACTTGCTCGATCATCGTACCGACGTGCTGGCGGAATGTCGTGTCCACGTTCCCGGAGTGCCCTCGGCTCATGAACCAGGTGAGGACCTCATCGCGTCCGTGCAGCGCCAATTGCTTCTCGAGATCAAACTACGGACAGATGAGCATGGGTACTGTGAGCATGGATGAAGCGCTTATGGGCGTACCTCGGGCAACGTCAGACAACGACCCAGCTGGTACAACAACGTAGGGATCGTGCCCTCCTGATGGATAACGCCCGCGAACTGTTGCATATTCGGAGTGTAGCGGAAGGGCACGATGTCGTTGGATTGGAAGATGGGCGCATGGGGCGAATAGCCAGGGAGCATCTCGCTCATGAATACTTCACCAGTCCGCCGGGAGACCAGGAAGCGGAAGGGTAGCCGGTTCGTGAGACAGAAGAGGTATGTGATGAACATAGTCCCGGCGAGGTGCTTGGAGAATTGCTTGCGCATGAGCCAGAGGTCGGCCGGGTTGGTCATAGTGCGAGCCATGTACTGGTATCGAGTGTAAGCGAGGGACGCTGTAGAGTACAGTGGCCCATACCTTGCTCAAAACGTTGTCCGGGATCATGAACTTCATCACTTCCTCGAGTAAGTCCTTCTTGAGATTGAAGTACTCCACTTTATCCGGCTGAGGAAGGCATGAGCGATGTGGCGAACGGATCAAGAAAGGGCCTACCATGCGCTTGTGTTCCTCGGTGAACTCCTTCAGGATCGTCTTGACCTTCTCGCCAGGTATCAAGATTGGATCC